GTTTATTATTTTTTTATAACTTTTAAGAAAAAAAAAATAAAATTATATTTAAAAAAAATAAAAAAAAGTAGGAAAATATTTAATAATAAAAATTTTAAAATAATTATTTTAATATATTTATAAAATAATAAAAGAAGAAATTATAAATAATAAAATAGGATGGAAAATAATATAAAAAAAAACTTTAATTCTTAATAATATAATATATAATATTATAGTTATATTAAAATAAAAAATAATATAAAAGAAGATTTTAATTTTTAATGTTATAATATATAAGATTATAATTTTAATTAAGATAATAGTTTATACCTTTATAAATAATATAATTAATTTAAATATTATTATATATAATATAATATATTTAATTATAAATATTATTATAAATGATATAATTAATATATTAATATATAATTTTATAAATAATATATTTAATATAATAATTTATTTAATTTTAAATAATATATAAATAATATTATAATTAAATAATATTATATATAACTTATATATTAATTATAAGATAATAATATGGGTTAAATTATAAATAAAATATAAAAGAAAATATCTAAGTTAATATATAATAAACTAATATTAATTTAAACCATTAAAAGCCGGTATTTTTCGGGGGGGGTATATTATAAGGCTTTTTTTCCTTGTTTTAAAAAAAAAAAAATTTATTAACTATAATAAAGAAAAAAGGATAAATAGTTAATTAAAAGGGATAAAATAAAGTTTTTTAATATTAAAATAATAAAAGAAAGATAATTCATTTTGCTTTATAAAGATTTATTGTTACAATTACTTGTTCTTGTTATTGTTAATTATTTGTTGTTTATTATTATGTTCATCCACGACCAGGATATGACATAAGACATCTATTTTTGAATATCCATATATTGTATTGTAGGATCTGTTTTGTAGATATCAAACAACTGCCCGTATACAATAATTAGAAGATGTATCTGGAGTTGATCAATACTTTCTTAACAGTACATTAATTATGTGCTTAATTCTTTATCTCTTTCATTGGCAGCTGTCTACGGCCAGGGATTGAGAGACCAGATACACCTAAACACCCACAAATGCTCCGTTCGGACACCGTTCATACAAGATAAAATATTAGAATATATGTAAGATTATATTCTTTCAAGCTCTACACTCTAGGTCCAGTCCACCAGGTTGTCTGAAGCTATATTTCATATCCTAACCCGTAGCTTGCCAGTTAAGAGATAGATCAGGGGCCACCATCTCGCATTTTTGAGAGTCCTAGCATCCATCAGGGCAACCCTTTTGAAACTTCCCAGTTCGCCTATATGCCGTTTCTATGGTATCAAGATAACTCATAGTCTATTTAAGTATCTATACAGGCTTTTAAAGAGCCTACCTAAGTAAGCACCCGACTTCCTTCTGGTCTCATTAGTAGCGTTGAATACCTAGGTATGAAGCTACTTGATATCAAGATATTGGGTATGCGACGGCGGACAATAATACCATAGGAAGAATCATCATCAGCTAACATCCTCATTGATAACTCCAATGGATTATATCACATAGCTTCTACTAAGTTTGAACGCCCAGTCTTCACGTAATTTCAATGTATTTCCTGCTGCGGTGAAGTATTTGATATAGTGGCCCTTGCTTTGGACTTTACGCCAATATACCTGGTCTTGAGAAGCTCATCTAGTCTCCAGTCTACTCTTCTATCTATTTTCCCCTGGTCGCAATTTATGAACATCAAAGTGAACATAAAGAAGCAAAGAGGTCTTTAAGTAACAATCACTTCACTGCCTATGTTATTCAAAGGCAGATAACACTAGTTACACAGTGAAGAAAACGACGACGGCGAGCAACAATTGAGCAACGACCGAACGACAGTAATAGAGTATAGCGACGTCAAATTATCTTGACATACCTCAACTTAACATATAGTTACTTCTATTTGGGGTCATTAGACAATGTATCCTTCTCAAGCAACTCTCCAGGAGCCTTCTATAGTCGTCGACTGTTCTGGTCGAGATAGTCGTCGATTCATATTCCCTATCTCGTCGTCGCTTTCCACTTTTTAAAATTTTCAAAATTACCTAGAAATCTTTTCTCTCCCGCTTTTACTCCTTCAACCTGAGTTGAAACAATCTAAATCTCCACACCACTTCAAACGAATTTCACCATTATCGTTCTCTGCTTGCTCACGGTCCACAACTACCCAAACAATCATGGCAGACAGCCTCGTTCAGCTGTTGAGGACGCCCGTCTTCGGTTGGGTGCGAGATAAATCTCTACCTCAATCCCAGGCCGATGCTAGTATGAGAATTCGGAATTGCCAGATCATTGTAAAGAGACTCATTGTAATTCTTCCCAGCTACCCAAGTTCCTAGATACGTAATGTATGGTATGCTAACTCATACACCACCTTTTAAGGCAATCTCTCGCCTCCGTAACCTGGCCGAGAACCTCGAGGCCCTGGTGCCTATCTTAGAGATGATCCGCGCACTCATCACAACAACCGAATCATATCGTGATGATCCTAGAACCGACCGCCTTGTCGGCACCAGATTGTTGGCCGACGTCGAACATCTGAGAACTATTTTCCTACAAGTCGTTGACAACACTCTGGCAAGATCAGATGCTGATCAGGAAGATCAGGATGCGGACTGCGAGTTGATTTGGGACCCTATTGAGGAAGAGGCTATTAGCGACGATGAAAGATAGAGCTACTACGTATAGTGAATCGTCGAAGCTTTACACTAGCTACTTACCTACCTAAGGCCATGTAATTAGATTTGCGCAGATATGATCGATCATATACGTTGATCTAAAGCATATCAATATACATGCCTTTAGGGTATATGAAAGTCCATCAACTTACGAGCAGCCTGGAGTATACGTTCCGACCGAATCCCCTGTATCCTTCACGTCAACGACCAATAACCCTATCGCGATGTCACTTGTATCCCTGACTTTGTTGACATATTTCGCCGCGCTAACTTTTCCGTCACTTAGATTCCTTACACCTCTCAAGACGCCTTCCAGCCCGCCCGGGATAACCTCGTACGGGTGCGGCTTTAATCTTCTGTTTTCTAGAAGTCGGCCTAGACACACCGACCACACATACCCTAAGTCCTTGCGCATCGAGAAGACACTGCCAACCACGCTGTTGATCGCGGTCACGCTATCTGGACATTTCAGATGTTCTCCATCTCTAGCTTAAGAGGAAGCATAGTGCTGATAGTGCCTCCACTCGTATCGACGAGTCAAAGTGTTGCTTCGAGCGATACGTTCTCACTAATCGCGTCAAGGACGAAGGAATCTCGTACCTAACCTTCCTTGGTAAGTATATTGCTTCGAGTTCATCCTCTCCTTTCCGATACTCGATGATCTGATCAACCAAGAGGTCCCCCAAGTCGCAGGACCGACCAGCGACGTCGATAATAGGGATTAGTACAGAAAGTCGTGCGAGCTTAGCGGCGAACGCGCCGACTGCTGACAACGTATAACAATATCCGCAACTTATCCCCTTCAGCGGGCTTGGTGAGGTCGAAAGGAGATGGAAGCTTCATATCATTGTATACTTCCACGGCAGTGCTGACGGCGGCGGTGGGAATAGTCGTAAACTCCTCGGAGGATATCTGTTCTTCTCCTTTCCGTATTCACCCTCTCAATGTCTCTTTTACAAGCCTTTTGAGAGTTCGGAGGTGGCGGCTACGGAGCAGGACGCTGTCGATCTCTCGAAGGCGTTATATAAGGGGGCATTGGACATGCTCGAGGTACTCCTCCGGAAGATGTCCAGACTTACATCGTTATGCCGTTGACCATGTTCCATCACGACGGGTTCTCCGCGAGAGGTCGTTCCATGTTGGCTGTGCTGCTTCGGTCGCTAGAGATCTCCGGTTTAACCGGTAAGACGCCGAGGGCGCGGCCCCCGCCGACAACGACTCAAGCGCATGCGTGTCTATTGATCGCGAAGTAAAACGTAGGGTTTTCTGGAGTATAACAATGGAGTATTTGCATGTTCCCTCGCATACAACCTGCTTGTAGCTAACAGGTATATCTACAGGCTACAATCGACCACTTGCGATCCTCGGGGAGGCATGTACTTTATTCATCCGAATCATGTGGATATCAGACATCCTAAAGTTCGGCTCGACAACGAAATCATTCTGAGCAAGAGAGATGAGCCCGCGATTGGATCCCAAACGCTGGCATGACGTATTTCCTCGAGAGGGTTCGCTTCGGAAATACGTCGCGAAGTAGTTGACGTGGTCCCGTCAGTGATATCGAAGCTTGTACAGATGGATGGTACACGAAAACATCATATAATTGGACAAGAAACTCGAGGATTTCGCATTGAGCCTCCCGTTCTTCGGATGTGACGCCGAAAGTCGCGAGAAAACCAAGGCGCTCGAGGCAGTATACCCCCACGTCTCCCATTTGCGATACAACAAAACGCATGCGGCGCATAGCAGGCGATGCAAGCTACATCAGAGATTTCTGCTTCGACAATCTTATGATTCTCGGTAAAACTATTCGGGGCGCGCTTGCTTGGAATCGGCCGGAGATGTTACTGGGGGGTTTGAACATATAGAAACTTACGATTCTTCAACCTACGTGACGTTGCTTCCGGGGATTGCGATGCGTTACATGCACATCGCCCTGGTGGCTATGTTCATGGACTCGTGCTTCGTTAGGGACGAAGCCGACGAGAACCAGGTGAAGGCGGCCTTGAAGAAGCTCAAGGACGCTAGACACCTCTCTCCGTTTCCAGGACGTTTCTTGGGATTTCGGTGTGGGATTGTACATAAACACAACGTCTACGTGGCCGGATTGCCTATTCTGGCAGATGGCGACGGCTCGTATTGATACGCCGTTTTTAGGCATGTACTGTTGGTTTTATATTATGCAACGTATTAAATATATGTACATAGACACCTATATATGTAAAGGATATTACCTGCTTAAATCCCCACTTCGCGTCCTAGTCGTTCGAACAGCATGCCGTGCTGTCAAATCACTTTAGGCCATCCAGAGCTGAAGTCGAGCTTATTCCAACCAAACCGGAACTCGTTAGCGGGAGTCTTCGTTTTGACATCGTACGGCACTATTCGCGTCAGTTAGTCCCTGTACTGGTACTTCGTCACGGCATTCTTGCGGAGAGCACTTACCGTAATGGTAGTAGATGATCGGACCCCCGGCTTCGTCGTCAGCAAGAACGCCCTGCCCACCGGGAGCCCATATATTGTCGTGAGTGCCGAGGATTTCCTTGCCGCCGCTGTCCTTCGCGCAGTCGACACCCTTATCGTCGACGTAACCGGTACGAGGCTGCTTGGAACGGCACACCATGACCTTGTACACGTCGCCCCTGTCGACCCAGCTGCCGTTGGGCTGCTTGCAGCATCGGCCCGACGAGAAAAACAGGTAATACCAGTCCTCCCATTTGAAGATGTAGCTAGCCTCGGTGGGACCGGTCGCGAAGGCTTTGGTCTGGTTGTTGGCTAGCTGCTGGATATCCCCGTTCGCGCCGTCGGCGATCTTGGTAGGCGGATCCGCGAGCGGGAGCTGGAATATGCCTTGCTGGTACGAGCCGAAGGAGAGGAGATTTTGACGCTTCCCGCCGTCGTCGATGGTGAGGAGCGCCGCGTCGAGGATGTTGTATCTCTTCGCCCAGTCGATGTCGAGGCGGCCGTGCTGCGTCCAGCTCCCTATCTCGAGCGTCTTGGACGAAGCTGCGAGGATGCTAGAGTTGTGACTCCACTGGTGGATCTCGGGATCCGTGACGCCGACGGTAGAGTAGTCGAATTCGTGGTTGTTGATATAGAGGTAGTACGTGTCGTCGATCTGATGGATCGAAGGAGCGCCGCCGTATTCGCGGAGTTCCGCGCTTCCTTCGTGCTTCCAAGGACCGTATAAGGAACCTGCCGTCCAGACGCTGCCGTTCTTGCCCGTGGTATACAAGAATAGCTTCTTATCAGACGCGCGTCGAATCAAAGTCGGGTCCAACGTCTGCGCGGTCGGGTTGTTTGGGACGGTTCCTTTCATCGTCTCCGGTGCCGGCCACCCGTTTTGACCAGAGACGCTATCGGTCAATATGCTCAGGATGAGACCCATGGCGAAATTAAGCAGTCCTCGGGGGAGATACATCGTACTGATTACCGATCAGACACAATGCCAGAAGCCTAGGCCTGATGATGTCGCGATGCGTATATCGCTATACGTGTATTGTCAGGCTGTTAGGCTTGTCCGGAAATTAGATATTATGCTTTTCCGCCCTCGTCTATTCCGTATTGTTATTCGATTACTTTATACCAGGTTGATAGTTCGTATAGTGAAGTTACGCTTCACGAATTAAACCCGACATACCATTAGCAGGGTGACATTATTTGACTTCGGCTCAGCAAATGCCCAAGTTACAGAAGTTATTATTCGTCCCATGGCCAAAACTTATACAATTTGCGTTGATATAAATAGCATCTTCGTCTCCTTCGTTTGCTCTAGCACTCCAGAAGGCTGAGTTTGAAGGAAGCCGAATCGTCCACCGTCGATTGGTGGCTTATGCGGCGCAGCAGTCCCCTGCGAGAGCCGACTCCCAGTACCATGGCCTTAGCCGTTCCGCTATGACTTCATAAAGAGTGTCAGCGGAGATCAGGTAATCATTTAGTCTGAAGTCGTAAAAGTTAGCCAGGAATTTTCAGCCTTACAGACCAGGGTATGGTTGATCTTGCAATGATCGTCCGTCTTCATCCGGCCGTCGGTGTAGGCGAGCTCTGATTGGACGCAGTAATGCCGGGATACCTTCAGCCAGCCAAATTAGCGTCAGATTGAATGGGTCATGTGCGAGATAGCGTTAATATTACTGTGATACACTGTAAGCTAAGGTTGGCTGTCTCTTTGTTATTTAATTTCCCATCTCTTGCTACGTGAATTCCGTATAATTTTGCTTAAGGAGACAATTAAAGTTATCAAGTCTATATAAAAGGGAGTGTTTCTTCGCATACATATGCTCTCTTTGGACTCTTTCTGCTAGAGAGCCGCGGTGCCACGTTTGACACATCCAAATTCGTAGGCTACGATTAGACAAAGGCGTATTCGGTGCCATAACCGAATCTTCCAAGTCACTTTACAACAAGCCTCTTTATATGCGATGAAATTCGATGAATTCGGTTGAAGGACATGCTCCAGGGAGAATAAGTGAATCTTCCGCCAAGTTCGACTTGAACCCTCGGAAATTTGGGGTTCCTAGCCAAAATGCCCGACTTGGCTGGAATTGCGGATCTACAGGATCCTAAACCGATGAGAAAAAAAAAGCCCGGGATATAGACCACAAGCCTATTCTCGACCAGTGAGCCCTTGGTTGACTTGTCAAGATCGAGGCTTGGCCTATACCCGGTGTTGACGACACCTGCGTAGGTGATTGGCCATATGAACATGAAAGAATACGATCCCTGGATTGAATTACGACAAAATGTCAATAGAAATATTTTAATACCGTCATTCAAAGTGCCGAACATACATTGTTACATTCCTGCGTAAGTAAGCGAGAATGTATCGTGAACTACCGTACTGTTCTGCAAGGTCTAAAATAGATACACTAGTCGTGCCTAGCAGCAAGGACTCAAAAATTAATCTGGGGTTAAGGTAGGTACCTAGCTATCACGCCTAATAAATCCTAGCGAGCGGATAGACGGGTGAGCTAGGTACCTACGGATGCTCTAGATAAAATCCTCGATGGTTACATTGGATGGACGGTTCGCGCCCATACGCGCTACTGCAATCCCACCACAACGCTCTACACCGTCTTTAAAGCGAACACTTGCTTGACGTATATTTCCTTGCGAGTTATGATCTATCCCTTACATTGTTATGTAAGAAATAGCCGTTGGTCAGCATGAAAGTGAAAAGGCGGTCGGGTCTGCGCATTGCCACGATGAGTCAGCAGAGGCTGCCGTGCCGCAGGCCTAGTATTACGAGCAGGTACTCGATATCTAGAACTATTCGGGCTTATACAGTAGTCTAATTTTTCTCGTAGTTAATCTAACAGTTACATAGGTATAGTTACATAGTGCGCACTTATTGTCAGGTCGTTTTCTAGTCGATCGTCTAGCCACCAGTAGTAAATCAACCCTCAAGTAAGCACCCTCGCCGCCAGGGTCTGCCGAGCCGTACGTGAATCTCGGTAGCTGAAGATTCTTAATGGGGCTTTGTTACGATTGGGGACAATTCGTAAGCTGTTCGGCTAGATACATGCAGTCTCGAAACCTATTCTGGTAAGTGTCCTATGGGCAGCTGGCTTGACCCCTTTCTATTGGACTCCCATTGTACCACCCCACCAACACCAAAATTTCGAACAAGGCTGCAAGGGTCTATGGCGACGAAATACTACATTTATGAAATCTAAACTATTGAATACTGACGAGCTATTTAATTGTGAAGCAAAGAAAGGAAATGATAATAAGCAGCCAATATATGATACTCTATGCGAAACAGATTCCTTTCCATAAAAGGGGCCGACCCTGCTTATGACAGTACGGGCAGACTCAAGGTCTCACCGTCTTCTAGGCGCTGTAAGTACGTAGCTAAATACCTAGAAAGCCTTACCGAGATTCCCATGGCTCTATCTATCAAGTGTCTCTAGTGATTGGTCGATCTCTGTTCTCTTACTGGGTGTTCAAGGCGAATCATAACCTGCGAACACCAAGTTAGATCCCGGCAGCTTAGCTCTCGACGGGAAGGCCCCGTTGACCTTCGTGCGTGTCATCCTTGGCGATTCTAGCTCTGGGAGGCTGTAAGAAATGCCGCGCGATGATGGGAGCTCGGATACGTCCGTCCTATCAGTATACGATTCCGTAATATGTGATAGGACATTCGCAGACCCCTGTGAGATGTAAGTAGACTGCGAGTGCTAGGCTGTTAGGCTGTTGTGTTTAGAGCGAGCTTGCCTCTTTTCTTACCATTTTGTCTTTTCTAGATCGTTCGTTGATAGTTCTCCCCATGCCAATTCTGCTCCAGTCCTGAACTGTCGCCCCGGCCGCGTTTACCTTACGACGAATAGTCCCGACTATCTTTTGGATGCCGAGAGCGGCGACTTCGTCGCTGAGGGCAGCGATTTCTATGGTGCTATGATTGTAAACTTTGGCGCTGTTGGCGTTGATTTCGGAGTCCTAACAGTAGATATTATTAGGAGCCGTGTCTAAGCATGCCCTCCCCTTTAAGGCATTGTCCTTACCATGGTGGGTCGGCTAGCGATGCAACCCATCGACTTATCGTTGCAACTTGACGGCTGCCTAGCGTTGCCTGTGCGGAAATGCCGAGTAATGTTCGAGAGAATTGCGGTATTGTTATGTGCGACGATAAGCTGGAGAAGTTCTCGCTTTGCCGAGAGCGCGTTAAAGGCTGCCGCTATCTCAGGCCGATTTCCAGACCAGTTCCAAATCTTCTTTAAAAAAGAACTCTCTTCCTCTAAGAGCTGTCGCGTGCGGGAAGCGATATTTGATATGTCGATGATGAGCGAGAGGATGATGTCTCTATCTTCGTCAGACTCTACAGGGTGTTCCGATAACCGACTGACGATTATTAGCAGTAGTCGAATATTAGCTTTCTGATCGTTGTATGCGGATGGCCCTTCATTTATACTTTTGAATACTCCAAGCAGAGCCTTAGTGACCGAATAGCAGTAGCCGATCAGTTGCGCCGAAGCCGCGACCAAACCTATCACATCCATCCTTGGGGGCAGAAAGCGGACATGAGCACGTATCAGGACATAGAGGTTGTCCCTATATTTGTATGAACCCATGTTCTGCGGCACGATAATCATGGTCACCGCATCACCGCCTATCTACCTAGGTACTACCTATTCCGACGATATCTAACTCTACATACCTCGCATAGTGGGTAGTTCCTGACGTCCTACGGGCACAGCAGCATAAAAAGGTGATCCGTAATTAGGATTAGTCGACGAACATTGCCTCAGCCTCGACTGTATATGACCTCCTTGTATGTATGTGCCCCTAGATAGTGAATGAATACAACCTCCGCTTACGGAAAGGTGCTAGTTAATTTACAGCAGGCAAACTAGGACGTGACAGAGATACGAAGGTCGTACACCGTCGCCGCGCAATTTTCGGAGCCGATATGAACAGGGACCGCATCAAGGAATGAATGTGTTGTTAGAGTCTGGTGCAATAGCCTTATGGCTGCATTGAAGCTGACGGCCCCAATGTCAGCATTTTCAAACGTTTTCCCCGTCAGTCATTTAAGGTCAGCTTCATTCACATTAGTTTGACAGCCCCCAACTACTCTATATCCGAAGCATATAAGGTCTGTATACTAATGAAGTACAACGAAGCGACGATACGATTTATAGACCCGGAAAAATGTTGCCTCGAGATCCTCCCGATCAAATACCTCCTGTCGTCGTAACCATTTCCTATGTCTCCTATCCTATAAGCTCTCAGAGCCCGTTACAGTCCGATGTCAGCTACGTCGGCGAAGGCGTCGGCCGTCGGCAGCAAAGTCGAAGGTCATTCCAAACAGATCTTGGATAACCACACTTGGACTTCTATCAAGAAAATAAATAATGAATACTGGAAGACTGTCCTGATCCTCTCGATATTGACGCTAGTGCTTGTTGCTATAGTAGCAGGCGTCCTTGCGACCCAGCTTTCAAAGTCGGGCAAAGATTCTTCGTCTGCCCCGGAGCAGGTAAGGCTTGAAGGGTGACCTAGGTCCTTTGGGAGGCCTAATTACTTACCAGCTATCAGAGCCAGAAATCACGATCATCTTTTTCTCCATCAATTGTATCGCCGACGTCACCGTCATCGAAATTATTGTCATCGCTGCCATTGTCGCTATCTAGTAGTACTGGAATCCCGCAGAGTGTTGCGCTTACGTGGACTCCGACAAGTACTACAAGCACAACATACCAGACTACGACATCTCCTACAACCACACCTACGAGTAGCTTAAACAATAAAATAAGGGTACCTCCCGGCCAATCATGCAAAAGCGACGACGACTGTCAAATCCCGAACGTCTGCTACACGGATACCTCAAGTAAGGAGACCACATGTTGCGGAACCACTATTTGGGGCTGTCCTGGTTATTCGTGTTCTGCCCAGAACGGTTGTCTTGACCCATACCCGTGCGCGAAAGAGGCGGGAGTTTGCTGCGGATATCCGCCTTATACCATCTCTGGTGATGAGACATGCTATACGGCTCCTCAAACGACTTAGTATAGTAACAAAGAGTTTTGAGAGAGGATAGTAGTATGATAAAGATACGGGCTGCGGCATGGTTGGTTGTACGTTAAGAACTAATTACCTAGTAGTTATAGCGTATCCTATGTACTTAGGTATAAAGCACCTGCTTAGGGAGCATATTGAATGAGTCTAGGACTTGAAATAATGAACACTTGAGAACCTCAGTCAAATGCGTCAATTAAATCCGGACCGAATGTCAGTGAGGTCCTTGAGTGGTGAAGTTATCCGAGTCCACATATTTACCCCCTTTTCGTAGCCCCTGACATTTCAGGGGTATGCTGACTAATCTACATCAATTCTTGGATGGGACGGCGAAAGTCCCCCAATTAATGACCTACCAAGAGACGTTCATCAGAGAATTTAGAAGCATCGCTTCAGTTGCAATCACTATGTTTTGTAAGGAAATTACCTACCGTTTACATGTCATAATCCAGGAGTTCCTTAGAATCGACGCGTACCCAATTTCATGACTTTGACTTGTAGCATCCAGTGAATGGATAATTACATAGCGTCTATGTTACATATGCCCCTTGCGTTCGATGAGTTACAAGCATGTGGCGTTTCGCGCCACCGTCTTATTCGCCTATCTAAACTTACCTAGGTACCCCAGTAGGCAAAGAACTCAACCATATTTTTACCTATAAATGGAATTGCTACGCTAGCCTAAGGTTGACGAACTGGCTTTGCGGGCGTATCCGATGACGGTTCATTTAGACCGTCCTTCACATGAAAATTGTGAATTGATAAAACTTTAAGACGTTCTCCCACATTAGGTATCCATGGTTCATCCTGTACGTGAAGATTCATTTCTTGTCTACTTACACCACGATCTTTACTATGAATGACCCTGGTTTTCCGTGATCCGACTCGAGCATTGCATGCTTATTTTGCATACCTAAGTATGCATTAGAGTAGGTAATTAACAAATTAAAATGGATTTTCTAAATTGGATTTTTACACCGTCCTATTTTGGCACTAACGTCATCACGATTCGTCGAAGCTAGGCATGAAGGACGTTTTTAAACCACGCGGAAAACTTTAAAACGACTGCATATGTGCCAAGTCCTCGGCTAGCTCGGAGCTACCAACATCTCGTAATACGGGGAAACTAAATGGATCAGAGATTTTGTTGAATTTAACTCCCCCAGGGCTGTGATCCGAGCCCGCTTGACCTGAGAACCTGCGCTAGCTACTTCAAAAAGGCGTGTTTTGGTCATCTGCGGAAGCCTAGTCTCGCGGTCGACACTGTGCGAACGTATAGAACCTCTTTACTACTAGATAGTACCGGAAGGTACCTAGCTAGCGAAGTAATCAAACACGAATATCTCCGCCTCTACCTTCGGGACCGTCTAACTGTTCATTATGCAGCTAGAGTGATAATCAGATAATTATATCTACCTATGCAGCTGCGGCGTACGACTCAGTCAGTCAGGGGTCGCCAACGTTAAATACGAGCCTCACATAATACATACATCATCTCTTCACCCAAGCTGCGTCAACATATAGTTTACTCAAGATTTAAGAGATCAAACGGCAACTTTACACCCGGAATATGCCCTAGTATCTTCTTCGCATACATAGTACTAGGTAGAATGATCTATAGTCTTGTTTTCACGCCAGGGATCCACCAGGTCTCGAAATGGTATCCTAGGCACTATTAACCGTGGTCATTCTGGTAAATACGATGCAAGTTCGTCGGCTTGGGTTAGCTGCGTCGTGAAGGATCTGCAAGATGATAATTTATAACGTAAATTGCATTCCTGGTAGAGTCGCATGCTATGGACGGTCGATGGATGACGTTGTATCCCTTTCGAATCTCTCCTCCGTGAATCGAAACAAGTTTCCGCGAGCTCTATGCCGGCAAGGTTTCCTTGCTCGAGCGGCGGCAATATAAGCTGGGCCACCTCTCTGCTCCTCGTCGTGAAATTCTTTTCCTCTTCAGTCTGTCGTTTTTGGGGCCAGCTTCGTACACCTGACCCTTAGCAAATTTGACGATCTTGAGCTTTTCGTTGGAACAAGGCCGTCAAGATGATACACAAAAGCAAGGCCCTTATTATATCGTCCGTCGTCGGCGGCGCATACTCCCTCGTTGCGCGTCAGAGCGGATGTGACTTCACTCTTTCTACCAATGGCTCGTTCGTTGGCCAAATTGGGCAATACAGCAGCGGCCAGACAAATGCCGGCATCAGCGGGTCCAACGGCGCGGCGTCGACCTTCGTCCTGAACGGGGACACGCTATCCGACTCTACAGGCCGTACCTGCTGGTGGACGCCGCCGACTACCATACTTCAGTGCGACGTTGATTCGCCACCCCAACCCGGATTCGCTATCGGCTGCAGCGGGGAGGTGACTTACAACGGTCAGTCTACCTTCTGGGTGTGTCAGACGGGCGTGCAAGACATTGTGATGGTATATCTTTCTCCCGGAGGAAGTAACTGCAGCGAGATTACATTAACGGCGAGCGGATGTTATCCTTCGTCGTGCAGCTCGACGTCGGAGGGCTCGGGAACTACTGTGACTGAGACCACCACGGTTGTGGGAGCCGGGTCAACATATCCTGCCGGAACTGTAACTGCTCCCGGGAGCACCGAGACGATCATGACGACGATCACGGCTGGCCAGGGAACTGCTCCGGTGGGGTCGAATACTCCGAGCACGGAAACCGTTACTATCACCGAATCGGGTACTAGTATTATGTCTACCGTTACTATCACGGAATCAGGCGGCACTGGTATGTCTACTATTACCGTTACCGAATCAGGCGGAACCGGAACTTCTACCGTCACCATTACCGAGTCGGGCGGTACTGGGGTTTCCACAGTTACCATTACCGAATCGGGAGGCACCGAAATGTCGACCGTTACTATGACCGAGTCCTGTACCGGAAATGCCGGAACTGTTACCGTCACAGAATCGGGCACTGGTGGTATGTCTACAATGACTATTACCGAATCAGGCGGCGCCGGCACTTCTACTCTGACTGTCACCGAGTCAGGGATGGCTAGCACGTTGACGATAACCACTACCAGCGTCTCTACGGTAAATGTGTGTACGGGACAAACAACGGCACCAGGAACAACTGCGCCTGGAACGACTGTCGTGACAACTATGCCCGGCACTACTCCTGGCACTACTCCTGGCACTACTCCTGGTACTACCCCAGAAACAACTCCAACAACGCCGGTGTACTCAACAGGCACTACTGCTCCGGAGACCACACCTCCTGAGACCATTCCTGAGACCACTGTCCCGGAGACTCCCACTGTTCCTGTGACTACGCCGATGACAACACCGGAAACAAGTCCAGTAACCACGCCGGAAACTCCAACAGTTCCTCCCACGACCTTGGTAACTTCGGGAACATCCCCAACTGAAAGTTCCCCTGTCACATACCCTACGACGGCTGTTTCCACTCCGACTACGACTCCGGAGATGCCAACGTCCCCTCCAGCTACGCCAACTACAACCATAGAGACAACTCCGGAAACAACTCCGGAAACGACTCCGGAAACAACCCCGGCGACAACCCCGGCAACAACTCCAGAGACGACTCCAGCAACGACCCCAGTGACGACTCCAGAGACAACTCCAGGGACACCGACTACGCCTACGGAGACGACTCCTATGTCGACGACCCCAGAGACTACCCCGGAAACCCCCACGACTTCTATGCCTCCGACAACGCCGATAACAAGTTACCCCGGAACCACGACTAGCGAGACGGAATCTACCGTCTACAGTTCTACGACGGAAACGGTTCCGGAATGCTCGTCTGAAACGACGCCCTGTTCCGAGCACACTACCCCGGCTACTCCAACCTATCCCACAACCACGTCCGCTATCAGCACTACCACTCCGGAGACGCCTACCACGCCTCCGGTCACCGAGACTACTCCGCCGGTCGAGACGACTCCCACAACCTATCCGGGCACGACTACCACGGAGGTTGAGACCACTACTACTACGAGTTCATGCGAGACAAGTGAGACCACGACAAGCGAGTCTACCACCGAAGTTACTAGTGCAACGACCAGCGAAACCACTAGCGAGACTACCACTGAGGCTACAACTAGCGAAACAACTAGTGAGTCTACCACCAGCATGTCTACCACGCCGACGTACCCCGGGACGACGACGACAGAAGTCGAGACCACGACGACCACGAGCTCGTGCGAGACAAGCGAAAGCTCAACTTCGGTTCCGTCGGTGACGACCGAGTATCCATCGGCTACTTCGTCGACCGGGACCGGATACGGTACCACGTCAACCGAGGAAGCTTCGAGCACCAGCGCAACGGAATTCGCGCCCCCTACATCGAGTATCCCTCCTCCCGGTCCCCCCGAGATGACGCCACCCGCTCCCACGGAATCCGAGTCCGGCGGTCCGCCAGCACCAACATCTAGCTCCTCCGCGGGCGACGATTGGTCGGGCGAGAAGGGTGACGAGCACGCCGGATCAGATTGGTCAAGCGAGAACAACCACAACGGCGACCACGCCGGCTCCGCCTGGTCGGGAGCAGGAGCGGCAGCAGGTGACCACGGGAGTTCCAGTTCGCAAAGCCCATCCTGGAAAGCCAGCAAGAACCGGCGTCAAGCCCCCACCGACTCCTGTCCCGGCGACTTACCCGGGTCCTGGGAAGCGCCGGCGCTGATCCTGCCCCTGGACGCGGCGAACCCGGGCACGGCCTTCGAGCCCACGACCCACGGCGAAGTATCGTCAACAGTATCCACTGTGTTCCGCTTCGACATCCCGTCCGTCGACAGCGTCAAGAGCTGCCGTCTCGTGTTCCTGTTGCCGGACCGGCTGAACGGGACCGAGCCGGCGCTGAACCTGACGGGGACGGGCGAGCTGGCGTTCGCGCGGCTGGGCGGACGCGTGGACGAGGAGACCACGCTGGATAACCTCGTCGATGCCGTGTGGAGCTACAACCAGATTACCGTCGAGGCGGACGGCGCGTACACGGTCGACACGTTTGCCTGCGCGGGAGGTGAGGACGTGGCTGTCGAGCTGGCTGGCGTGGTTGGCGGCGACACCGAGCTTAGCTTCCTTGAGGACTGGGCGGCGGGCGAGTGCCCTCTCGGGCTGTACTTGCTCACGTCCGAGGAGACGGATTTGTAGATGGTCTCGTATACCTATCTGAGTAGGTAACCCTAATTGTAAGAATGGAAAGAAAAAGAAGAAATTGATTGGAAGTGTTTCTGCAGAGTCCGGTTAGTAGCCTATTAATAACGATGTCTACATGTATGTACGAGCATACCTATGAGGACATGGATGAGGCTTGACTTTGTATTGATGGGTTGAGGTGGTAATAGGAATAGTAATACGTAGCCGTCCTTACCTAGTTATATGTTATATATTTCTTTTGTCACCTAGCTTCTCTTCTAGGTATCCTACCTAGTTCGAACCCGAACGGTGGTGACACTGTTGATCTTTTATTGCGAAATTTCCTCCTCCATTCAGAGACAAGACAAACTGATGACGATAGATCACCTCCCCTTCCACCTCAACCTCCCCACCCAGTCAACCCACCTCTTCACCCCCTCCTCCTCCATTAACAACTCCACCGTATAATACTTCCGCGCCAGCTCCTCGTGTCCCGCGAACCGATGCACAAACCGATGACACGCGCCGCACAGCCACGCCACATTCTGCAGGTCCTCCTCGCGGTGCCAACCGCGCCTGACCGCCTTCGCATGCACGAACCGAGGGATCAGGTGATGATACGATAAGTTGATCCAGTCTCTCCCGCACAGCTCGCAGCCCTCCGCCTCTCTCAGCGTGGCGCGGGGAGCTGGGGGCGGCGTGGATAGAGCGGTTAGATAGGAAGTCAAGATCGGGGCGAGGAACTCGTCGACGCCCTGAGTAGGCTCGCGCGTTATCGCGTACGCGGACAGGGAGTCGGCGACAGAGGGGTCCAGGGAGGGGAGCAGTTGCGGCGTATCAAATCCCGTGAAGGGTAAGGCGTACCGCGATTGTAGGTCTGCGTCCTTAACGTATGAGTGGTAGTCGAGGGTTTTGAGCTCGGCGGGGAGCGCACGGAAGGTTTCGGCCGCGATGTAATCTGCAAAGTCGGCGAGGGAATCTGCGTTGCTGAGATCCGAGTCTGTTTCTGCTTCTGCTTCTGCCTCTGCCTCCGCGTCTACGTCCACGTCCACGTCCGGCGCCTTCGTAGCATTTCCGTTTCTAATTCGTGTCTGCGATGCGGTTGAATGCCTTTTTGATCGAGGCTTTCGCTTCGGCTTTGATTGGGGTTGCGAGATCTTCTCTATGAGCGCTGTTGAGAGACAGTCCCGGAATATCTCGTAGTTCTTCTGCTGGTCCTCCGGTATCGATGTCATCTTACTGGATTAAGGACTGGGATACAATTAGCATGTCCAAATATTCAAGGATATGACCCCGAGTCGATGCCGTCAAATTCGGAATGCAAACAGATGGTACCAGGGCTCCCTAACACAATATTTAAATCCAGCTAAACCTAACTACCTGCCTAGTAGGCATGACATACTAGCAGTAAGACAGTTAGTTATCTGCTCTAGCTATCTGCTATAGCTAGTACGTTAACCTAAAACTTCATCCGAAGCTATTCGCACATGACAGATGGATGTCCTTAGCGGGTATCTACCCCGATTCGGTATCCAGCTACCCCGCATGATGGAACTAATGCATCATTGCGGTACGGAAGGGAACCGGAGTGCGGACGGCGGAAGGGCGTACAACGGACAATGACAAATCTCATGATTCCTCATCATATTAATGGAGCAGGTATATGGGGTGTCTCTCTCTGATCTCCCCTACTTCTCCCTATAATTATCTCTCTATTTCTTCTCCGGTTGACTCACTTGCCGATTTCAGCTCTAAAGCGGATACGAGCTAAACGGATCTAGTCATGGCGACCAAGACTATTATAGCATTTGATCTCTACGGGACGCTATTGTCCACCGAATCGATCGCCGACGAACTAGCGAAGATCTATGGCGAAGATAAGGCGAAGTCCTTGGCTGCATTATGGCGACGGTATCAGCTAGAGTACACTTGGCGGATTAATAGCATGGGTATAGCAGAGCTATTTCCTCTCTCATAAAGCTAGCACTGAAAGTGATCGTGTTCACGCTTCAATATTCTCTAACGAGAAATACTAGGCGAATACAAGCCGTTCGGCGAGATAACGCTGAATGCTCTGCGTCACGCGGTGGCGGAACACGGTCTGACGCTTGCCGCGGAAGATGCGGACGCTCTTATGAGATCGTACGATGCACTACACGTCTTCCCGGAAATACCTTCGGCGTTGAAGCTTTTGGAAGAGCATGGCGACTCGGTCGAAGCTTATGTCTTCTCAAACGGCACCGGAGAGATGGTTGGAAACTCGATCAAGACATCTCCGGATCTAGGACCTCACGCTTCGAGGTTCAGATCGCTCATTACAGTTGACGAAGTTAAGTGTTTTAAGCCGGACAGGAGAGGCTACGATCATCTTCTCGAACAGATCGGAAGACGAGGGGATACGAGTAAAGTCTGGCTCGTGAGCGCGAATCCTTTTGATGTCGTCGGCTCGAGGGCTGCGGGATTGAATGCTGCCTTCATCGACAGATCTGGCAAAGGTTGGATAGATCATTTAGACGACAAGCGCGCCCCGTCCGTGGTCGCGTCAGGGGTCGACGAAGCGATCAAGTTGATTCTAAAGTATTAATTTATTATCTTTCATGATGCATATTATAACTAGATCATTCTTTCATAACATAGCATTTCACCATCCATCGCACAGGGTACCAACGTTGCCAAGCTAGAACAGACGGTTAATAGAGTAAGTAGAATAGGTAAGACATGCCTAGGCAATCTTGTGGAAGCTCTCGATAGTCTTGATGATCTCCTCGGCAAACAGTTCCGCGTCGACCGGATACCGAGCACTGATGTAGTTGTACTGCTTATCTTCGACATAGAAGCTAAAAGCAGATGTAAGCAAAGGAAGCGAGCGCATATGTCCATTTACATAGTCTAGTGTTGAGGGATATGAACTAGAGATAGAGGTAACCTACGGGCCGGGATTCAATTCAGCCTTGAACTGAGCTGGGTCGGCGAGGACCTTTTTGACCTGTGGACGCATCTAGTTAGATGACGACGCCGGAAAATCGTGAAACAATGTAAGTCTCACCGAATCCTCCACATTCTCGCTTCCGTGGCCGTACGTCTTGTAGTAGTCGCCGAGGACCGCCCGAGTTCCCCAGTACGCGGCTTGCTCGAACTTGGCCGGGAGAGCTGTGGTGTCGCAGTCACGTATGACGCTCCTACCGGCCGCGTCCTTCGACTCGGACAAGACCATGACCCCGTGACAAACCGCACCCACTACCTTCTTGCTCGGCTTTTTGGTCTTGGGGAAGTAATCCACCACGAGCTTATGTACGATAGGCGAATCGATGATCTGCCTAACACCTTTATCGTGGCCTCCGGGGAAGATGACGAGGTCGAAGGGGTCGAGAGAGAAGTCGGGGTCGGACCACGCGAGAGGATGACGCACCTCCTCGCTTATAATCATCTTCTTATACTGAGAGATGACTTCCTTCTTGGCGCCCTGCTAGGTCATTAGGATCTGTTGTTACAAGTTCCCGTGTGAGCTATCACGAGCCGTCGTGCCGTACGAGTAGCTTTTGCGTGAATCCTTCCAACATCTTCTTGTCGCATCGCGGCGGTTTGCCGTTCTCGGTGGCGAACTTGATATCGTACTTTGCTTCTTTGAATGCGGTGTAAGGGACGGCGGTCTCTATATACTAGGAGTTAGAGCCTCGATACGCGCGAGTCGAAGGTTGCTGGAAATGTTGCGAACCTGTGGGATCGTGGCCGTAGTCGGCCATCATGAAGAGGACCTTGGGAGTGGGCACATACATCCCTGGATGTGTAATCACCGGGTCTTCCAGTCTGTCCATGATGTCGTGGAAATATGAAAGTTATCCGTAGTATACTATGATCTGGGGATATTTGCGCGAAGTGATATTGAATTTGGAAGTTAGGAAAGTTGAATACGAAAGAACATCGAAGCCGGCAACTTTGAAGTGGGAGCTGGAGTTGACGTAAGTAGGTACCTAGATACAGTAGTTAATCCACCTAAGGCTTGGTACCTCGGCACTAAAACACCTGCCCAATTAGGGCGATAGTGCTGGCAAACGCCTAATGCACGGACCGCCTTGCCATCTACAGGGTATCATGTCATCGGTCGCACATCTCTACCACACTCCAACGTTCTCTTTCTTTCATCATCTAGAAACCCACCTAGTTACCTACATTTCACGACATACTCAGCATACCCGGATAGATAGACGAGTAATCGAATCATAGTCGCTGCCCTGAGATCTTCGACATCTCGTAATACAACACCATATCTCGATATTCGCGAATTGACTTGTTCATTCGGGAGAATCTTCCTCTCCTTATGATGCGCTAATCTAACGACCCTGTATATCCCCGATCTTCGTGATCCCATCCTAATAACGGCCACTCCTTCGGCAGCGTTGAGAACGGAGGTAGGATATATCTGCCGTCGCAGGATGAGTCCGTACACGGAAGATCGCACAAGCCGAAGACGTTGCAATAACACTCCTTCGCGGAAGGGCAGTGATAGGCCTCCTTTCCAAAGATGACTGCGATAGGAAATGATTAGAATGCTCGGAATGGGCAGAGAAGGATATGGGTAAGGGTATGAGTAAGAATGCTAAGATCCGGGTGACTCACTATGCCACGAAAATTCCATCACTCGCCCGCTTAGCCCGTCGTCTAACGGCGTCGAGAGCAGCCAGTCTCGAAAGCCCAGGTACCTCTCCTTCGAGTGCAGTCGTATGGTGTCCCTGCTCACAGCGAATTGCGAGCAGCAGCTGACTGCGACGACATCCGGCACGGGCACTTCGGGGAGCAGTTCCTCGAAGGCTCTTCTGAATACGCCTTTAGCGGTAGGTTGTTTTCCATTAGTGACCTTGCTCCACGCCCCGTCTGGACCGATCTCCTCATCTTCGAAGGGCCGGATCTCGGCCGGACACCCGATGATCCACACGCAGCGGAGGTTGACGTAGCCGGCCTCGCGTACGTACGGGAGCCGCAAGTTGCGCAGCGGAGGTATTATGTCGTAGTCCGGGTCGTCGTTGTGCCATTGAAAACGCGACGCGTGGACGAAGATTGCCGTCTCGGGCAGGTCGTCGTAGTTGTCGATGATGTACGTGAGATATACCATAGCCTCGCGGCCCTTGTTCTTCGGCACCGTCAGGAGCGTCCAGGGATCGTCGACTATGTATACTTTTGGGTTCCAGTGTGGAAAGTGGCGGTAAACCCACGAAGCATCCTCCTTTCTCGTGCTCGCTACCACAATCTCTGTTTCGCGATGGGTGGTAAGATGCAACTTGACCTCACTGCTGCTAACGGGATCATTGATGTTTTGCGGCAGGGCATTGCTGCGTCGATAGTTGCAGAGAAGTAGAAGGGAGATGAGAAAGATCGAAACCAGTATATAGGCGGGACGATATCGCGATCGGCTACCTGCCAACATCTTGGGATTACCTGCATCGAGGCCGGATCCAGATGTCGGGATACAGATATGACATTGGTGATGTTAAATTAAAGATCAGATAAAAAAACAATGTCCTTTACGCCTTCCCACCTTCCCGCCAGCCGTTGGTTACACAACTAAGCCAACAAACATTCAAGATGCATAGCTAGTAGGTGGTACATAGCATGGATGCAATTCCTTGTAGGGCTACACGAACATGACCTCAAAATATATGGAGTTACTTATCATAATACCCGCTTTTGATGTGCATACATCTTAACCAACAGAAAGTAAGATTTACATACTCTTTGCGCTTAGAGGTCGACATAGAGCTGGTTCATGTAACCGTGTCCGACATCATCGTGGAAATTGATTGGTAAATATTCCAATGCCTACAATGGTAATACTTCTCATTGTGAAGCCTTCCCGTGTTCGTGTCACGCTGGCGTCTCGGATTGACATATCGCTTACGCTTGCTTTAGAACCTTCTGTTCCTGGATGAAATACCTTTGAAGCGGAGCAAATGTGTGAAAGTAACCTACTACGTGGAATCAGAATCGATGATAATGAGCTGGCCCTTGGTGAAAGGAGATGTCATAAGTTGACGACTGACCCTTTTCATCGTGCGGGTTACCCATCTTTGAAGTTTGACTTCACTTTGTTTAACAAGTAGAATCATGTTATCTTTCATCTCAGAGTACATACCTATATATTTTCAATGACTTCATACCGACAATATTGTCTAAACTCCAAGCAGAGATTAGACGGCCTAGAGATGCCGATGCCTGAGCTAAGATTGACGTGAGAAACGACGCAAACCTCCTTTTCAGAAGGGATGCGCGCTCCAGAGTTTGGCTATACTAGATTCAACTCGATATGTAGTCCTAGTAACACTATTTGCTGTAAGTGTCATCCATATCTAGGCAGGAGATAGATATATCATCATCTAACCGCTCAACAAGGCATGAGAAGGGAGGTATTCCCGTCATACCAGCAAGAGATGAAGTTGGAATGGTGTTGCGCGGGAAAGTATTGTAACCGTTCCCTACTGCCCCTACAAGCTCAAGATCGAGAACTCACGCTTGTTATAGTGGCACCAGAACTTCTATGGTGACCAACCTTCTGTGTGCAACTCAGCGAACTCGGTAGCTTGCGTAGGCCTCGCACCAAACACGACGAGCGCATGCTGTCCTCGATTAACCAGGTGCTCCACCGGGTTTCAAGCCGCCGAGAGCCATGTGTGTAATGAGAGATCCGCCATGCCGACTTGATGTAGCTTGTCGCCACGGCCTCTCAGAGAAGTGCGCCTATTACTGATACTTCGTCTACTCCGCCCACTTCCACTTCTTCCACTTCGTCCACCAATACCATTTCCAACACGTCTACAAGCACAGACAGTCCTGTGCAAACGCAGAACGACATCACAAAGCCGCGGCGAGCTAGCATGTGATGTCCTCAGAGACACGTGCCGGAATAACGGTTGTCTCAGACGGTTTCGTCATCTTGGCGGCTCTGGGTAGCATTTTGCTTTTTGTGTCGCAAAGGGAAGACGATGGATGGTGCCATGAATAATACCAGTAACGACGATAATCTTGTGGCAATATAATACCGAGACTGAAGACCCTCAGTACCCGTCAGAGCTCGCCTTGATAGAACCCCCAATGGAATTTTCCCCTGATCGACCCCCAGCAGAATTACCCGGATAACCCAATACACATATGAATTCAGGATACAGTATAGAGTAAGAGTAATAATCGTTACAGAGGAACTGTGGACGCGTGTTGGTGAGGTGCTCTGGCTAACCAAGCGGAAGATGATGACGAAGAATTTAAAAGACCTTATAGTTCCTTAGGGGTTGCACGACATATTTGTACGTGTCTAATTGTAACACGTTCATCACGAGGATATGATTATATACATTTCCTCGTAGCTCAGGTACAGAAATACGACGGTCTACTCAACTAAATTTACACAAGATACCGTCCATTTCGTACCTATCCAACTATTGTCACATGCTCCTCCAACGGCAACAGAAATATACGGATATGATGTAATCGAACGTGCTAAGGCCTCTGCTATTGTTATTCGGTGATTGAACCAATGGGGTCATCCCGTCGCACTTCTAACACCTAATAACGTGCCGGGTACCTAGCGTGCCGGCAGGGAATTCCCTAAGACAACTACCGGCGGATTTTGGCGAATCAGAAGTAATGCCGACGCAGTAAGAGCCCCTAATAATAGTTCCTATAACCCCTATAATAACCCTTAATAACAGTAGAACTAGACATTCCCATACGAAACATTCGCAGACAGGCAGGCAAGCAGGCAGGCTACCGGGGCTCCTCTCTATTTTATCATCCTTCAGCCCCTCCACCATTCGGGATTTTCCAACGCATCCAATCAGCTCCAATTAGCGTTCCAACACCCCCAACAACGCCCAGCCCCTAGGCTCAGATGACCCAGATTTGTGACCAGCTCACATTCTTACAGGGCGCCGCCTATTGGCCGTAGATGCGAAGATGGAGCCCGGGAAGACCCCAAATAAACCCCAAGGGGTGAAGCGTCTCAGCCCTGTAAAAGGGCGCTACATAGCCACGATGCGACGGTACGGAATGCGCAGCACGGCTGTTGCGTGCCGTTGCCGACGCCGTAGCGAAGAGAGCCACCGTGCATTTTTTTGTCTCTCTCTTGTGACTCTTACGGCCGGGGACTAGGCAACTTTTTTAGAAGGTACCTAATTAAAGACTAGGTAAAGTAGCAGAGTAGGTTGGTAGGTAGCTGACAGGCACGAGGATGAGCATACTAGGCGTGTTGGGCGTAATAAAACGCTGCTGCTACCCCGACGTGGGCGCTCTCTTCTCCGCCCTAGATTTTTCTGCCTACTTCAGCTGCGTCCTCGTCGGTATGGTAGGCGGCCTTCTCTACATGTCCAACATATTCGCTCGAGCAGATGGAGCGCGACAGCGAGTTTTTCGATCGCGGCCAACCATGGATCGCACCGAGTTTTTCGGCTCGCAGGTCGGCGGCGAGTCCGTCATTAGCTACAGCTACACCGACATGCCCTGGAGGCTGATGATGTGGGATGTGAAATACTTCTTCACCTTTTCCTGGGCTCTGCCTTGGGTAGTGTGGCCAGTCCGACCTTGCGACGGAGACCATTTCGACGAGCTCTCGTTTACCTGGCAGAACTTGTGGTGCATCGCCATCCATGCGATTCTCGCAGTTATGCAGGTTTTCTTCATATTAACGCTACCTTTAGCTCTCCTCTTGCCGGCTTGGATGGTGATAATGTATTGGGGTGCATTTTTCTCGGTAAATTGGCTGCTATGCCTCGGTTTGAACGGTAACACCATAACGTTTCACTCTGATCCAGAATACGCGCCCGCGTTAGAGGAGCACGCGCACGAGCAGTGGATATTCTTAAACGGCGTGGCCGTCGGGTACGTGTGACCTCGTGACGACCGCTGTGCTCGAAATGGATTTCGCTAACCCTGCATGTCTAGGGAAGCTTGGCTAAAAAGCAACATCAATCGTCTAGCCCTTACATTCAAGCGGCCGGTTATAGGCGTACATAACCGTACTACGGGTATCATATTCGACGTCGTCGAATGTCTAATTCAGCGAAATTTTGGATATGCTACGAGCGACATTCGTCTAGCTTACAAGATTGTCAAAGAGAAGCTGTATAATCCGCGGTATTCGAAAGTGGTATTTATCTTGCATTCCCAGGGAGGAATCGAAGGAGGTCTAGTCTTGGATTGGCTCCTTCAAGAGCTGCCGCAAGACCTCCTCTCCAAACTGGAAGTCTACACTTTCGGGAACGCGTCTAACCATTTCAACAACCCGCATCGACACATCGACTCCCAGGAAGCCGAAAACAAGGTTCCTAGAACGGATACTCTTATACCTAGTACTATCACAGAAGTCCCGCTTAGCGACTCTCCGATCGAAACTCGCTCTCTAGAGTCGAGCAGGCGGCTATCAAACGGCAGCGCAAGTTTTTATGAAGGCAATGGGCGCGTCCCTACGCTTACTACTAAGGAATCGGACACATCGCGAGCGACGGCTTACACCGTACCCGCGTCTGATCGCGCGATCGCCCACGTCGAGCATTACGCCCACACGACAGATTTTGTCGCGTTATGGGGGATCTTGCATTTCGTTAGAAACGAGAGGGCCTCTCCAGAGATGCCCCGATACATCGGTCGTGTGTTCAGCCGTACCTCCGCGCGTGGCGGCCATCAGTTCTGCCAGCACTACCTAAACGGGATGTTCCCGCTCGCGCGAAACGCCAAGGGCGAATTCATCGGATGTGCCGAGCACAACGATTTTATGAGCAGCATCGTGGAAGTGGCTAAGAGGGGCGCGGAGAAAGATAGCGTACGCGAGGCTGTTGATAATAATTGGTCCCTGATCGAGCTCGCGGGGCGGAAGGGAAGCATTGTTAAGGGCCCGGTTGCGGTGCATGGTAGCTTTCACGAAGACGACGAGATCAACGACGGAAATGTGAGGGTGAAAGATCTGAGCCGGCTGTGGCAGTACAGAAATGGGCGAAGTCCTCCGGATCTACCGCGGGAAGTGAGAAGGATGACTTTTGAGTACTAATGGCGAAGAACTACGATACAGACTTCATTTTATGAGTTGAGTCGCGAAAACTTGGGGACTCTACTTGGAGTTGCAGGATAGGATGCATATGGTTGTTTATCTAGACTGGATACCCTTTCCAATTCTCAGGTTCAAAATAGGAATACAGCATATAGCATTCAGCATACAGCGTTCAGCATACAGCATCAGCATCTATATAGCATTTAAGTTGGTTCGTGTTGTCTACCGAAACGGCATCATGCGTACTCAATCTTAAACACCCAACAGTACTCCTCTTTATCCAAGAGCGCGTCGGTAACCTCGATATTTAACACCGCCTGACTACCCTGTCCGATCACCTTCCACGCCAACTTCCCTCCTCCTTCGACAGCCAACAGACTAACCTCGTCGCCTTTCAACACAGGCACCGGCGCCGCAACTTTAACAACCCCATCCTCCACCGCCGGCCGTTCCAAAAACAACACGTAGAACGCCCCATCCGCCTGCGTGAACCTCACGTCGGGACCCCCCTCGATCTCGCTCTGCACAAACCAATACGTCGTATCGAACACCGCCTCCCCGTGGCTCTTGATCCAGCGCCCGGCCTCGCGCAGCCGGTCCACCTCGGCCTGCACTATGGTTCCGTCGGCGCGTGGCCCAACATCGAGGAGCAGGTTCCCGTTCTTCGACACGATGTCCACTAGCGTGTAGATCAAGGTAGTCGCATTCATGTAAGCGGACGCCGGCGTCGCTTGGTTGTACCCGTAGCTATACGGGTCCATGCCCTGGTTGCTCTCCCACTTGCGCCGCTGAGCCGACCCGAAACGCATGTACTCCGGCGTATCGAAGTCAGCGGCCTGGGGGACGCCGCACCGGCTGTTGATGGCGACTTGCCGGTCTTGCTTGCGCGCGGCGTTGAACCAGGACGAGGCGAACGTCGCGGTCACGTTCGCGGCCCCGCAGTCGCACCACATGATGTCCGTGCCGTAGTCGTACGCCAGCGTGTCCATCTGCGGGAGCATGACGTCCGTCAGGAAGTCGTCGACCGGGATGCGTCCGGTGTACGGCTCTACGGCGCCCGTGTACGGGTTCGTGGCCTGGACCCCGGGCCAGCTGTTGGTCCCGGGCACGGTGGCCGGGTCGAATTGGTCGAAGCCGTATGGCCCGAAGTCCGGGTTGAACCACTCGGGGAGCGAGAAGTAGGTCCCGCGCTTTAGCTGCGGCTGGTACTTGGCGGCCGCGTCGAATAGCTCGCCTAGCACGTCGCGCTGCGGTCCATAGTGCAGTGCGGACCGGTTGCTGGATGAGCCGGCGTCAAAGAGCGAGAAGCCGTCGTGATGTTTCGAGGTTATCACGAAGTACTTGGCGCCGGCATCGGCGATCAGATCAACCCACGCTTTCGGGTCGTAGGCCGACGCCGTGAAGTTTGGGAAGGTGTCGTCATATGCCCAGTCTTTGCCGTAAGTACGCAGCCGGTAGTCGTAGAAGTCTGAGGGGTCGGCTTGGGGGTGATGTGTCGAGTACCACCTATATTTATCTTCGATCAGTGGGGATAGGGGATAGGGGATAGGGGATGGGGGATGGGGATGGGGATGGGGATAAAGATCTATCGGAGACTGGATGAGTGAGGCACTTGGGTATCACATACCAAAACCATTCTGCGTAGCTTTCGTATGGCGACGAGTTACCCCATCCCGTAACGGCGTACGGACCCCAGTGGATGAATATCCCGTATTTGGCGTTGTTGAACCATTCTGGGCTCTCGTGCTTTGCGAGGTTGTCTAGGTCCGTCGTCCATTCTGTCAACCCAAACTGGATATTGTCGAACTCGGTTGTCCGTTGACTGCCAGCGTAGTCTAGGATCACGGAGACATTTACTACGGCTGAGGAAGTGGATTCTACCCCGATAGTCACGATTTTTTGATCGCCCGGGCATAGGCGCTTCAGATATCCTTTTCCAGCAGTCTGAAGACCATCCCCTAATAGGGTCAAATTCAAGCCATCACCCGCCACGCATTCGGATCCCGCATTGTTCAGCGTTATCTCGACTGCTTGCACGCCGCTGCTGATCCATTTTTGAGTCGGGCGGACAGACTGCACATCTACCGCTGAGCCCCCGGTCCATAACGAGATGGCGAATACGTGCAGCCTGCCATCGTCTGCGCTAGTCGCTTCTGGCAAAGATATTGCGCGCAATTCCTTGCCGGGACTTAGCGCCGCTGTGCGTTCAAAGATGTGGCTGGTGTTATAATCCACACCGGTCGCGGTGAAGCGACTTGGGAAGATCAGTTCGCCCCGATTGATGGTTAGGAAGCTGAACCAGTCCAGGGAGCGTAGTTCGTACACCGACGTGCTATTATCGGTGTACGTGAAAGTCACGTTCCCTGACACGATAGCTAGCTCCTTATCTTCGGAGATCAGGAACGAAGCCGAGAAGTATGACCCGGCGGGCACGGCTATAGTTTGACCATCGACTATAACGTTGTCCGACTTGTTGGGCCCGGTATATCCCGGAAACGAGTATACTAGACCTGTGTAGCTCGAGGTGTAGTAGGGCGTGTCTAGATCAGGTGCGGGATATGATTGGCCTAACGTATCGAAGGAGGTCTCGCCTGGATATGTTCCAAAGGCTTTATTGTTGTAGAACGGTGATAGGTCAAGCGGGATAGACTTTTACGTGTTAGTTATATAACGACGTCGATCACTGAGGTTATTCCTTTATTTCCTCTCCTTCCTCACTTAGAATAACACCATTATTGTACACATAATCGACGAAAGTGACTTACTTGTAACCCGGACGGCTTAAGCCGTGACGCCGCGGCAAACACCGTCACACAAGAGAGAAGACTGGTAAGAGTCCTATAGCCCACCACCATTGTCGCTGATTACTTCACTTTTCGTTTCCGGGTCCTTACATAACAATTGGTCATGTGTAATGAGTAATATATACCAAAACTCAAATCATTCGTGCCGGCCCTCAGGTCCGCGATACCTCGCCCGCTCGATCGGCGTTCTAATCGTGACAACGTTACATTCCGACTTTTTAGGCATGTACCGAGATCTATTGCAAGCTTGATAACAAGATTCCAGGGTTTATACGGCCGCCGATGTTGCGCAAAAGATGTAATTGGCCTAGATAGGTGGCATATAGGAGATTCGGTTCTTGATCTAGCGAACCCCGCGGAAGAATGTCCAAGATGTTAAATCATTGTCGCGATAAGGCGAAAGGGTTACTTGCGCTAGAGTATACTACTTTGACCAAGTTTTATTGACATACCACAATTCTTAGTAAGGTTATAGCATTTTTTTTCTTAGTAACGTATTACTACAACATCTATCCAATGCATATGATAGTTGCCCGTTGCCCAAGGGTATGGTAATGTTTTAATGAAATAACCAACGCTTGATCTAGACTTGTAAGATGATTGAAATCTTCATAGTCGCCGGTGACTTTATATAATGGAATAGGCAGGCAGGTAGGCCTGTATGTTTCCCAGATGCATCCGACGCCAACTCAAATACTAGACCAATTATAGAACTCCATTAGAGCTAACAAATGAAAGTGGTTCAGTCTATGGTCATGACTCATGAGGGAAATAATTCATGATTTCCCAGACGGCACTCTTCCATCGAAACGACGACGATGTTCATGACAGCTTCTAGTTATGCCGTCAATATCCGTTTATACAAATAGGGGAACTTGGGATGCACTCATGTGTCATATTCAAACTTCGGTAGGAGGTAGGAAGGTATAATCTCGTTTGCAGAATGAGAATTTGTCATCAGGGGCAAATCCATATCTCGGCAGCAAGAATCGAACTGTCGTTTCATCTTACCGACAGATATTGTTGACTATTCCAGATATTTTGAACTACTCGTCCCGGTAAACCGGTAGGATCCATCTTGAATTGCCATAAATACAAACGGCTTATGAGCTATATCACATCTCGAGAGAGTGGACACTATCAATCTATCGTCCTAATAGTCTTTCATCGATGGCTATGGACTCGCGGGCCTATTTTAGGCCGCATTTAAGCCTAGTTGGCATTTCGCTTACGAGACCGTGGATGTGAAGTCATTTAAGAGTGGCACCGTCCCATATGCATGGAGGAATGATTTGGAATTCTTCTACTCTACCATGTGGCCCTTGCCCACGAGGACCTATGCCTTGCGGCACAATTAACCGATCTAGTGGGTGGGAAACTGGAAGAAGGCCTGTGACAAGCAGCCTCGATATGAAGGCGACAGCATAGGTATTTGGCCGCAGGTACGTCTCGTCTGACAAGCATTCGCCCACGATCCCACGCCCATCTACGGATAGCACTATCGCAGCGTTCGAAAGCATGTTACGGTCCAATAAGAAAATCTAGCCATGGCACTAATATCTGTACCTATAGGCGAGACGAATCAGATAGACGACGTCTATATTTCCTTCGGTGATGACGACACTAGAATGTGTGTCAATATGAATTCTTATGGTATGGTATGGATGCCGGACAAGGACTTAGACAACCTCTTGGCGCTTCTTCCTCCCCTCTACATTAGGACCGAGATTTCGACCGGATATAGTGAAGGGCGGGCGCTCCCTCGGCACCCTGGTTGCTTCCAGTCGCCCTCGTCGCTCGATCGGTCGTGAGGCTGCCTAGGTCCCCAGGTTATGTCGATCGATCGTCGACGGTATGGGATCCTGAACCTAAACCCGGGAAGGATGACCCTTAGAAGCGTTAGAATGAAGAGCTTGACGTAGAATGCTCTTGAATTGTCTAGAACCGCCCTTAGCTCTCGGACAAGGCGATATGGATGAGTAGGGTCGGTAACCTAATTCAACAGTCAACTTAGCGGACATGATCAACTTACACGTGTAAGGAGGCATGACAGGAAACATGATAGGGCTACCAGTGGCGACAACACGTCCGATTCTGGCTCGAATTTGCCTAGTCCCATAATTTCCGAGCACCAGATGCGGCTTGTTGCTACTCTGCCATTTATCGCCGTTCTATAATTGGGGGTTGCAAATAACCGGGTAAATGCCGTACAGCCAGAAGGGGTTGGAGGAGCAGGGCCCAGGAAATCAATCAACACTCGGAGCTATGGCTGCCCATGACCCCCAATGCGGAAATCGAGTCAATCAAAGCTGCAAAATGATCCTGGCCAATGGTTCTGGTATTGCCCAAGGCGAAGAAGTCTTCGAGCGACTTCTTCGGGCTCGGCAGTTCGCCATCCTGACTCGCGAAATCGTGCCCCTGAGAATCATACAAGTAGGAACAGGCATCACGAACTTCCCCAGATTTTCAGCTCCCCGGATTCTACTTCTGTAACCGCGCCTCTCATAGCTCGCTACTAATCCATTCGTCGCTTCGTCCAACGTTCTCGCTCGATACACCCAAAGGCTAGTCGATCAACGTTTCGAGGTAGATCAAGTCACGATGCAGCTGACTACTTTCGCTGCCGTTGCGCTTCTAGCGCAAAATGGCGCCGCTCAGTTCGGTAACACTATGTTGCGATTCGCGTGCTCTCAGTTGGTTGTCGACCGTATCGACCCCTTGGTGAACCCGGGCATGAAGTACACTCCTCACCTTCACCAGCTGGTCGGCGGCAACTCCCTAAACGTAACCATGGACCCCGAGGTTCACGACCTGGCCGCCTCGACGTGCACGTCCTGCACGTTCAAGGAGGACAAGTCCAACTACTGGACCGCCGTCATGTTCTTCAAGGCTAAGAACGGAACGTACAAGAGAGTTCCCCAGGTCGGCAACGGCGGACCGCAAGGAAAGTTGATCAACAAGGGCGGTCTCGATCTCTACTACATCCCCAGCGGCAAGGTTACCGCTTTCAAGAAGGTATGGAGATATTCTTTGCCGGTTACCCCTTATTTCTGCGGGCGGGAATAATTGTCTAACGAAAACTAGGGTTTCCGCATGTTAGCCGGTAACGCCGCCAACACCGACCCCAGCAAGGTCCAGAAGGCGAACATCTGCCACCGATGCTGGACGTCGCCCAACGAGAACACGTTCGTCGGTGGTGCTCCTTGCACCGGTTCCGACACCGTCGACATTCCCAGTTCCCAGAGCTGCAAGATGATCCGACAAACCATCATCTTCCCCACGTAAGTTTTACAGATTCCCTAAGCCACTAAAGTCGTCGATCGCGGATTTCTGACTTCGGCACTAGATGTTGGGATGGCAAGAACCTGGACAGCCCGGACCACCAAAGCCACGTCTCCTACAGCTCCGGCTCCGGCGCTACCGGTGGCGGTGCCTGCCCGTCGACTCACCCCGTCAAGCTCCCTCAGATCATGTACGAGCTGATGTGGAACGTCACCGAGTTCGCCAACAGCCCCGACTTCCCCACCGACGGCTCGAACCCGTACGTCTACTCCATGAACATCGGGTAAGTAACAATCCCTCAAACCCTGTTATTTTCTGGGAGAAATTTCTAACAAATTCCCAGCGGCCCCGCTGCTCACGGTGACTACCTCTTCGGCTGGGAAGGCGACACTCTCCAGAAGGCCATGGACAACATCGGAAGCTGTGGTCTCAACACCGACTGTGCTACCGCTGGTATTCACGCCCAGACGCCCGACCAGTACAGCTCCTGCACACTCGAGCAACAAGCTCCTGAGGACGTTGATGGCTGTAAGTGCCCCTCTTATCAAATCGCCAAAAGGAGAATAGCGTATGCTAACAAAATGCAGGGCTCACGGCTCTCCCCATGGGCGAGATGGCTATCAAGGCTTAGACGAAGTCTCTTGAGAGGGAAACAAAGGGAGGGATTGATTCCGGTCAAGACAGCGTTCTTCGATTGAAATCTTGCCGGAGGGACTCTTCTGTGCTAGCGAAAGTGAAGCATTCATTACACGTAGTTTTAGTGTCAATGTTTGTAGATTCTTTTTAGAAGTTAGCCGTTGTCATCGACAAATTTCGCATAATTACTATACTTTGTTTTTACTTACCTGACTATCTGCCTACTATCTAACGAGGAATGTGCATTGCACTTCGAAAACCAGATCGCGACATCGTTCTTTAAAGAAAAAAGTGTTATGTAATTTCGACTTGACACCATGTAACATCTACCTAGTAGATGACTTCTGTTTAATGCGACAGAGGCAAGCACCCAAGCATGAGTCAGGTACTGAATACATCGAACGTCAGAAGTAAAACGTCAAATTGAACCAAATTGAGCCAATTTGAAGACACTATGTTTCTCTCAGGTACCTATCGCATAGACACTCTATTTATATACATCGTGAACGGTATCTGATCGGAAAGGACAGTAGAAATCACTTGGAGTGCCTCATCTCCCATCCATTCTCAGAACACCTGCAGTCCCCTATTCGCCCCCACTTCAGGACATAGCACCTCTGCTCAGTTTTAATTGTTTTGGTGGCATGTAATTAAGCGATGAATTTCTTTGCACGTCGAATCAGTCAGAACAAGTTCTCAAATCTTGAAAAGTAATGAACATTTTCATAATCTTAAATCTATAAGAAAATCCGCCAGCGCCTCACCTCAGTTCATCAGCAACGCACTCACAAGTTCCGATCCACGAGGTCCTGGAACTCTGCGTTCCCGGCTGACGCAAAGTCGTGGTCCCAGTAGTTGAACAGGTCGTGAACATTGATTGGGCTAGACTCGGACGACGGCTGGCTGGGCTTAGTTTTAGCGTACGCGAACGCGAGCCTGTTGCTGCCTGCCGGGTTTAGGCTCTTGGTCGTCGTGCCCGTCGTTGTAAATTGCGTGCAGCCCGTGCATTTGGCCGTGAACTGCCAGTGGGTGGCATTGGTCTTGCTACCCTTCGACAGCAGCTGCAGCGTGGCGCCGGTGTACGCTGTCGGTGCCGTGTGCGAGCTACGCCTGTCAGTTCTCTATTTCATTCAGACGGTTGTAGATTTTGAGGGCAAGATAGCCTGAGCCCGGATGAAATCTACAACTTGGAAAAGCAAAACATGCGACTTACGTAGCGCGACGGATGGATGTCATCGCACTAGCTCCGTTGGCCCAACCGATCAGTAAGGGGTTGTTCGTCATCGAGCCGCCCCAAGCGACACCAACCCAACCGGCAGCCACCGGGGCGACAACCTGGAGCACGACATCGTAGGGCTGGCCGGAGGTAGCCGGGCTCGGAATCGCGACGCGAAAGGTGATAGCTGATGTGCCCGTCGTGATCTGTGCGTTGTACTGCGAGAACGTGAACCCGGTGTCCGGGTCGCGGAACACGTCGGCGTTAGTTTCGGATGCTACACGTGAGAACCGCGTGACACGCATGTTAGTTCTCCAACGCTCAAGACTGTTCTCCGTTTCTCCTTCCGTCACCTCTTCATCCTGGGGTTACGCACCGAAACCGAGCAGTGCGGCTACGCACGTCAGACCAAAGTTAAAACGCATCTTGACTTGCTATCCTGAAGCCTTCAAGTGCTAAAAGACTAGTGATGTCGAACGAACGACGTCCTAGGATAGATAAATAGGTCGCCGAGGCCTTAAAGACAACTGTCCTCGAGGGCAACGTGTTAGGAAAGCTTTTATGCAGAATTAAGGCTTCGGTGGGATCTTACATATTACACGTGCGTGACGAGCGGCAGCACTCCCAGATTGATGAAATAGTAATATAAAGTTTGCAGGAAGTAGTAGAGATTGGGGGTGAGTTCACATGCGTAAGGAAGTCTATCCCAGGTCGTTAAGCAATTAAATATATCCATCGAACGACTCGTTATTAGAGCGAGTTTCACCCAAGATCTAAAGTCGGCCAGAGATGCGCGGTGACATAACAAGGAGCGCGGGCCGGGGACCGCAATAGCAAGTAGAAAGAGACAGGCTTGGACCGCGTAAACTAAGAGATCATCGAATTGTGTATGAAGCATCTGCAGTGCTTCGAGTCTTGGCTACATTCGCAAACGAGATGACAAAAAGCCTCCGTCCTGTGGAAAGCGCTTTGTTCGGAATACGGAAGGCCGCGATAGGTATCTATTGGAGTAGCAAGGGCCGAGGGAATGGATGCTGAGGTGGTAAAAAGGTGACGTTGAGAGCGCGCCATCTATTTAGCCGTATATTGGCTAGCTGGGGGATAACTAGGAGCGTGCAGAGCCGGGGCAAAATACGCCACGAGTAAAAAGGAACGTCTTCCCTTTCTACCCGTAACTTTGCTCCTGTTAATAATAGCAGAGCGAATGGCGTCCTCCGTAAGTAAACACCCCGGGGCTTGGTTGCGTGGGGAGCCCAGAACTATGTCAAGATAACCTCGTGCCTGCAGGCTAAGCATGTGTCGGCTCCGCGAAGAGGTGGGCTCGGTGACTGGCGGATAGACCAAGCAGATGCGTCATATTTCAAATCCTTTCGTCGCACATAAGACGTATCGCGACATTTCTCATGGTTGACTAAGTCAGTCCGCCTCTGCCAAGCTCGCGAAGACGACGTCCGAAAACTCGCTCTCACCTACGTGGTAGTATCGTGAGGTTTACCGGGAACGCGATCTCAGCATCCGAAAACTCGATAGTTGGTGTGGATCCCTCGACACGCTCCGTTTTTGGGACCTGTCGCCGTTCGATGTGTAAGCTATTTTGGGTTCGACCTAGGTAAGGATCAGGCGACAATGACGAGCTCCGGTCTAGACTCCAGCACCGAGAGTCTAGAGTCTAGGGTCTAGATAATTACCAGCAAATACCATTTCTATATTACGAACATGCAGAGTCGGGTTAGTTCCGCAGCTGCTCTGTAAATTGATAGATCCAGGACCCAGGGAACCGAGTTCCTTTGGTTCGTGATGGTTGGCTTGGGACCAGCAATGGCTGCTTGATTGGTCACCATATCGAGCCTCGGTGCCGTATCATCCTTAGAAACATGCAGTCCAACCCCTCTAAGCGTTAGTTATGCGAGTAATTTGAGTTAAGCTCACGTTGAGCCTCCATCACAGCTTGGACGAAGAATCGTGATTGGTATGATAATATTAGCAATATTACGACGCGGCTCTCGCGAATCAACGTCTTAGAAGATACAAGATGCTGCCAGGTCATTAATCGTAGATCGAGGCCTATTCTAGGCATGAGCTTATGGTGACTACCAGATACGTAATTCGAGTGACACGGCTCTCGTCTTATGTAGAGGTTCCTATGTAGCGAAATTAGTGGTGTTGGTCCTCGGGCAGCAGTCGCCGTGTAGCTGGACTTCAAAGTCTCGAGTCGTTTCTCTATAAGGTCCAAGTCAAGGTATCTAGGTAGATCTGGATAGACGAATTGCTGCAAATTATTGATCCCCATAAAGTTAGTAGAGATGTAGAACATCTTATCGAGGCATGCTCTGAAATTCGAAATTCCGTGGGCTTAGATTATCGAATAGGTATGCTTCTTGGAATCATGTCTGCTCTCCGGCTAGCATCTAATAGATATCCTCTTGTTAGGCCGATTGTTCTCGCCAGACCGATGCTAGAGCCTGTAGCGGAAACCGAAAGTCTTCCAGTCCGACACGTCCTCGTAATCCTCCGGTCTGAGCTGAACTTCGTTGACTGCCTCGGTCACGTTGCGGGAATCGACGACGTCGACCACCTTACCACCACCGACGGCACCTGATGCCCCGGCGCTACCTTCGATTCCCTCCTCCCGTTGTCTTCGCGTATTGACAAACTGTAAATAAAACCTAAGAAGCGCGGCGAGACAGACAACTAAGGCGTAACAGATCATGATGGCGCGGAACGCCGTGTCGTAGGTAGGCTCCTCGGAGGATATGAATAATTGAGGACCAACGATACTACGCAAGTTAGCGGATGATATAAGTGTGAGTTTAGGTACCTATCTAAGAGCACCTTTATGATGCGATACTTACTTTCCGGTACAATAAGCAATAAAGAGCAATGCGGTCATAGTCATCTTCTTCGTGACGCCGCGATAATTGGATTGGATAAGGGACAAGAGAAGGGGCAGGGCTGCCGGTCCGGTAGATAGGAGGAAATACCCAAATAGAGAAACGCCATGGGGAATCGAGCTTCGTTTCCCGATCAGCGCGGATCCAATTACTGGCGGTATAACGATGAGACCGATGAGAATGCAATTCAGTGATCGGAAGCGTCCGGCTAGCCAACCGGTTCCGGAAATTGCTATTACGGATATGATGGAATAGGGGATGTTGATAAGCGTCGACTGGAGCGACGTGAACCCAAACGACGTGATTACTAAGTTGGCGAAATTCTGGGTACCGCCGTTAGGGATCTGGCAGAGTAACGCGATAGACCAGATTAACCACGTTTTGGGATCTTGCAGACACTCGACGGTCTGATCCCACTTCCAAGTAGTCTTCTCCGTACGGCCCGTACCGGCTATCACAACTCGGTCGCCCGCCCATTGCCGTTCTTCAGGCGTTAGGAACTTGGCATTTGAAATCGTGTCAGGAAGCAGGAAAAGGACTCCAAATCCGAGTAGGAATGTTGCGACGCCTAGCACGATAAACATCCAGCGCCACGGGTGGATGTTGTCGGTGATATGACCGAGTCCGTAGGCGAGAAGTGACGAGACGATGCCTGCTATAGTCAGTATCTCAATATTTAGTATGGCACGCTCTCCACTCACCACCAACAGAGTTACCGGCAAACCATATGCCGGTCCTTGTCGGGATCTCGTCTCGTGTGTACCATGTAGATGTGATGAACATCAAAGCCGGTGAAACGGTCGCTTCCGCGACACCCAGGAAGAACCTCACGGTAATCAGGCCGCCGTAGTTGGTGCAAGCGGCGGTCAAGGCGACTACCGCGCCCCAGACAAAAGTATTAGCAGCCAGATATTTAGCGACGGGCAAGCGAGCGATCAGCAGGGTGGTTGGATAAGCCCAGAGAAAGTAGCCGAAGTAGAAGACGCTAGACACCCAAGAGTAATTCGACCCTTCAAGATGAGTATCCTGTCTCAGACCGAAGACTGATGCGCTGGACAAGATAGTCTTGTCCATGAAGTTTAGGGCGTAGATGAGGAAAAGAAGCGGCATGATGCGCCAATCAATGCGCCGTAATATGCGACGGGCCTCATTTTCGTCGATGTTGCCAACCCCTTCATCGCCAGTATTGGCAGGCACAGCAGCTCCCGCTCCCGAGCTCTCCTCTGCTGAAGTCATAGTAGAATAATTTTGACGACAACTTGACTCTGGATGAACAGTTCGAAGCAGCGGCTCCTCGTCGCGAGGTAATGCCATAGTCTTTGTAGATATCGGCCTGCCTACTAGCGCAGACCAGGATGATAATCTTTAGCGAATCATCGGGTTTGCTTCCGAAGTCGATTCTGATCGGCCATTCCCGGCGTTATTGATACCCAGGCCAGATAACGTCTTCCCTGAAAAGCGATAGGTCATACGCGTTCTTAACTTATTTCAAGGTTAGGTACTGTATGAAGGTGTACAAGTCTCCTCAAAAACGCATTATCTTGATGTTAATATCGATGACTGGACAATAGCTAGGGTGTAACGTTTGCAGATTTCTATCACGGATACCTACTTGTGCTCGTGCCTACCAACTCATGATGGTGGAAACCTGGAAATTCAAGAATAAAGGGCCCCATGAGTTCCGCACTGTATTAACATCGTCGTAGGGTGTCGCAAGATGCTGTAGGATGTTCGCAACAACTTCACCTATTTATTCTCGTTTTCCATCGGAGTTGTATGAAATTACGAATCAGTTTCAAGGCTACGAGCTTGGAACCGGGAAGAGGGTTGGTACACAGATCTCAGCCACCTCAGCCACACGTTCATTTACAGTGCAGTGCTCATACTATGTACATGATAGTGACGTTGATGTATACATGTAGGTATATGTCAGAAGACCGCAAAGGTAGCTACCTCTACATATATTGTCATTTACTCAGTTCAGACCTACCGCATGAACCACTTATTGGCGAGGTTAAGTATGGTGATAGCTATGTCTGAAGCATAGTACTAAGTTCCAGACAAGTGGTTGCAGGCTGGTATTAGGACTTACCTAGATGTCAACTGTCATATCATATAAGGATGATGGCCATGACAACATACGCGGGCCCAAAACAAAATGCTCACGACATGAGCGGAAGCTTAATCATATAATAGAGATGATGCTTATCCAGATACAACTCCTAAAATTGTTATCTGCTCACCATCTCTTGGGTGCCGACGCTCCGCCGGATGTAAATGTACGGCTCATAATGGTCGCTTTCGACTTCTCTTTCTCAAGTTTGGCTAGTCCAATCCTATCTGTGATAGGGGTCGCGTCGATAATATTATCGAACGCATCGTCGCCCTCGTCATCCTCTCCGTTGTCGGAGTCCGGTTCCGCGTCAGAATCGACTTGATACTTTTGCGGCTGTGGCGGAGGTATCGCCTGCGGCTTCGGCTTCTGGTCGATGTCGTCTGAGTTGGCGAACGGCTTGGACGCTAAAACCTTGCGTCGAATTTCCTCCATTTCGGCATCGTCGTCGGTGTCGTCCGAAATATCAAAAGGATCTCTGCTCGCTCCTCCTTCTGATTGATCCTTTGCGTTCTCCCCCAGTTTTGGCCATTGAGTCGGCTTCTTGCCAAGATAGATTCCGTCAACGCTGTCGTCGTCCCCATCTTCCCCCTTACCGTCGTCGTCGCTCCCATCCTCGTCTTCTACGTCGTCGGAGTCGATAATCTCCCTGCGATTGACGTTACCGCCCTTCCATAAGTCGTCGTCATCTGCGTTCTCTCTGCTCTCGGCATGTTCGCGTTCTAGCCTTTCTAACCACTCCTTCTCGGTCTGGATGATTTCCTCTTCGTCGGCGCAGGCGGCGTATTTCTTCAACAGCTTCGAATTGATGTTCAAGAAAGACTCTCCGTAGTTGAACGGCCGCAAGACTTCCTCTGCCCAATCGGAGTGCCCGCATATGTAGAAAGCAGCAGCCAAGGCTTCGACGCAGTTCAGGCGTAGGGGTTTGCCGTAGTTGACGGTGTTCGCTGCGACCAGATATGGCAGCAGTCTCTCGCATTTTCCTCCAACCTTATTCCATTGAACCTCTCCCGTCCGCGCCCACGAACACTCGACCACAGCAGCACCGTATTGCTCCATCAGTTCTTTGTCGGCGGCAGAGATCTTGTGCTTTCCGTTAGGTGTGATGATGACGCCATTGTGCCTCTGGCCGAGGTGGAGGTCGCGCATGAGACCGAGTCTTATAAGCTTCTTTCCCGAGCATCGCTTCGGATCGCAGTGGTTTAGGTCCCAGCAAGCAGCTTTAAAGGCGGGTTTAGAAGAGGTTTGTTCGGAATCATCGTCGGCGGGGCGCGGTCGAGGTCGATTTCCGTGACCTTTCCCGCCTCTCGAAGAAAATTTGTCTTTCTTGTGTCGAACCATGCTAATTTGGTGGCGATTGTGTTATGAATAGCGGTAGGTAGAGAATAAAGAATAGACGAATTAGACGAACTGTGGCTATTTGGTCAAATATGTAATATGTAAGATCCAGTTATGCAGTTGGGTAGTTGACAGTTGCACGTTGTAAAGATTTTCCAACTCTAAATCGCTAAATGCCATTGAATGACGAACGTGGCGGCAGTCACGACAACCATCTACCCTGAAGCCTCACCTGCTGCACCTACCTTCTTAGGAGACTGAAATTGGAAGCTGTTGGCGGGGCTGAGCTGCGTGGCGGGTGAATTATAATCCCGTTCTCGAAGTTGTCGATGCAATTTTATTGGTCGAATATCTTCGAACAGAGACTGCGACGTTACGTCAGCTTCTCCACCACGCCGCTGCCACAACTATGTGCCACATTAAAAGCGGATCTCCTCAAGTGGGATGCCTGGGTATTCCCTTAGCTTTTTAGTGGTGTTCGAATTGCTGCCAATAACACCTGGTGATAATCCTTTTCGAGCTTCAGCATCAACTAACAACATAATCTGATGCCGATGAATAAGAAGGCCGATCGCCCGATTTCGCATAATCAACGTAACCAAATGTCTAGGGACGAATCGAAGCCCTAAGCGCATTGCATTAGGCACATTTAAAAAATAAAACAGATCCTATATATCAAGTTTCCGCCTTTAACGTACCTATCTAGCTGTGACGACGACTTGAAACATGGAGGCCGCCTCCGCTCGAGCGGCCGCGAGGGACCGCTGGAACGAGCTTGGTTTCCCGAGACCGTCCCAGCTTCAACGGTTTATAGCTAGCGCTTGTAGTCCCGAGAATTACGAACCTAACCTGGCCTTAAACCTCGAGATCTCCGACTTGATCAACAGCAAGAAAGGTAGCGCACCCCGCGAAGCCGCCGTCTCCATAGTCAACTACATCAACTCGCGCAACCCCAACGTCAGCCTCCTAGCCTTGAACCTCCTCGACATATGCGTAAAGAACTGCGGATACCCCTTTCATCTCCAGATCAGCACCAAGGAATTCCTGAACGAGCTTGTCAGGCGCTTTCCCGAGAGGCCTCCTATCCGTTATACGAAGGTCCAGTCTAAGATATTGGAGGCTATCGAAGAATGGAGGAGCACGATATGCGAGACGAGCCGGTACAAGGAGGACCTAGGCTTCATCCGGGATATGCATCGGCTGCTGAGCTACAAGGGTTATAACTTTCCCGAGGTTCGAAGGGATGACGCCGCCGTCCTGAATCCGAGCGACGTGAGTGGGCTGCACCGCGGCGCAGTCTGTGCGTATCAATTGAGCTAACTAACGATTGTAGAATCTCAAATCGGCCGAGGAGATGGAGGAGGAAGAGCGAGAAGCACAATCTGCCAAACTTCAGGAACTGATACGAAGAGGAACTCCCGAGGATTTGCAAGAGGCCAATAAGCTTATGAAGATTATGGCTGGTTACGATACGAGGTCCAAGACAGATTATCGGGCGAAGGCGGCTGAGGACGTCGGAAAGATTCAAGCTAAAGCTCGCCTGTTGGAGGAGAGGTTAGCCGCCTTTAAGCCAGGCGATTCTATGAAAGACGGCGACGTCTTCGAGGAATTAGCCGCGGCGCTCCAAAGCGCGCAACCCAAGATCCAGAAGATGTGCGAAGAAGAGTCCGACGACCACGAGGCGGTGGCTAAGTTGTTCGAGATAAACGACAGCATACATCGAACGGTCGAGCGATGGAAGCTTCTCAAGAAGGGCGATATAGAAGGCGCCAACAAGATCGCTCAGAGCGCACCTACCTCGACGACGTCGGCTGCGGCCGGGAAATCGACGTCGGCCGCCAACGAGTTGTCGCTGATCGACTTCGACGCGGATGCCGCGGCAAACGGCGCCGCTAACAACGCAGCCGGGTCAAGTTCGCAACCAGGCGGTCTCGAGAACGACCTCCTCGGCCTTTCCTTAGGAGATAGCGGCGGCTCTTTTGGCCAAGGCGGTGGAATATCGCTCGGCTTTGGGACAAATCAAAGTTCGTCGCCGCAATCCTCATTAACAAGCGTAAACTAACCTTCGTTCAGATGTACCCGGGCCTGCTTTACTATCGTCGATAACCCAAAATAGCAGCGCCAAAGGACCAGTATCAAACCCTAGTCCTCCTCCGCACTCCCCCTTTTCGAGCTTCACTTCACCTCCTATGGGATCCCAGTCGAATACTCCGCAACCGCAGCTATCCCAGCAATCTTCGTTTTCCAGGCCACCACCACAAAGGTCTCCCGCCAACGATCCTTTCGCGGCTCTCGCTTCTCCTCAGTTCATGTCCAAGCCAGCAACTCCTAAACCCGCACCCGCACCCGCACCCGTTGCCGCGACCGAAGACGACGAATGGTCATTTTCTTCGGCATTACCCCCCGAGCCCTCTCTTCCTAAGGAGCACCAAGCGCTCGTCAAGGATGGTCCTCTCCAGATCCAGCTCAACGCCTCGCGACCGCCTCCACAGGGTGCCCTGTACCTAGTTTTCAGCTTCTCTAATACTACAGCGGCGCCCATAAGCAACCTCCACTTCCAATTAGCCGTAACGAAGGTGAGCAATTAACTTAGTACTCTACCCTTTACCCTTTACACTCTACCCCTACTCTCTACTCTACTTCCCGCAATCTACTTGACAACATAAATATAGATAAGTCGAGGACTAACAAAACACAATAGGGCTACGAACTGCAACTCCAGCCGCAGACGGGCCGCGCCCTGCAGCCCAAGCAGAGCGCCGGCGTCACCCAGTCCGTCCAGGTCTTCCACGCCGGCGACAGGGCCAAGAAGGTCGAGAGCATCAAGCTCAGGTGGCGCGTCACGTACACGCTCGGCGTCGAGCAGAGGAGCGAGACGGGGGAGATACCCGAGTTTACCATCGCGTGAAAGAAGTCGCGGGAAGTGATGAAAAGTGAGGTGAAGCAAGTAGAGAGTGAAGGTTTGATGCAGCTGGAGATGTGGATGTGGATGTGGAAGCAGGTGAAAGCGAAAGCGAAAGTGGAGGGAGGCAGGGAGGGAGTGGAATGGAAGGAAAGAAAGTGGGTTAATAGTAGATTCAAAAGAACAATTCTCTACTGTGCTTTCTACCTTCATTCAATCTGGTGTGATGACCTAATGGGTAATTTGATTTGCCATAAACTTGTTGGGGCGAGGTGCATTGATTTTTCGTGGATAAGTGTCTCGAAGCCGGACGAAGCCGGAGGAACTGAGTGTATGTATATAAGAACTCCTAATGGTCGAAGTCGACTTCAGGATCTACTCAGAACTTAGTGTTCTATAAGTAGCAAGTAATTTGCATCCACCATAGCATACAAGAGGGGATTTTATGAATGCTAGGTATATACATCGTATGGCTATATGTACGACCAGCAACCGGAGACAACGCCATCAATGCATACTATGCTAAAGACGGCACCTAGGGACTTGCGTACCTAGTTGGGTCGTTTTCCTAGTCTAACCCAATGCTACCACGCCCTCTAATGCATTCCGATATATCAAGTACCCATCATGGTGCGAAGTATGTACTAGACCGGCCTTCAGATACAGACCCTCGCCGCCCATCATGTTTCGACGTACATAGCATATAGTACAAGCCCGTCTCTTCACCCCTTTTTATCCGCTGTCGATCACGCGGCAGCAATTCGACGCGGCTAATCCGATTAGAAAAACCTCTCCGTCTCGACTTTCTCGTAAGCCTGGATCTGGTCGCCGATCTCGAAGTCTTGGAACTCATCGAAGCCGAGGCCACACTCGGTACCCTTCTTGACCTCCGTCACATCTTTCTTGAGATGTTTCAGCGTCTCGAGATAGCCTAGACGCATGTTAGTCAGCCGTTATAAAATCCGATAGAAAACCATAAGTGTATAGAAAAGAAAGTGCAAACATACCGTCAAAAATCGTCTCCCCTCTCCTAATCACGCGGAACAACCTGCCCTTCTCCAACGTCCCGTTCCTGACCTTGCATCCCGCGATATTCTTGTACATGCGACCCTTGATGTTGATCGGGAAAATCTGCAGCACCTCCGCCTCGCCGAGGACCTTGTTCGTGACCTCGGGGGCGAGGTACGTGCTCAGAATCGCCTTGACTTCGTCCACTACGTGATAGATAACCGTATGATCCAAGATCTTCACGCCCTGCTCCTCGGCCATCTGCTTGATGTACCCTGGCGTCGTGGTCGCGAAGTTGACGATGACCGACTTGCTCATCGCCGCGTGCTCGACGTCGAACTCGTGGATGGGCCCCGTGCCCGAACGCAGGATGCGTGGCCTCACCTCGTGGCTGCCGAGCTCGAGTATCGACGCCTCAACTGCTTCCACGGACCCGTGGAGGTCGCCCTTGACGGAGAAGTTGACCATCTTCGTACCGTTCTTCTCTTCGGGGAGGGCCTCGTAGGAATCGCCCGCTTCTGCGAGCTCCTTCTCACGAGCCCGCTTTTCTTGGAGAAGCCTGCGGGACTCGGAGATTTCTTCGTGGGCGGCGGCGTCCTTCTCAAGCTCGCGAAGGCCCTCGCGATATTCTACCGCCGCTTTAACCCGTGCCTCGTCGGAGCCTTGAATGACTTGGTCGCCCGCGGCGGGGAGTTCTTTCCATCCTAAGATTTCGACCGGGGTGCCCGGAAGCGCTTCGCCAACCTCGACACCGGCTTCGTTGCGGATATGTCGGATCTTCCCCCACGTGAGACCCGCCGCGATATAGTCGCCTATCCGCATCGTACCCCGTTTGACGAGGACAGTGGCGGCTTTGCCCATCGGCTTGAGGTTACTCTCAAGAATCCAACCTTCCGCGGGACCGTCGAGCTCGGCTCTGTGATCCAAGATCTCGGAGAGGGTCAGGATGTTTTCCTCCAGGTCTTCCATGCCCTGCCCGGTCTTGCCGCTCACGCAAACCACCTGGACATCTCCGCCGAAGTCTTCGATCTCGACGCCTTCTTGCGCAAGGTCGTTCTTAACTTGGTCTATCCGCGCCCCTTCCTTGTCGATCTTGTTGATGGCTACTATCATCGGCACCTTGGCCGCACGGGCGTGCCTGATGGCTTCGATAGTCTGGGGCTTGACACTATCGTCCGCGGCTACGACTAGGACTACTATGTCGGTTACGTAGGCGCCCCGCTGCCGCATCGTAAGGAAGGCGGCGTGTCCAGGGGTGTCGAGAAACGTGATCGGTTTACCGGAAGAGAGCTTGACGGAGAAAGCGCCTATGCGCTGTGTGATACCTCCGTGTTCTTGAGCCGCGATAGACGACTTGCGCAAGTAGTCCAGCAGTGTAGTCTTGCCGTGATCGACGTGACCCATAATAGTAACCACGGGCGGCCGAAGCGGGAGGGCCGTGGGGTCCTCGGGTGGAGGTCGAGGTTTCAGATCTAGCTCTTCGCCTGCCTCGACCGTCGGTTCAAAGCCGTACTCTTGCGCGACGAGGGCGGCTGTCTCGCCAGCCATAAGACTATCCAATGATACTCCCTCAAAGCCTAGCTCGCCGAGCTGGGTCAAGAACAGCTTGGGTTCCACCTTCAGCGCCTCGGCCAGCGCCTTAATATTGATCAATTCGGGTATCAGGATAGGTCTAGGACCAACTCTTTCGGCCTCGCGTTGCGCCTTAAGCCGCGCCTTCGTTCGACGTCTTTCCGCATAGTCCTCGTAATCGAATCCTCCTTCGTCGTCGTCGTTGTGTTTTTGACCACGCCGGCGCGAGCGTTTCTCGCGGCCGTGCGAGTCGTCCTCTTCTCGTTCAAAGCGAGACAACCGTCTTTCACGATCACGGTCGCGGACCCGATCTTGGCCTTTCAATCCCTGTTCCATAGAGAGCTCTGTCTGAGATAATACGGGCGCCGACTCCTGCGGCTTTTCTTTCGAGGATTGCAGACGCTTCGCCTCTCGGGCATTTTCTTCACCCAATTCCACTCCCCAGTCATACGAATCCTTGTGTTCCGACGCTTTGTTCAGCTGGCTCGCCATATTAGCCCAGGGGTCTTGGGGTTTTGACTTCCCCGGAGCCTGCGATGCGGCGTTGGACGCTTGCGATTTCTTCTCTTCTTTATCCTTCCCATTCTGGGTCATGGCCGCCCAAAAATTTTCGCTATCAGGTTCTGGTGGGGTTAGCTTCCTAGCCAACATGCCCCAGTCCGAGTCACCAGTGCTCTTAAGAGACTGCGGGGGTTGCGAGATTTGGGGCGGTTGTGAAGACTGCGGGGACTGCGAAGCCTGCGAAGGTTGTGGGGGTTCTTCTTGTGGGGGTTCTTCTTGTAGAGGTTCTTCTTGTAGAGGTTCTTCTTGTAGAGGTTCTGCTTGTAGAGGCTCTACCTGAAGAGGTTCCGGTCGTAGAGGTTGTGGCTTTGAAGGTTGTGATTGTGAAGATTGTGGAGGTAATAGAGGTTCTGGAGGGTCTAGGGGGGTCAATTTCCTGGCAAACATGCCCCAGTCTGATTCACCAGTGCTCTGAGGAGGCAGTGGGGGTTGTAAGGTTTGTGGTGGTTGCGAAGGCTGTGAAGGCTGAGAAGTTTGGGGTGGTTGCGAAGACTGCGAAGGTTGCAGAGGTGGTGGCCGTAAAGGTTGTGATTGTAGAGGCTGTGAAAGGTTTGATGGGGTTATAGAATTATCTCCAAGTTTCCTTTGAATCTCGGGCTTTGTACCAACATGACCACCCCGGGATGATCCAAATTCATATCTAATTAAACGTTTGGCGACGGGTTTGCCATTGACTTTCGTTGAAGAACTGGAAGTATCGGCAACATTTGTCACGGTGCTCGGTTCTCTTGTGACGTTGCTTTTTTCCTCCAACTTCCTGCCGAATGAGCTGATATCAAGCCTTTTAATATCACGAGTTATAATGTTGTTGTTACGAAGACTTAAAGAATCTCTGCGCAAGCTCTGCTCTACCGCTTGCTGCTTGTCTGCATTCCACATGTATCTTGGCCCGAGGCTAGCCGGACTAACTCTGGTCTTTGGTGGTTCGGGGGTTTGTTGGAGTTGTTGTGCTCGCTGTTGCTGTTGCTGTTTCTCGAGGAGTTTCTTGCGTGCTATAAGCTCAGCCGGATCCAGGATATCGTCCTGCTGGGATTGCGCCGGAGCCTTAGGTTGGCTACCCCAGCCGCCTCCCCAGTTACCCCATCCGTCATTATCCTTCAAGCTCCTCGTCCCCGAAAGCTGTCGTCTATTCCGTGGCGTCGCCGTCCGGAGCGAGAGGCGATGTTGGCAGAAAGCGCATATTGAAGACTCTCGCTGCAAGGGCACATAAGTTGGTTAGTCGCAAACTCCGAGACGAAATATAGAATGGCCATTACGAGTGGAATCTAACCTTCGATAAACTCGCTCTCAGCATAATGACAAAAATCGCTTCAAATCGCCATGCGACAAATTTGAAGTTCAAAGAAAAGTTCCGGATTGCAGCACGCCACATCTCCCATCCGTCAAAATTTTAGTGGGGTAACCCGCACCGGGTACGCGAATCCCGTTAGTGGGTCAGCCACAAATATTCAGGGGGACAGGGGGAACAGGACAGGGTAGCTTCAGCCACATCCCTTTTCATCTCGAAATTTACGTAGGTGCCAACATCATCCCCTATCTGCCTAATTACATACCATTGTTACCTATAATACTACATAGTACTAGGTAGTTAGCTTTCTAGCGACAATTATCCTACCTAGTTGCGCCAGTCGTTTCCGCCAATCCCGAAAATTGCATTACCATGGTCCGCCAAAGGGGTCAGGGGAAGTCGAGGCCCGCCAAGAAAGACGGCGGTCCTCCGGCACCCTTCAAACGCCCTCCGGAGGTCCTACAGCCGCTCCTCGAGACCCTGGATGAAAAGCACGTGTACATCACGCACATCGACACTCAGCCCGCGGATTTCAAGCGCAAGATCTTCGCCGTACCCGTGCTTATGAACGTAGGGCTAGTCGCGTTATTCGCGTACCGCGTGTACTACATCCTACCGTACTATCTGCAGATCCTCGCGTCCGTGCTAGGCTACCCCAACGAGACTACCATGGTCGTCGACGAGATGGAGTGGGCCGAGATCGTGCCCGAGGTTGCGAAACGGACCTTCTCCTTCTTCCTGGACTTCCTGCTCTACGTCTTCATCGGGCCCTGGCCCATCAACTTCTTCTTCGCCCAAGAGGACGGCAACCCCGTCATATGGCGGTGGAGCGTCGGGTTCCGGGACCGCGAGATTGTCGTGCGCCGGAGCGGCAAGTGGGACGAGACGAAAGGGGACGTCGTCAACGACGCCAGCGCGAAGAGCTTGTTCATGTCGCGGGTCGGCGCGGCGACGTCGCCTATGTTGCTTAACGAAAAGACGGGCTACCTCCTCATGAACGCCGACTGGGGCCTGGACTGGGCGGCCATGGTCGACGCTACCACCATGGTAGATAATAAGATGGCTGCTATCGAAGCTTTCAAGACCGTGGTCCTGGTACACCATGAGGAGCACGGGTGGCTTAGCGTCGACATGAAGGTCAGCGAGAACGCGGAGGAAGATGACAGGCGACGACAGGTATTCGCCTTCAGAGACGCGCTTGCCGCCGTCAACAAGGAGGATCTGTTCTATCGCTGGATCGAAATCATCCAGTACGAATCAACGCAGCCCGGTGGGTTTGGCCCCGAGAAGCAAGAACAAGTTGCGAAACAGATTAGGGAAATGTTCGAGAAGCAAGGTATCAACTTTGACGAATTCTGGAAAGAAAGCGTAGGACAGGATGTACCAAATAATCCACCGGTGTAATTAAGGTTGGGGGTAATTAAAAGGGAGGACATGCAGAGGGAAAAAAGAAAATCGATTTGGGTTATGTGTGAATCGAACCCGCTCTGTTAAAAAACAAAACGAGATTACCGCATGTTGCAATGGGATCATTTCGCGCTGTAGAGCCGCAACCATATAATTCAGGTGGATGTCCACAGCACACCACTTTCCCATTACACCATTTGGTAATCTCTGCAGGTTGGACATTTAATTATACCTATAACCTCTTTGCAGGTTGTCAGGTGTCAAGTGTCAGGTTGTCGGGGCGACCATCACTCATAACCGTGCCTCCAAATATAGACTCATAGACTTGTAGACCTACTATAGACTACATACATTATTTCTACTACATACGAATACGTATTTTATGACCATTGTGAGCAGCTCACCCTCATTCACAAGCTAGGCGATCTGATTTAGTCGGCACACCCCTGTCCGAACAACCGCGGTTTCCGCACAACATTCAAGACTGCTGTGTGCTCAAAGTGACTTGTCTATTCGTCTTAAGCTATTAGGTTATTAGAGAAGAATATCCTCTAGACCTCATAGAACGCACAAACGGATACCTAGGCAAGCATAGGGAAAGCGTAGCACGCAATAGAGTCACAGTTAACACAAGAAGTCTTCATAGTCATATACGCGGCACGGAACGATCAGTATGGCGAGGCAAGGTCCTGATTCGTATTCGATATGCAACAGCCCCCAGATATCAAAGGCTATGCAAACTAGTAGGTTGATGATGACCAACGTAGAGTACTATGTATGAAGGAGAGTTCATTTAGCTCGTCCCTTCTTTCCGGGCTTTCCCAGAGCAGCCTCGCGCTTCTTGGCCTCCTTAGCCTCGATCTCGGCCTTTCGCGCCTTCTCGTGAGCCTCACGCTCTTCCTTCTCAGCCTATAATCCCGTGTTAGTAAATATCTCTTAGGATCGTATGGATAATTACGAACCTGCTTTCGCGCGGCTTCGGCAGCTCGCTTCTCTCGGATGAGCTGTAGACGGGCCAAGTCGGCCTTGGCCTCGTCTGTCTTGCCTGCCTCATGAAGCTTGCGATACCTCTCCTTGGCCTGCTGGGCTTCCATAGACTCGCGCTCCTTTCGGCTCATGGCGAGTTTTTGGACTCCTTCGGTAGCCTCCTCGACGTCGTCAGACTTAGGCGGAGCCTTAGCCTGGTTACGCGCAGCCTTGGAGTGGTTAGGGTTGGCGGGCATGGCGTCGTCCTCGTCTTCTTCCTCTTCGGAGTCGGTGGGCATATCGCCAACCTGCACAGGCTTGTTCTTTCTGGCGATGGCAGCCTCCTTCTGAGCCTTCTTGGCCTGCTTGCGTTCTTCTCGGGTCAATTCGGTCTGTTGTTGAGACGGACCAGCGTCGGAGTCTTCCTCGGAGTCTTCTTCAGAGTCCTCTTCGGAGTCGCTTTCGCTCTCTTCCTTTTGGGCACCTTCGCTCCACATGCTGATCTCGTTGCCATCGGCGTCGAGGGGTCGAAGGTCACGAGAGAAGTGTTTTCCGCCTGCGCGACAGCAAATTAGCGACTAAAAAATCATGTGACAAGAAAAAAGTAACTTACCGCCTCGAGTGAACTTCTTGAATTTGCCTCCGCGGCCACGAGAGTTGGCACCGGGGGCACCGCGTCCAGACATGATGGGCGATCGAGGGTGAAAGATGACGATGAAAGTGATAAACGTGAAGGATGGCGGGGTAGCTTAGATCGAGTCACCCTTGACTATGCGGTATGCAGATATGCAAGTGTGCACTTTGAAGGTTCAAACTTTGCAGGTAGATGTTCTGCACGACGGGATCGGGTTGGTTTTAACGACCAAGCCTGTAGCTCAGATCCAGAGGTCACGATATTTTGTTGTCCAAATTTAAGACAACGAGTTGCAAAGACGTAAATAAGAATTGAGTCAAACGACGAAAGAGGGGCAAAAGCAAAGCAAAAACATAAGACTTGCACACTGTGACGATAAAGGCCTGCGTACAGCGCTGGTTAGCGCCAGTGTAACGCCTTCAGAATGGAGTCTGCGCCTTCAGGGCTGCATGTAAGAGTCAGAACCACTAACGTCCCTAACATCTGTACCTAGATGGCGGGGTAATCCAATTGCCAGGCTCAATACGTTACCCATTATTTACATTAATTCTGATTGGCCAAGATCAAACTCAACCTTACCTTTTTAGACTAGACCTAACTCACATGCCACTTCACCTCGAGTAAGCGTTAAAAGGAACGTCTCCTGTAGGTCACAGGGGTATTGTGGCTCTGATGTGAGTAACTGTGGCTTGATTAACATTCATTGGACAGCCATTGGCAGGATTAACGTAACGCCGTATAGACGCGATCGCGGTTCAGACCCACTTTGTTCATTCCAATAAAACTGAAATTTTTAGCTTCACTCATTTTTCTTCCTTTCTTTTCCCTCCTCAGACAACCATCCTTCATATTCACTCTGGCTTTCGTCACTCTTCGGAGTCTCAATGGCAGGTCTTGGAGGGGAAACTGGAGGAAAGACTGAATTTTCGATCACTTACCCTTTGGCCCGTTGCGGTTCCCCGAGCCGCCGTTGGGTACCAGAGAAATTTTCGCATCGATACATCTTACCAGCATGGTTATAATCTGACTTGCAGTGATTTATGAGTCAACTCAGGGTCTATTTCTAGACCTATGTGGATATTTCTTGTTATCTCACCATGCTGATTATGGTAACTGGCGCCGCAGGTCCATACGCCGCTCAATCAAGTCATTACTGGCTGCTATTCCCGGTAGCCTTGTGTCGTATCGCATCCATGGATATTCTCACATAGATGTGTTAGCTCAAGTGATCTCAATGTACTTGTACGGTACAAAATGATTAAGCTGGACGATGTATGCATATGTTGACTGGTGTAACCGGCGTTCCTAACGTGCTTGATCGAAGTTCTGTTTCGTCAATTTCGGATAAATGCCAAACGAATGTCCTCAAGCATGTGCTCAAAACCACACTGGTGACACATTTAAGCATCCATGAATAAAGGGAATATACGACCAAATCGTCGCCATGTGCAACCCATGCCCATAATTGGTACTCTGCCTTTGATCCTTACGAACTCGGGAAAACGAACAGTCCCGGTTACGGTCCTTTTACTGGGGATTATCAAGAGCCTATATATCTTTATGTCACGTGTTCCTATAATCATTACAGCTACTTGGTCTCTTTCTCTTCATCGATCTACTATCTTAATGTTGTATATCTAGGCTTAACGACCAACTCAAGGCCATATATTCCATGTAACCAGAAATGGGGTTGACAGCGGTTCTTAATACAGACACGGTCGTGAAGCTTTGCTTCCGTAGCTTGTGGCTTTGTACATAGTCCACGAGATTCACGAGAATCATTATAGTCCGGTATATATATCAACTTGATCGTAGGAAGTAGTTCAATATATAAAGCACCTCGTCGTCAAGAGCCCTATTTGATGCCGTGGTGAGATCCTAAAGTACTCATCATTGAGACAAACTATTCTAAATGATTTCAAAGGTACCTAACTATGGATGGATCCCTCTGTTTATCCAGAACTTATCTTTTTCAACCACTATATCTACTCGTAAACATAGCCTCTCATGTTTCTTTACCACCATGCGCAAAATGGCCAAGAATCATGCAAAGACTAAAGAAAATGTAAGTAAATCTATATTTGAGGTTCAAGCGTAACTTCGACTTGATTTCTATTCAAACTTCGACTGGTAATGATAAAAAAACAAAGCCGAGTAGACCAGGTGCTCGCCTGTGGCCACCAAAAGGTTTACCATGAAGCCTTATACATAGAGATCTGATATACCTAATCATTAGGAACATCCGCTAACCTTCTTAGTGATATCTTTCTCTCTATAGCCTCTCCCGTTAGCATCGCGCGCTGGCAGCTAAACGCGCCTACTGCGCTACTTAGCACCCAAAAGGTCGTATCGAATGCCAATTCACACATCAACATTCACTACTAGAACACTTGAGTCGTTTTAAGGTAATTTTATGGAGCGTATCGAGCCTGCGAGGAAACACTGACGTTATTGCGCGAGAGACCCCAGACTACCCTCATCTAGGGAGCACCGGATACATATAGGAGGGTCTCTTTGCTACCATTCTCTGGGGTTAGCCGTCAATAAGTCTCCCATGAGTCGAATTCTGATTTTTACTGGACTCCTAGCTACTAGCCCTTCCACAGACTAGATCTCTAACAGGTAAGCATTATCATCTCCCTTATATCTTAGTGTATCAACTAATAATTACATCTAGCCGAGCATCATTAAGTCAAAGTTAATCCTAGTCGTCAAGGTAAATGTTGCTTTAAAGGGCATAGCCATAGATGATATTTGATGAGAAGTATAATGCTCCTTATCCAGTTCTTCGGGTAAGCTGGGATTATCTCAGTCATTCTCCAAGGCAGATTTCCCTCCACTGGCTCTCTAAGGTAACTTCTATCTGGGTGTTTCCCGTTTCAATCGTTCTATTCATTAAAAAGATCATGGTTCATCATTAGCTCTACCTAATCTCGTTACCGTTGGCAAATTTTGAAAAATCTAGATCACTGCAATTCCACACGAGATGGTACGCTTCCCGGCAGTTCGTATTTCGTCACTCCTTCGCCATGTACCTCATGCGGCCGAGGTTCCGAGACCCCTATCTCGTATCGCATATTGCGACAACCTTCGAGCTCCGGTTTTTGCCAATGACCATCCGACCCGGCTAGTATCTTCACAGTTTCCACCATTTTCTTTGGAATCGGCGTATGTTTCCTATCCAACCATACCATCGTGCCGGCAAGGATAAAAATTACGCCCATGACCACAGCAATGGCGATTCCCGCAATGGCACCCTGGCTTAGGCTATTATTTATGTCCCCGGGGTCAGCGGCCGCGGTCGCAGTCGAGCTAGAAGCTGGATCATCAAATGTCTGGTTGGGATTATATTTGTCTCTAGGTACTGTTTTGCTAAAGATAGTTCCTAGGTCTTCAGAACTCCAGCCAGTAGAAGGCGTCTTAAGGGTCGCATTACCAGAAGAGCTGGTAGACGTCAGTCATCTGCTCATTTTGGTCTTAGGGAGGGAAATGTATGCTCACTTTCCGCCTATGATTGCCGTTACCGAGTCTGGCACCGAATACTCTAATCTAGGATCGAAGCTCGTCCGCCAAGTATATGTTGAAGTATCTAGGACTTTGAACGGTGGATAGGTCTTATTACATTCTTCGTTAAGTGTTTCCCAATTACCGGTGCCGGTACTAAGTGTAATCAGCCCTCCTGATACTATGAGCTGCGTCTCATTCCAAACGTCGCATTTAAGTCGGTTGCGGCCAGGGGAGTCGGGACCGAGCAAGTCCGGATTATGAGTATCGTTGATTTTGATCCAACGGAACGAAGGTATGCTCAGCACATATACGTCGTTGAGAGCGCGCCCCTCAAGCTGATCCCAACCCCCGTGTACTGTGACCTGGAAGCTGGAATCATCCGGCGCAGCCGAAACACCCGCACAAAACTCCGTACGAAGACTAGGGATATCGCCGGTGGCCTCCTGCAGGTACCAGATGTTTGAGAAGATATCGTACACGAATATTTCGTTGAAAGGCCGGCGATCCCAGTCCCACGCTGCGAACTCGGTACCCCGGTAGGCTGTCTGGTATCCCCCGAAAGCGAGAAGCACGCCTGACTCACCCTTTCTCAGATACACCACTATGAATGAACCTAGTCAGTAGATTCATCATTTCGAGACGCCATCTAAGTGATTACGTACTCTCACCTTTGAGGATGTCGGGCCCCTGAATGCCGGTAGTGGCAGTCTCGAAAGTCCACTGCGGGGAATTCGAGTTGAAGGATTGAAATTTGACAGTGCCGTTATTTGTGCCGTTGAAAGCCATGGTCCAACCACCAGTATAGAAAGATGTGCCCGTGCTTGGGTCGCTCGCGTGAACGCCCTCGCTATTATTACCAAACGAAATCTTACCGCCTTGGACTTGGACTAAGCTCCATGTATCGTCGGTCGTATTGAAAGACCATAAAGAATTGTCTATCCCATCCGCATCTGAGCCCACCATTCCAGCATATGGGTACAAGGATGTACGATCATAGAAGAATGTCCCGGCAGAACCACCTCTATTGTTTGCGAGACTATTACTTGGTAAAGGAGCTGAACCAAATATAGACATGTCAATAGGACCAGAAACGTCAATTGTCTCGTAAAGAGGGAGCCAATAGAGTAACGACGTATTATGCATGGCTTGTCCATCGTCAAAGGTATAATTGCCGCTCGAGAAGAATAAACGGTCTCCGACAATAGCAGCTGCGGTAGGGAACGAGCCCTCAGATCAGCGCTTATACATATCAGAGGCGGCATTGGAACAGAATATACGAGCCGACTCACATCTCTGGTCCACAAGACTACACATAGAACTAGCGTAACAAGCTACTAATAGCTGAAAAACGATATAGCAGAACGACAAGCGAAGAGTCGCACGTGGGCTAGGCGGATAGCTCATCCTGGCGATAAGCTAGCCAGGAGTTCCCAAGGAAAGGAAGACATAGCTGTTGAACCTGAGGGGTAACGAACTTATTTAGAAGCCGATGTCTGAAACAGACCACAGCCCCCAAATCCAACCTAGCTGACGTTAGGTGAGTCGGTTAGTGGTAGGTAGGTAGACCGTAGAGCAATTCCTTCTTATATCCTTGGTTGGCACAGAGAGTCAGCTCTACCAAGGTGGGTTGTATGGATAATACGTCGGTGGTTTACATGATATGAAGAATCATGTAAGTGGCTGGCTTGGTGTTGCACGACACGAGTTACTCAGCCCAGCTTTGCAAAGCCTCACGTTTTATTCCCGTACGAAGTGGAAGAATCTAGGAACCCCTTAATTCTGATTGGCCACAATTAATGGAGATTTCTTATAGAGGTGTGCAGTAAGCCATTAACGAATTATCATTGGCCACTCGTCGATGATCCATCCCTGGAGTTTTCTGCTGCTTAAGGGCACATTAATTAACTACCTGCCCTATTCGAAAAGTGGCGCTGTCAAATGGAACATGATCCAGAGGCTATTTAAGGAAACCAGGAATATATATCAAGTTATCATGATATGTACCGATGTAGATATACGAGATTATTCAAGGTCACGGATGGACGGTAGATTTGGCCCCCTCTGCTCCCCCCCATATACTAGGTACTAGGTAGCCAGGGGGCAAACCCCGTTACTTAATTAAAGCTGCTTAAAGCGGTTCGGCCCGTGCCGAGTAGTCATTATCGCATAATAGAATACGTATTCACTTAATAAGCATATCGTAGAATCTTCTAACCGTACTTCGGCCTCGCTTTTCAGCTCGCCACTTTACTCTTCTACCACCATCCATCTACATCCTAATATTGTATATTTGTGAATCACCGTCTCACTATCCTAACACATATAATCATTCATATCCCAATCTGGATTTAGCTAATCCTTCAAGTTTCAATTTGGACCATCAGCCATCAACTAAGCCTGAGGTTCAAACCGCTTCTCCTAACATCGGAGGGGCAGCCGGGATCACCAAAAGAGAACACCATCCACCAGCACACTTCCGTCCGTCCTGCATCATAAAACAGCAAACCAGACTAAGCCAAGATGAGCAGTGACATTCTCCACCACGTCAACTCGCTCGCGGAGCTGCAATCGCTCTTCGCGTCGACCACGTACGTCGCCGTGGACTTCTACGCGGACTGGTGCGGGCCGTGCAAGGCCATCGCGCCGCACTACGAGGCCCTCGCCAAGCAGCACTCGGCGCCGGGCGTCCTGGCCTTCGCCAAGGTGAACGTGGACCACGCGCAGGACGCCGCGCGCGCCCACGGCGTCAGCGCCATGCCCACCTTCATGTTCTTCAAGGAGGGCCGCCAGGTCGCCGTCAACGGCCAGCCTATGATCCGCGGCGCCGACCCCCGAGCCCTCTCGGCTGCCGCTGAGAAGCTGGGCGGGCTGGCTAAAAAGCGTATGGCCGCCGCGTGAGCGGGGGGTTATGGGTCGTCGGGGAGGATTAGAATGGAAGCGGGCGATCCGGTGTTGTTGATTGGTCTATTTACGGACTCTACGGGATCTTCCCGAATGACGATCATAAGTGATCTACATAATAACGGCCCTGTGGCCATTGGTATGATAGACGAGCCGCCTGTATCGGCTCAAGGTATGAGGATGTTACCAGGATGTTACCAGAATGTCACTCGGTTTCACTTCTGTACTTAGGGGTACTTCAGGTACATAGGTAGGCACTCAAGCCACCCGTGATTCATGACTTTGACATGTAGACAACGAATATGTAAACAACAAACCTAAAGCCAGGTCATCATCAGAATCGCTTGTTCGAATGGCTTAATGACCTGCCTTCTCATCGACTGATAACACTGAGTAATTCAAGCGAGCACAGCTATAGCTTATCGCTCATACAGCCAGGACGACTCCCAATGTGGTATACACATCGTTATGCGCGACGTGGCTGGCGTTGCATGTAGGTCTTAGGAATCTTCGCCAAAGAGTATAGCCAAATATACAGCTGTATAATGATAAGATGTTATAACATGTGCTGCTTGCTCTATGGAATCGAACCTGAGCTGGTGCATGAGAAATCTGGCACCAGTTTCAGTTCTACCACAGTTCTTGATTCGCTAGTCTGCCTTAGCTTGGAGGAGTGCCGTGTCTTCTCTGCTGGACGAAGCGGATATCCGCCGGCAAGGAGAGTCGTAGCCGGGGAACGGAACGTAGATATATACTACATTTGACTCGGCTGGATTAACGTATTGTCGATGATTATATCATATGTCACAAAAGTACAAGCGGCACGCAAAGGACTTTCGAACACTTCAGACATTACGTACCAGCCGTACCAAAGCTGGCAGACTATAAATAGGTATGATCGTAGGACTTGTCAGTGCCTAAGAGCCTGAGGCTCTTTACTAGCTCCACGTGGTCCAGCAGATCGTTGTCGTGGACCTTGAGAATCCTTCTTAACTCCGCCTCCATTTGTTAAGGAAAAGATCTCCGCTACTATTGGTATATAAAAATAGCAAGACCCCCATCAAAGTGTGGATTTCTGGGGTTGTATTCCACAGAAGAGAGCTCGCGTAAACCCCGAGACACCATATTCGGCGATTCTCCAAGTCTATGCTACGTATACCATAGTGTTCAGGGGCTTCTCGCGATGGATTACACCCGGCATGATTATTCATCTGTAGAGATTGTAAAATGTAGTTTGGATGGTTCAGGAATAGGGAAAGGTAGAGAAAGATAGGCGATAAGAGAAATATGATGAAAAATTTGGTCTAGTTGGGGTTAGCTCCGATCTTGAGGGCTTCTCCAGACTTTGGGCCCAGAATAAGTGTAGCGATGGAACGTCCCCTTACCAAGGTTCACTACACCTGGATACCAGTACGTGGTCAAAGAAGTAAATGCTGCTTCGAAATATATACGATTCATGCATTGGTATCATGTGCCTATGAAGAATGAAAGTCCACATGATATTTCAGATTCCTAATTGCATTCTGTCGGCGTATAGGCGTACCTACCTACGTAGGTACCTTACTTTGCCACCAATAATCTTCGGGAAGGCATTTCTTTTGCGAACATTCTTTCCTTTGAGAATTAGCCTACCCCTAAATAGGTAAGTATCTTAATCCAATCTCCCTATTGGAGGTGATTTCGTCAGAGCTTTTATCACCTATCAGGATTACCCCTTGATTCGTATTGGCCAAAGCAATGCCTCCGTTATAGTAGTCGCACAAGCAATGAGAAGGTAGAACTACAAGATCAAGCAACTACATCCGTTACAATGAGTGCTTGTGTGCCTATTATGTCGATACATAATCAAAGTGCGATATGAGATTCCAGGAAGATGTTATCCCGCGTGGTTCTGAGAGATACGAGAGGCATCGTATGACGCCGGATTCCCAATGTAAATACAGGGACTGTAATAAACCCATGGATAACAGTTAACTAAATATTCAAGATATTAGACTTAAAGTTCCTTGTCTCCTAGGTATTTGATAATAATAAAAACAATGAAACAATCCCCCCTTGATGATCAGATACCTATCGTCTATAATGCATATTGTTAGGTATGTTGTAGATTTATTATAGGGTTTCTTTCATGTTTATGGTCTGATATTACCAGTTTATCTGTGCTTGACTGGGTGAATGAGACCTACTCATATAGGTGCCTACCTAGGTAAACAACCCTGCTTTATAATTCATGACGTGGAAGCAATGAGAAGAACACCTTATAGATATAGCTCACCAGCCTCTAAACTAACCAAGTCAACACTGCTCCTCTTTTCCAAGATAGGTATGAATAGCGAATCGTATCAATTGAAATGCTTTTGCAATAGGCATTGATCGAACAACATTATGAACCTTACATTCATTTGAATGAGACTCGGATACAATTCCCCTAATGGCATCAAAAGCCGTCCATGGGTGCGAACCAACAAACTGGGTGTTTCCAACAAACCAACAATGAAACTAAAGTCTTATCACAGGCAAGGTACCTCATCTAATAGGTACCTAACCTATAGGAAAACATCCCCTTTATCCCCTCCTTCTCCACAGGTATAATATACATCTTTTATAGCCCATTTTACGCCAAGGGGGTAGTATCTTAATTAAAATTTCTTTTCGTTCAGTCGGCCCGACGGTCTTTGTGGGACAGATATCAAGGGGTTTTGGATAACGTTACGGACGTTGTTGGTGGTTATTCGTATGCTTAAGCCGTTCTTCTATTACAGAACACGCGAGGATAAGACTGTTCAAGATCCATGGCGTTAGCATAACAGACGCTACTATAGGATTGGTTCGAAGACGCCAGGTCAGGGATATGAGATGAGGGGACATGATCGCCGTCTACTATGGAAGTAAGCAATAGTTCGATAAGCGCGCCCCGGGTAGCTTGTTCGGACAGCTTGTTCGGAGGCCGACTACCCGTAAGAAAGTAAAAGTTGAAGCTGCTCCGATCTCGAGGTAGGTAGTCAAATTTGAGGCTCTTCTCCGGTCAGAGGCTCTCGATCGGGCGCCGGCCATAATCTTAGTAGATACCCAATATAACTAATCTACGAACTACGCCGGCCGTATGGTCCTACTATGTGCCTGCTATCAACTAATGGTGCGTTGCATTATATCTAGGACATTGTGGGTCTTAAGGCTGTAGGGGGACCATGTAACTCCGCCACGTGCGAAGGTGAACAGACCGCCAGATCCGAGCAAACATGACGATCGGCTTCCGCTAGGATCGCGCACCCTTGACCGCGTTAGAGCCGCATGGAGAAGATCAGCAATTGGTAGATAACCTTTAATAGACGTCCAGTAGGAAGCCGCGGGTGACGTGGCACAGCGAGATCTCCTCGATCTCTTAGTAATTGCGCCGGGCTATACCTTTTCGCCAAATTATATCCACGCAACCAACCAGCCGGGATTTAGCGTATCACGACAGGCAAACCGTGGCTGGCGGAGCCTTCTGAATATGACGAAGAGCCTGCTTGTATCCGCGGGGCGGTATTCCGACTGGGTATTGGCGACTTGACCTTGACCATCTCGGTTGATAAGTGTAACATCTCGCCAACGAATTTCGCGATTAAACCGTCTGATTGGCCGGTCTGCCTTGCTCGACCTGCTTGTTCGGCTAAGCGGTGAGTGAGTGGCTTTGTTTCATCCAAGTTTGCCCGGACCTTAGGACAAACGTGATATTGGCGCTGCAAAGCTTGTCGAGGCGTACCAAGCCCAAGAGTGGCATTTTTTAATCTTAATAATTCGCTCATACGTGAACCAAGGCGAGAGAATGATCTGATTGATCTCGTAAATATATAATGAGAGGTAATAACGCGGTATCTAGGAAGACGCTCAGATCAGCCATCGGTCTTCGGCACCTCAGCGTACACTAGTGGCGTACTGACAACTCGTGCACCTCCATAGCGCCATAGCATGGCTTGCTATATGATGTCTGCTAAGGCTATAACCCTACGAGATTTAGGGTCCGCGTCTCCACGGAAGACTCTGAACGGGTCGACGTCATTTTAAAAACAAGACCCATATCGGGATAATACCAACCATTAGGAGATTTAAGGATGGTTAGCCTCCGCAGCTATGGCCGTCCACGTATATCCCGAACCACATCGTCCAAGGAAAAGGCGTTTCACTAGGCTAGGAAGTTAAGTCGTATCCGCCTGGGTACCCGCAGGAAAGAACCGGACCGCCGAGGCCGTGGGACATATAAGTCCCGACGCATGTTGGACATACTCTATATGTAAGACATAAGACATGCATGACGACCGTCCCATCGGCACTTTAGGATCAACGAATCCATTTCCCTCCCAGATTCCAAATCTCGATATCCCGTCACTGCGGCCGTGTATGCGGCCGCGACCCATATTCGGTGTGACACGCAAGCTCAGCCTCCGAGGTGATCTTCTATAAAGGCCAGGTATAGACGCAGAGACGGTGGCAAGTTCCTGGGGAATTCGATTTTTAAAAACCAATCATTGTCTCGGGCACGGGAGCAGAGTCGTTCTTGGCACGGAAAACTATCGATATAATTCACGGATATATCGAGGTTGGTTCCAAAGCGTGTGTGGGCGCCCCGGAGTTTCTTGGCCATGTTTCTCAAACGCGATATTTTCTTATTTTAACTATCAGACAGTCCAACCGCTAAAAACGACAGCAATAGCAACAATCCAATCCCCTAATTTGATCGTGAGGTCAAGTGTCTAGTCGGATCATGAGAACAAAAAGCTAGGAATCCGTCTCCGCCTCGTTCCCCCACACCTATCTACAGTATTCGAACCGGCACATCCAATCTATCGAGACACTTGTGAGATTAAACCTCCAAGTTTCCCCTTTTCTGTAAACCCAACCATGACCGTCCCCGAATTAACCAACCGTTGGGAGGCCCGAGCTCCGCATATGTTCCATGGGTATTGGGTATTTGTATAAAGAACGAAAAGAAAAAAAAAGATTGAAAGGAAATGGTCGTAACAGGCGTTAAGCGGGGATAAGACGGCATTGTACTCCATTGTTTAGAGTCAATGACAGAGTCAGTTGTTCCCTCCAGTCGGTGGGGTCTAGGTTTTCGATGCCGGAGAAGGCGTGGAGCAGGCGCGCGATGGTGTACGACGATTCCGTCAGGGCGAACTTCTGACCGGGGCAGATTCTAGGACCGCCGTTGAAGGGTAGGAATTCCCAGCCGGGTCGCAGGTTCTCCCACCTCTCGGGGCGGAACTCGTCGGCGTCCTCTCCGAAGAATTCCTTTCGTCGGTGCATCACGAAGGTGCTGTAGGTGACGACGTTGTGCTTCTTCACGAACAGGGGCGATTTTCCGTCGGGGCCACCGCCTACGGGAAGGACGGTATCCTTGTTGGCCATGCGGCTGTTGGTGGCGATGGGAGGGAAAAGGCGAAGGGCTACAGAGTCACGTTAGCTTTGTTTACGATACGTTTGTTTTACGGCACGCGGCACTATATGCAGGCAGACTCACTTTCGTGGACGACGTATCGGAGGTATTTCATATCCATGAGAGCCTCGTACGTTAGCGGCTCGCAGTAGTGCTCCAGAACGTCGGCGCGGAGCTTGTTCCACACGTCGGGTCGTCGAGCCAGCATGAAGAAGACGAAGGCGAGTAAACCGGCGGTAGTGTCACGTGCGGCCAAGAGCATGTTCACGATCTGGTCTCGTAGGAGGATCGGGTCGTCGGTGTCCTTGGCGAGCTCGCGCAGGAAGACGTACTTCTGGCGGGCACCCTCGTCCTTCACGTCCTTCTCGGCCGGGAACGAGGCCTGGCCGCGCCGGTACTCGAGAGCTTGGGAGACGAACTTGTCAGCGTAAGCGTGGACGATGTCGCAGGAGTCTCGGAACTTCTTGTCCCGGTGGGCGAACATCAGGTTTCCGAGACGCAGGCGGAGGATGGTTCCCTGCTGGGCGTAGTCCAAGGCGTGGTGGAAGGTGGTAGCCGACTCAGAGGCGTTCTCCGACATTAAGCCGACGGATTCCCCGAACATGTACTCGCTGTTGGAGTCGAGGACCTGTCTTACGTGATTAGCTGCTAGGACGGAAAGGGTAGTATCATTCTGTGTGGGAGGGTTCCACGAACCATGCGGAAGAAGAGCTGCTGCAGGTCCACCTCGTTGTTCCGACGTCCGATGAGACCGATGAGCTGGTCGACGTGGTGGCCGAAGATGGAGAAATCCGTGACCTGGGCCCGGACGAAGCTGGGCCGGATCAGGGCGCGCTGGTGCGCCCAGATGTCGTCGTCGGTCGTGAAGATGCCCCGTCCTAGGAGGGGAGAGGCGCTCTTGCGTCTCAGGGGCCCCATGCCGAAATCCTGGAACTGGAAGGACAAGACGTTCTGAATGAGCGTGGGGTCGCACGTGTTGATGGTTGTCCGGAAGTAGGTGTTGGTGGTGAAGGTGAGGCCGTTGGCGGCGTGACGGTTCCTGAGAAGGTTGAGGAAGCCGTATTTCTTGGCCGCCCCAAGGTTCTGTAACACAACGTCCGTCCCTAGGAAGGGGTCAATCTGAGGCAGCTTCTTCGGAGGGAGGCAGCCGTTCTGCTTGGCCATGTGATATCGACGTCGACATCGTACGAGCCACTGCACCGTATAGTATATTGTGAAGACGAGAAGGCCGATGGCGGCCACGAGCAGCGAGACGGCCATGAGGAAATTCAGAGATGAGACGGCGAACAAGAAAAAGAAAATAAAGTGTGACAAGAGACGAGAACTCGTTACACGATACTACTGCAAGCAGAGGAAAGATGGGGAGCGGAGAAGGCAGTGAGCTTACTTATACTCCGGGAGAGGTTCTGGCCAATGCTGCTGGTTGGACCCAGACCGTGACAAATGAGCAAGCAAAAATGCTGCTTGCCCATCAACCCCAAAGCCCGACGATGCCCAGCAGCGAAGGGGTTTCGTACGAGTACTTCTGGAGCGGCAAGGGGGTCCATAAACGGTAAACCATCTTGGCCACCGATACGCACGCATGCTTAATCGTCCACGGGTTTTGTTAGCCAGATTATCAACTCGGTAGAAACTTTTCTCTTTAACCAATCAGGCAATTGTCCATTAAGGATGCATCCAATGAGCTGGCCCCGCAACGACCTCGTCACTGACATGGCATATCCAATTGAATGCTTGTCACAAGGGATAAATGCACAGGCAGTACTAAGAGTTACTCATACGAAGTACCGTGCCGGCCGGAGAGCGGAAACGACGAGGAAATCTTTCTCTGTCTTACCCTCCCCTCCCCCCAATCTGGGAAACTGGACACCGGTTCCACGGCTGATGGAAGGGACCGTCAATGCTTTCCCTTGTCGTCGTTGTTGTGGCTAGACGTTGTTGGGCACATAGGCCAGTCGCGTGCACTGTGTATAGCCGCCGACGACCCACTGTCCTTTCGTTTGCTATAATCCCACTATACATGTTAATCCCACTACATGTCAGTCATGATACGAGACAATTTTTTTTTCTTTCTGTCTTCATAAAATCTGGGAATACGTCATAGCTTGTAGCTCTGCTTCTCCGCTTATGTGTCTACGTAAGAGTGGCGGGCCTGCTTATTTTCCTGGTACTTGCGTAGTCAGGTTCCAAGTTGCTTGAACGGACTCCGCTCCTCGAATAGGTTCTGATGGGTCTTTTTTTTGGTAATCGTCGCCAGCTGGACCCGATCGTTGATTCAGGGACGGGCCTTTCGACGGTCTGTACATTCTGCCCGAGCCAGCGCCGACTTCTGTTCGCCCGCTACGTTAGCTCTCCCCGGTTTGGTATGGCCTGTCTCGTCGGTCGCTGAACAGTGCTAGATAGAGTATAGAAGAAGAGAAGGGCAGGCAACAAGGTCCCACGATAGCGGTGGCACCGTCTCATAGCCTAGAACCTATGTACCTAGTAGACAAGGGAGAAGATCCTCACTAGCTAGGCGAGGCGCGCCGTCGAGCTAGCGACAGCCTTTTCTTACAGGTATTCTGACAGGTACGCGTTGTGTAGTAAGGCGAGCTTGCTGTTCCATGGGCCATGGCCAAGGTGCACGATGGGATCCACGACAACCCATCGAGACTAGGATGAGGAAGGAGGCTGAAGCTCGAAATGTCCGAGACACGTGGCTGTCCGCTACAGAAATGAGATCTTGGTGAGACGCATGGGACGTATGGGACGTATGTACTTCGAGCTTCGAAATTTCGGCGACGTTCGAACACTTGGCACGTCCGTCATCTTCTCTCTCACACTGCCTTACACAGCTTACAAACAATACCCTAGTACTGCCGTGCTGAAATTGGAAAAGAAAGGTCAAGGAAATTTTTTTCTCTCGCTAGTAAGCGCAGCCGCCCGGGCTAGACTGATTATGGCTAGGAGACCCTCCCTTGGGCTTGGGGAGGGACCGTTCCGAAGGCTCGGGGTGAGGAAAAGAAACCTTTACCAAGTTTGAGCAAGCCGTGGCGTACCCTGGGAGTTACACTCGAGCCTCTCTCTAGTGTAGGAAGGGAAGAGTCATAGGCAAATCCGAACTGCGATAGGCGGTATGAATGGGTGGTCGTTCCGTTCCGGGCCCTGCGAGTAAGCTAGGCGAGAAAGAGGAAGAGGGAAAAACAAAAAAAAATCAAAGACAGGAAAGAGAACAAGAAATTTTTCCATCTGGCTCGTTTCACAGGCTGGTTCAAGTTCGAAAGGTCAAGATCAGCAAATGGCTCAAGAGTCGAGAACCCACTCAAAAAGGCGGTATGTTACATCGAAGACTCACCTTCGCCCGCTTTCCTCGCGCGAGTTCTTGTCGACTGCGAACCTCTAAAGCACATCCAGTTGTCAGTTGAGGGGGTTCGAGGTGGAGTTGGGCAAGGGTGTATAGAACCCACGCAGGGGAATTCAGGGATCTGACAGGGTCTTCGGCTGAACCTGCAGCTTTCTCCATACTTAGCTTAATATCCTATAGGATCGTTCCAGGGGCGGCATGGGACTGCCGGATTTCCTGCTACGACACTAGGTTACGACTACAACGGGGGACGAGGCACACTCCTACTCTGATCAGTCTATGTAAGATGTGCGCTGCGGCACACCAGCGCATTCGTAGCGTGATACCGACGCTGCTGCTTCTGCTTTGGAGACCCTTATGCAGCGCGCATTACTATTCCACCAGTTACGTATGTACCTGACTACCCTCGCCTACCCTCGCCTATCATCACCCCGGCTGCCCGGGCAAGTAGTCCAGCGCATGTTACCGTGTTACGGCGATAAGAGAGTCGTCACAGGCGGCCGGCAGGGTTCCTGCTTGCTGCGCTGGACCCTCTAAGGACCGTCTAACGTCGTCGCCCAGGACGTCGCCTCGATTAGGAAGGCTTCTAGGCTCGAGCACGGTCGTTGGAAGTTACCTAGCGCGGCGTGCACTACGTATAGAAGTAATTAGAAGCAAGGCGGGAGTGGATCGACCGAGGACGCGACCCTGCTCAGGTCCTGTTCCAAGGCCGTGGGAAGGGGAGACGACTCCGTCGGTGTGGATTTGTGACCAACAGCATCGCGGGTGGGCTTCAGGGCGTCCAATCACGCGGTACGGCTATGACAGACGTATTCCGGTGTGGTGGTTGTCGGGTCTATTAGGACGCCACTATCTCTCCCGAAGGCCTGGCAGACGCCTTTCCCTTCTCCGCCCCCATCCGGCAGAACATTATCTATTCGTAGGGGAGCGTGTATGTAAACGTGGCTGTGACATACATGTGTCATGTAGCATGCCTAAAATTGTCCGGAAAATAAATAAAAAAGATCACTACGTTATTCATTCAAAATCATTCAAATCTCCCGCCTCGCGCCTTTCCTTCGGGCTGAAAGGAACTCTCCATTTCCCTAGTAAATCCCGCCCGTGCGATCCCAGCCCAACCAAAGCGCAGTACCCAAACCAGAGCTATTTCATTCCTGTTTTTACTTTTTGTCACGATGACTACGATTAAGAAAGTCGCCGTAGTAGGGGTCTGTGAACCAAAAAAAAAAGCTCCACCCATATCCATTTGTCCGTTTAACAGCTGAGGCGCTGACTCTTTTGATTAGGCGACCGGGAAGATCGGCCGCCCAATCGTTGAGCGACTTTTGACTTCGAAACTCTTCGACGTGACTGTTCTCACGCGTGACGATAGTCGACGACGTGATTTCCCCGCAGGCGTCGCAGTCAAGAAGGTGGATTACGATTCTATTGAGTCCCTCCGCACCGCGCTCGAAGGCCAGGATGCGCTAGTTTCGGCCATGGCGTTCGAGGCCATTGACGAGCAGAAGAACCTCGTCGATGCGGCGGTTAGCGCCGGCGTCAAGAGAATGATCCCTTCAGAGTACGGGAATGACCTCATGAATCCCAAGCTAGCTGCTTTCCCCATCTATCAACCCAAGATAGCCATCAGGCAGCAGTGTGAGCAGAGAGTTACCGAGAACCCCTCATTCTCGTGGACTACGATTCATAACGCTTCCTTCCTCGGTCCAGACTGGACCCTGGACTTTATCGTGGACGTGAAGAATCGCACGGCGGATATCAAAGATGGCGGTGACGTACTCTTCTGCGCTACGACTTACGACGACATCGCCCAAGCCGTGATCGGCATCCTGACCCACCTAGAAGAAACGGCTAACCGACCGGTGAGGATATCGAGCGTCAACACGACTCAGAACGAACTGATCGCAATAGCCAAGGAGCTGGGCGCGACTGACGGCTGGAACCTGACGTATTCCGAAACGGAGAACTTGGAGAGTGAGGCTTTCAGACGTTGGGCGGAGGGTGACCATAGCGAGGAGACGATCGCCATGTTCATTAACCGAGCTTTCATCGGTAAAGGTTGGGGCGGGTATTTCCCCGTGCGCGACAACGAGCTGCTGGGGATCAAGGACATGGAAAGGGATGAGCTGAAGGCAATTATCAAAGCGGCCATTGACCGGTGATTCCGACCCTTGAAACAAAAAGGAAGAATGGTCTAGACTGGTTTAGATAATATGGATTGATGTTAAAATCAGTACCGATGTTTTAAGAATCCCTTCCCAGCACCACGGCACCGGGTCATCTCCCCCGTAGTTCATTGGTTTATATATAACACGTTGAATGCCATCGGTTTGCTCTGATAACCCGACTCTTGTAAATACACTGTCATAGCAGACGACTCCCTCAATACCTATACCTACTTACTCGGACAAAAAATGAAACCCTGGGTGCCTGCTCATTGGAGCGCCTTTTGCTCTCTTCCAGCCAAAGTTGCGAACGCTGAGAACGCTGAAAATAGACCGTCCCTGTCGAACCGGATTAGGTCTGGGACTCCCGCATAGAGTACTCCTGAGCTCCTATATACAATGGAAACACCGCTGAAAGAGCCGAAATAGTTCCAGTTCCCTTTTTTTATATCTCCTACACGTGATAGCGCCTCCGAATTTTTCTGCGCTGTTCCGTTTGCGCCAGCGAAGGGGGAGTTTTGCCGGGTATATTATGTTTTAACAATTCCATTAACTATAACCTTTTTTTTTCGTTTAAAATGTTTTTTTTTACATGCGGCCTTGGCCGGTATAGCTCGACCTTCGAGGGCCTCTGGCAAAGGAGAAGTTGCCGTGGTGCTGGTTCTCCTCGTCGCCGACGACGTGGCGGTTGTCCGGTAGGTCACTCTCGTCGCGCATTTCACTAACAACTTCGACTTCGACGTGCTTTCGGATGTTGTTGTTCGGGGCGGGAGAGCTGCCGTTGGTGCTAGTGTCGGTCCATCCCTTCAAGTCCTGCATCTTGACGTCGTCGACCATCCGCTCCTCGCTCTCGTTGAAGGTGATATTGGTGATGGGGTTCGCCGTAGGGGGACCACCGCGACGTCTCCAGGTGTTGTGACTGCCGCCGCCGAACGTGCGCAAGTCGCTCTTCGACTCCTTGTCGGTGAGCTTCTGCTGAGAGCGCATCGTTGTAAGAAGAGAGCCGAAGACGGGGCTGAGCCATGTCTTGATGAGAGGGAAGACCATGGGAAGGTTAGTGGTGATGACGGCGACGAATGTCTCTCGCACGGCCCACGATCCAGCTAGCTGGGCTCCATTGACGGGATCCTACGATGTGTGAGTTACTGCGTGGTACATGTCGATTCTGACGAATCAGACGGGAGGCGGCAAACTTACGGTTACAATGAGTGCGCATCGCAGAATGGCGCAAGCAACAACGAACAACCCTCCGCTGAAGAGGAGGATCAAGCCGAATTTCTTGACAGGCCTCAGGCTCGACTGCCAAAGCATGGGAACGGGAATCGAGATCAGATACAGGTCAGTGATCACGTTCATCGAGAGATAGACCCAGATGATCTGGTTCGAGATGGCGGGTTGGCAGGTGTCTTCGTGAATGTTAACGTTGATTCGATATCGCTTAGAGGTAAGGGGTAAGAAGGGATACATACTGCCAGGGTCAGGGTTGATTTGCCAGTAGAGGTGGAATGGGCGGCAAGCGAGGAAGAGGTTCATCAAGATGGTGACAAAACTCGCTCCCAGGAGGCCGAATCCGATGTAGATACGGATCAGGTAAGTCTTTTTTAACCCCGCCTATACATACACTCAGTAATAAGTCCTCCAATAGATCAATGAATAGATGGATGAACGAATAAGTGAATGAGTTGCGAATCAATGAAGTCTTACCGTTAATCGCATGTAAAAGACTAAGAGGGATGCCTTGAGTGACCAGAGGAGAACGGAGTAGGACGACCACCCGGCAAGTTGGATCTTGGAACCGATAACTCTGGAGACCAGTTAGCACACCGTTCTCATCCTCACTCGCCCCCATTCATTCTCATCCCGCCCCCATCACCCGGAAAGTCATACCTCGTCTTAAATTCTGCGCTGTCGGGAGATAACGCAGCTCGTTGAGCATCTGTCATACCATTGTTGGCTAACCCCTGAGCGACGTGTCCAACAGAGTACGCAAGACTGGTCTCGATGGCGTAAAATATCTACGCGACTATACGTTAACTCCACGAACGAATACACACCTCGCCTCATCAGGCGTGAGTTAAAGACTAACCGCTCCGATCCAGACTAAGTAATCGTCGGCCTGTAAACCTTTGAAACCCACAGCCTTTATACGAGCGTACGTCCGGAGCATCGTGACGACGATACCGATGGACAGAAGCGTCCAGGCCTCTATGGTGAACTGAAGCATGGCCGCGGCGGCAGCTTGTTGAGCGGCGGCGGCAGCAGCGGCCGCCGCTGGGTCGGCGCTTGTTGCGGCCGAAGACATGGCGAAAGAAACCGGCAGGCAGATAGAGAGCGTCGAGAAGGGAGCGGATCGAACGAGAGACTAAAGGACTAAGGGGACTAACAACTAGTGAGAGGAGTTGACTAAGTTGACTAGCGAAGACGACGAACGGATGAGACGGATGGCTTAGAGTATTTACCGTCCGACAGCTGAGCGGTTTCCCCGTGGCCGACTCGTATATAGTATAATGCTCTACGTATAATTTATTCACTATTTAGGAACTTAGAAGAGGACCGAAGAGGACCCTCGTTGTGAAAGGCTTTATGACTGGTCAATTCCACGATAGAGAGATCGGGGTATCAGCATGGGTTCGTTATGAACCTGAACCACAATTTGGCTGTATCGACCAGGGGCGGGCTAATCTCGAATCATTATCAGAGTGGATAGCCGATGGGTACCTGAGGGAGAGATCGACGTGGCTTCGAGCTCTATCTGGAGCTCGAGAGTGATTATCTCTCGTGTGACGGCGACGGTCACTTATTCAGACGATTCAACCGCATGATCACGTACGGGTATTATTTGCCTAGTAATGCAGGAACGGACAGATAAGTATGTGATATCGGCATCGACATTAGCAACATCGGCAACATCATCATCTCCCCTTATCCAAATCTTGGTAAGTAGAAGCTGCACCTCCAATATTACAACCCAAGGAGCCCCCTAGCTTCGCGTACTCGTCACATAAGCCCTAGAGCTCGTAGAGGTAAATTTCTGCCAATATTTTTGTCATCCCCATAATGTGCCGTGTCCTATGAGACGAAAATCGTCCCCGATTCTATGCATGAGGACATGCGCGGCTAAAGGTCACCGTTACATTCGCTCAGGGGCCGGTAAGTTAGCCTCTGCAAGTTTGCGGGACCGCCACGCTTCAGCCCCCCGGCCAAAAGAGAGCTCTGGACGCTCGGCGGGCTGGGCTAGCTGGGTCCCCCATTCGTAAGGCTTCGTGCCTCAGTCGATAGGGATGATAGGGTAGGGGAACCGGGTAAAGCTAGGGCAAAGCTCGGACAGGTAAAATAGATCATAAAAAAAAGTTCCCTTGACGATATTGAAGAACGAAGGAGTCGAATGCTCAGGGGGTGAGATGGGTAAGATGAGCGCAAGTAAGATGCGAATTATTGAAACAAACTACTTACCATAGTACGCTAGAAACGAGCGAAGAGGAGCCTCAGGAGGTAGGTAGGTCGGGAATTCTCCCCGGAATTCCTTTACCAATTCGGCGTTACTAGCTGCATGTACACCTAGGTAGCTATTCTGTAGCAATGTAGCTCGGACTTCTGCTTAATCTGAAGCTGTTATGCATGATACCCTATACCCTCCGAGATTTTTTCTATGCATGGATGTTGGAACAATCTAAGAATCTACGATTTGAGAAAATGAGATGGTGTGCTGTAAGCTGCATTACTTATATGCGAGTTGGCGCAAGCGAGAGATGGATGTAAGCGAATGATTGATATTGTCATTCTACCTACCTACGTTAGGGGGATGTATTGAGCCAACAGCGAATAAACAACGAATGAGCAGCGGATGAGCAGCGAGTGGATGGTGCACTAAATGAGCCAGACCACCAACGTTGATGACATACACGGACTAGCATCAACAGATTAACATAGCACCAACGACGCAAACCATACCATCTGGGGCCGCTTGGAGTTTGTTTTGATCAGTGATCAAACTGTCAAATCAATGGCGAATAGCGCTACGCGTCGCCACTGGCCAGAAATTGGTCATTGCTCTGTCAGTGTATCCCCCCCCTTCTGTCGTAAACTTCTGTCGTAAGACGGGTGCGGCCTGTGCCGATGGGGACGCTATGATACCTATGTAGTTGGAGTTGTATTAAGTATCTTGGATTTCGTGCATATCACAACAGTAAACTGGGGAACATTTCAGATTTAGCAGGCTATAATATGTCAGCTAATGTCAGGCTTGGAGCAGCGGTGGGGGCCTAGCAGGCCTGGGAGACGAAAAGGAGGGAATGGCGGTTCTTATGTATTGCGACGGCGGGACGGGCGAGGCCAGGCCAAGCCCCAATCAGGCAAGGGATCGGCCTGATCTTCTCGGCTGCCATACTAGTTTGGCATTGGTGGGTAATGTACTAGGTAGATTGGCATTTAGCAGCTCCCGCCAAGATTGTGGAGAGTTTCCGTTTAGAGAAGCATCTCATAATACCATAATCCGCATCCATACATACGTACCCATAACGCATCCGTACCAACTACGTGCGCCGTCGCCTGCTATCTGCGCATCCTTCGTAGTTTCGCTGCGCTGCCCCCCCAAGGAGCACCAGAGAAACGGCCCCCGTGCCCCCTTGCCTCGCACCGTACGACTACACGACGACTAAGATTAAGGCGGGCCGGCGGGATGGGGATGATACAAGCGAGGCCGTTTCTTGTTCAGTATGGCGAGAGTCTCGGCCTCCTACATACAGCGCTGGGGGCGTAAAGGAGGGAAGGGGGGGCCCTCAGACACGCTGTTTAATAGTCGTTTAATATGTCTCTGATAAGTCTCTGATATGCTTACCATTCTCTCGGCGTTTCGTACTTCCAAGTTTATCCTACGCATGCCCCTTCTCCCGCTTCCCCGGTTCTTCTCTAGACCAAGAGCGAAGTAATATCTAGTTGCATAGCGGTAGGGACGTCGGACAAAGACCGAGCGAGCCTTGTGTGTACACATATCGTCATGGCGAATACAACACCAACACCAACACCAACATTAACGGAAAAAAACGATACTACTATGAACGAGAACCAAAATATGACGATGGAAAAGCTAGACTGCGTCGTCATCGGCGCTGGTAAGCCTTACCCTTTCTCTTGTCTTATATCTTCCCTCTTCGTACGTGCCATCAGATGTATCGCGCACGACGATGAGATGAGGCTGTTAGTTGACTCGTTCCGGCCTCGTAGGTTGGTACGGACTGGCCGCCGCGAAGCAGTTTCACTGCACTCAGCCAGAATGCTCCTTAGCCGTGTTCGACTCGCAGTCCAGCTTGGGCGGCACGTGGGCCGACCATCGCCTGTATCCCGGCTTGAAGAGCAACAACCTGCTAGGGACGTTCGAATATCCCGACTTCCCCATGGACACGGCGACCTTTGGCGTCAAGCCTGGCGAGCACATGCCGGGTAAGGTTATCAATAGTTACCTGAAGGCGTACGCGACCAGGTTCGGGATCGCCAGCCTGGTCCGCCTCAACACTAAGGTCCTCGTCGCGGAACACCAGGACACCGTAGAAGGCGGCTGGGTCTTGACGGTAGCGAGCCCGGACCAAGGCGAGTCTAAAGTCTTCGCTCGCCGAGTCGTCTTCGCCACGGGTCTTACTTCGGAGCCGTTCTTGCCGCATTTCGAAGGCCAAGAAGAGTACGGCGGTAGAATATTTCACGGAAAGCAATTCCAAGAGAACGCCGACACGCTAAAGACGGCAAAGAGAGTGACGATCTTTGGCGGCACTAAGTTCGCCTGGGACGCCGTCTATGCCTACGCAACCGCGGGCGTCAAGGTCGACTGGGTTATCCGATGTACGTTTTGTTTTTTTGCTTTTTTATCACTTACCTTAGCCAATGCATGGCTCGATGACGACGTTAGCTAACCAAACCTGACAGCTACTGGTCACGGCCCGTGCTGGATCGCGCCATCATATGTGACACCGCTAAAGAAGTGGATTGAGAAGCTAGCTAGTAAGTCGTCGCAGCCACTGCTACGCGATCTAAGCCCTAACCGTTGCGAATAGACATCCGATTCCTCACCTGGTTCAGCCCTTGCGTTTGGGGCGACGTCGATGGCTACGCCGGCATTCGCGGTTTTTACCACGGCACAGCTGTCGGCCGGACGATCGTTAACTCTTTTTGGAAGGTCCTTGGCGGAGATGTCATCAACCTCATGGCCTACGACTCTCACCCAAAGACGGCTAAGCTGAAGCCCTGGACCGACGCGATGTTCACGGGGGCCAGCTTCAGCATTTTGAACTACGACACCAACTTTATGGATATCGTCAAGAGCGATCTCGTAAACGTCTATGTGAGCGAAATTGACCATCTGAGCCCTGGCAAGGTCCACCTTTCGGATGGAACCGAATTTGAGTCCGAGGCCCTGCTCGCCCACACTGGTTGGAAGCACGTCCCCACCATCAAGCTCCTCCCCGAAGGAATCGAGGGCGAGCTGGGCGTCCCGCACAGCCTGAGCGACGAGGCGCCGACAAGCGATCTCGCCAACGACCAGGCCTTGATGGAGCGGGCTGACAAGGAAATCCTCGAGAAGTTCCCGCGCCTGAAGGATCAACCCGTGTGGAACAAGAATTACATTCCCATGACGCAGCAGAAGGGCATCACAAGCACGGACGAGGTGACGCCGTACAAGCCGCTCACGCCGTACATGCTCCACCACTTCATCGTGCCGCCGTCCGAGCGCTTCCTTCGCGCCCGCGACACCGCGTTCATCGGCATCGTCTCTAACTTTAGCAACATGATCACGGCGCACCTGCAAGGTCTCTGGATCAGCGCCTACTTCGCCGGCAAGCTGGAGCGGGATCCGTCAGCATCTTTGGGTGACGAGAAGGCGATGGAGCAGTTACGTTACGAGACCGTGTTATATAACCGCTTCGGGAAATGGCGTTACCCGACCGACTGGGGTTCCAAGAACCCCAACTTCATCTTCGACGCCGTGCCATACCTTGACTTGCTGCAGCGCGACCTGGGTCTGAACATTTACCGCAAGAAGGGATTCTTCGGCGAGTTATACGACTCTTACGGCCCCGAGGATTACCGCAACGTCAACAGCGAGTGGGCGAGCAAGTACGGAGACATGAAGAAGCTCGAGTCTCTGGACGACAGCTTGAAAACTCTGCCGTCGGAAGAACCAAAGCTGAACTAGATTTTCTAGAATTTCTCTACCTAGATCTTTGTTTTGTACGGGCGCGCATGCGCGGAAGACGGTTCTACAAAAGGCTTGTACATCTATTTTGGGACGGCAGGGCTGGGGGTTCATTTCGCGATGATTGTGCTAGAGAAGCCCTCCCTTTTGCTTTTTTTCTATGTTTGGCTGCACGGTTGAGCTGGAGCGTCAGCGTGGTCTATTTTCTCTGTTAAAAAGTTTCTACATGTACCGTCATTTCCACGACTTGCTTTTTTCTTGAGTAGAAGCCAGAAGATACCCATAATTCGCCCAAGCGACCAGCACATAATGAGGCCCGGGCACGCATAATGCCCAGGCACTATTTCCTCGGTGCAATATTCTATACCTATGCAGCATATACTACACACATGTACATAGTTGTATCCGGCATAATCTCACATATTCACATACATGAGGATTCGCCCACGTGCATGACTATGTACTCGTACAGTGTATACTAATCGAACGAGGGAGATGATAAAAAATAGGGGCGGAGCTGAATACGCACTGTACTAAATGGACTATTATGCAGTAGGTATGTAGGCCGGAATGCAGACCATGATTAGACCATGATGTAGACCAGAATGTAGGCCAAAAACACGTGCTCGTCGTCTACAGCGTACCAAGCAACTCGAGCCAGTTATCTGGGTAATCCATACCTGTATACGCACAGCATCTACTGCAAAATAACTGCTCTACCCTGTCTAGTGCCAACTATTCTTTCGGTTTCTTCTATGCCATCCAAGTTTCTCGCCCTGTCCGGCTCGAAATCATACTATACCTCGAACCATCTCGATGTACCAAGCATGTCCTTGCACGCATGGACTACCGACGGCGCGGATCTTTCTGCGAGGCTTCTGCGAGGGATCTTTGGCGGCAGTTCGCCTACTAGTCTATTACCTATTACCTAGGTAGGTAGGTAGGTAGGTATGTTTAGTAGTCTACCTACTAAGTTTTAACCGTAGTCTACTACATAGTAGCTGGTGTCTCGCCATTCCCACGAGCTAGCGAACCGTTCCGCCTGTTAGTCGAACGACAGACGAACGCCGGCGAATTACTGTACAGTACTCAGTGAGCTAGGGATACTAGATAGTTAAGCCGTATGCGGGTGACGAACCCGTCGTGTAACCGGCCCATACCATCCCCTATTTGGCAGGCGTCTTCAATTCCCATAATTCTCCATGCAGCTAGGTAAAACAAATAGTGCTACACTAAAACACGGGGACTAACGGGACCTTTATTAATTTAAACTAATTCGAAGAATCGTGCGCCGTCGAAACGCCGTCGTCTCACGACGGGCGTGGCAACTTTGCCCTATTATTATAATTGCATTGAAGATCATTGAATGTTTTAAAGTCGCCATTTACTTCCGCCTATGCCGTGGGGGGGCGCCTGGGGTGTCCCTGGGAAGCCCGGGGAGACAGGGACGCGGAGCCGGGGTGGAATATCAAACTCCACACCGCATCGTAATGGCGTTTGCCGAGTCCCTCCGCCCCTTTTTTTTCTTACTCTAATTACCCAGATTATGTACTAGCTAATTGCATGGATACCTCTACACGAGCCCGAGGTTGGCACGTCGACCACCGGGGAGACCAAAATAAGGCAGCTGTAAGGGTTAGTTTTGGCAAGCAAGGAGCTGGCAGGGCAGACAAGGCAAGTTTCGCAAGGGTCCTCCAGGGTCTTCCAGCAGAAAAATTTCTGAAGTTCTAGATCCTGTTGATCGGTGACCGACGAAAGAATCCATGCTCGTTACTACGAATTGCGTGTTATCGCCATGGGCTTAATCTCGATTTTGACCCTCTTGATCTTTTCCAGTCCGGTACTTACGACTAGGGCCCTACTTACGACCCTTCGACTTCAGTCGCGCAAGGGTTCCAGATAGATTGAACTGATTAAGTCTTCAGGGTTGTTCGGCCGAATACGGCGTCGTTAGGAGCTGAGTATGTAATGTAACCGCACCATTCCAGAACATCGGTATTGGGGTTCTGTGCGGTCTTTTTCCCTATGGAATGTTTTTTTCCCGACCGTTGGGTTCTCGAAGGAAGCTTGACCTTGTGACTACAGAATGGGCATGACACGTAGCCCAGGTAGCCGTAAAGAAAAATCGCCTCCGAACGGTCGGGTCAAAGGGAAAGTAGAGAACCGTTAGAAGCCAACTGAACACATCATACCCGACATCATACATCTTACCTAGCACATTCATAGATACAGTAGGGGATGACACTATTGAACCCAGCAAGAAATCATCCAAGGTAAAAACTCCAACCTAGTCGACGTGCATGTAGCTAACGAGCAATTAGGATAGGTTCCCGATTAGGGGAGCATCGAACATGAAGCCATCACATGGTGACCCGAATTCGTCGTTTCACGAAACGATCGACGACGACATATATCAATTGGCACATTTGAAACTCGATACGTGATAGGCGACCAATGGAAGCGTCTGCGCCGATATTACAAGATATTTGCCACATGCGAAAAGATGAATTGCATTGGAGCCTCGGGTTCGAGTTTACGCCATTGGAAGCCTCGTCGCATCCCCCCTCAATCACCGGTTCATGAACGACGTCCTTGTTTCTTTTCGCTTGGGCGGGGAGTCTGACCGGTTTGTTGACCAAGAGGCGCATGGAGTCTAAGACTCCAGATGTCTCCCTCGATGCTGCGCGCATAGCAAGTCTGCATTAGAAGTCTGCATTAGCCAGCGAATCTATTGAAGTCGGTCTAGACATGGCCAAGCATTGTTGGAGACAATCAACATTCTAATCGTTTTAATCATTTCAATCAGCGTCAAGCGCGCTTCTATGGGTGTCTAGGGACTACCTAGTAATTAACATGCCTCACTAGCATTTGGCTCTCCCATTTACCTGGTCCCGTTTGCTTTAATCAACATCGCTAACGTCATCTCGAAGTTGTTAATTTAGACCTAAGTCCGAAGCAGCCGACCATGTGAGCGGGAGCGTCCGGCCTCCCTCCCCACGTGGTAGGTCGTTCTAGTTGGAACTATTTCCTGGTTAAGCCCTACGAACGAGTCAAATCCAATCAATCTAGCGATAGCGGAGTGACCCATTGACGAACGTTGGTTCGAGCACGTCGTTGGTTAACTTGTAATTGTCTCAAGTAGGCTACCGGACGGCCGTGGAGAAAGCAATAAACACGCAAACCAACGAGGTGACAGAATTTGGACAGCTCTGACAGCTGTGCCGCACAATATTGACTGATTTCGTCCGTCTTCTGTCTCAGTAAGACTAGCAGACTAGGTCATGTTGCCTATTTCAGCACCCTACACACCCACGATGCCCACGAGAGAATAGATCTACGGCTCCACTCCACACTACGGCATACGTGAACCCTTCGTAGATAAGCCATGGTTCTATTCCGTACGGTCCAATCTCGTCGATCATGATAGGACATTAGACGAAGAGCCTCAAATCTGACGTACGAATTATGAAACGTCCAGCGCCCTTCTACCAATAAACATATGACCACATGATGCAGTTGGAATTGGATGGATCTTACCTAATATTTAATATTTACATTCAAGGCGGGAACCAACAGCGACGTTGGAAATAGATTCTTTGTTTTTTCTTTATTTCCTATCCTTCCCCCCCTCCCGTTCTCCATGGCTTACTAACTAACAATGAACGAATCCAATTATTGCTGACCCCCTTTTCCCTCGGTGAGCCGCTATTAGGGGCTATCACCAATACTATCACTTAATAATCTTAATTGTACATACGATTGATGCAGTCAAAACAATAACAAAAGCTGCTCAACGTGACAAGTCAGATTCGATCCGATGCATTGTTTCATAGACTAGAATCGAGATGACTCGTCTGAATCTAATTCGCATTCTCCTTCCCGTGCGCCATCCCGTACGCCATGATTATTTGCATCTCCGACGTGATGTGATTGTGTAATCATCATCCCGACCGGTGGCGTCGAGAACAGAACAGGTACCGGTGTTCTCATCACAATCACAATCGTGGAATTTCTCCTTAATTTCGCGACGTTCTGCCGCTCCGCTCACACCTATCGGGGATTTTTGCCAGGTGCCGCTCATCTCCGGACTGTTGTGAACACGAAAATACGAAGACGCGGAATTTATCTGCTTACTTTTTCCCACAACTACTGGTCAGCGAATTATCGAACCTCCATCTGCTTCATGCAGTTCATGTAAGTGATTACATTATGTATATGTATGTACTCAGATGTATGCATGCGTGTTGTGCGGCAGCCCCTTAACTGCCCCTATTAGATGCGTCCTGTTGCAGTAACTCCGATATCTCCAGAGCCCCGGAGTTATCGGGTTTAGATTAACCATTTCGGGGAATCGAATCGCCAAAATCAGGGGCTCAGGAGTTGGCTATGGTGGTCCGCCTTCATACCTCGAGCTGGAAATCGCTATACGAGAAAAGTATAGACATCATTGAAGTCAAAGGATCTAGTTTTTGTCGTCGTCCGTGAAATACTACTCATCTGATGCTTAGGTGGGTAGGTGGTATCTATTCCCCTAGATCGCCTGCGCCGGCAACCACCCTATCCAACTTCTCTTGTCGGCGCGAAAGCTACCTGTAAAGCTAAATGCATATGGATGTCTCAATAGAAGTATGGAATGGGCGTTGAAAGCATACACAAAAGCCACAGGTTCCATCTCTGCAGAAATCAGCAGTAGTGGCTTGCTATATCCATTCCTCCAGTCCAGCATCAGATTTTGCGCCACCGATCTGTCATGAGACCACGGCACGCGGTTCGTCTCGTGGATAAATATAATATACCGACTCCGCAAGATCGACATATCGCTGACCGTCTGAAACATGTCTAGCAAAAGAGGCACGGAAAACAGTAATCCGTGATTAGATGCAGAAAAGACAAAATCGATTCTTGCTACCATTTCGAGGTATGGAAGCACGGCACGGATGGCGTTCTAGCATGGGCCTTTTGCTTCTTTCAAACTTCACGTCGGACTTACTTCAGTTCGGTTTGTGTGTGGCGCGGCTTGCCATTGACGTCAACCATAATCGCATCTCACGACGAAGGATGAGCGTTGGCGTTCCAATTAGGAGTTCAAGACTTGTATGCATGTCTGTCTTGGTAGACTCCTTCTCCGGGTATGCTGTAATAGCTACGAAGCCGTAATCGTAACTCCTGCATCTTCGAGAATCTCAATTAGAGCTCGGAACAATTCAGCTCCACGCGGAGACTCTGTGGGCTGAAGATCAACAAATGGACCGTGCAATCGCGCATGAATGCCGAGTCGCGTGTCAACCGTTTAATTAACTACACGAGAGATCTTCTTAAACTTTGGCCTAAGCCTCGATGTTGAAGTGGATTCAACTTTCAACTTACACTACTGCGTGTCTTCCATCCTTCACTTTTCGATATCGAAAAGGCTGAACGGTTATACGCCTTACCGCGCCACGCTGGATTCGCCGATCACTTCCAATATGCTTAGCTAGGCCTTAGCAATGTCTTACGGGCTATCGAACCTGTACGCCGATACCTTATGCTAGGCCTTCTAGTGCTTGTCCATCTTAGCTCTCTTATCGAAGTTCCTAATCCTCGTGGCAGAACCTTAGCTCAACCGTCTTCCGCTTCTCTAGCCCGACAACATGTTCCCTAACTTCATAGTTTGCTCTTCAACAGCCTCCGCGTCTTCGCCCGGTAGTAGTCTCAGTCTCGGCAGGCGCGAGACACGCGCCAACTCGCGTGCCGAAATCAGCCTTAAGTCGTGGGACATATCTCGAAAAGCCACGACACGATCGACACGCAGAATTGGTGGCGTTGTCTTACTGGTCAAGCGATAACAGCTCGATAGGTCGGATGGTTGAGCCATTTAGGCTTGAGAAGGTTGGTGAGAGCTTGAGTAATCCTTGACTCGTCTTTCATAATCCAGAGAGAATACCGAGAACTAGAACGAGCACTAGAATTGGAGTAGATAGGTAACTTTGTGTGGATGAATCCTATAACCTGTGCTGCAACGCTCCCGTATACAACTCAACGATACTAAGCTGAGATCGGGGAATCAAGCGTCTCGAGGTGAATGACGAAAGGGCAGCCAGCCATCAGTACTGAACCTGGCGAATGGTCTACCTAGGCACAGACTTTTTCGTAATTATAGGTACCAATGTCGTTGCGTTGCACCTTTACAGCTCGCGGGATACGTTGTAGCGACATTCTTCTTGCTCTCCTCAATCCACGATTTGGAATAGCAAAACACTTAAACTGCCTGGTGAGAACTCTGAGCCCAATGATCGATCATAATTGCATTTTTAAAAGGCCCAAAATGACGATTGGTCGTCGGATCGAGGGATCTAAGAAGCTAGGAAGTCTAGGTAATAAATGCCACACGATGGAATATACGAGTTTTGCATATAAATAATGGGGTTTGGGAGCAAAACGATGTTATAGTGAATGTGCCCCTGTCACGATTCCCCGCCTGTAATCCCCTATATACCTAACTGATATCTGATGACGCGTAAAGCCGTTTAGAGCGGCGTCTGTGTGAATTTGATCTCAGACTGGTGAATTATCCATGATATATTCTGATTGTATTGCCTATGTAGGTACCTAACCACTACCAAACTAACTGCGATAATGATTAGCAGCACACAGCTCGATGGCATTGCCCTTATCGTAGGGGTAAGATATCGCGCCTCGGCAGTTGTTCTTAGAAATCACTAACAAGATATAGTCAGGCAGCGGGATCGGTAGGGAAGCAGCATTTTCTCTTGCCGAGGCCGGTGCAAAAGCTGTAGTATTTGCAGACAAGAACGAGGGCACAGCAAAGGCTTCCTCCGATGAAAGTAGAAAGTATGCGAGCAACAAAGACTACCAGACTATGACTTTCAAGATGGATGTCCAGGACGACAAGTCCGTGCAGGATATGGTGGATTTCGTGGTTAAAGAATTTGGCCGTATCGACTACGCCGTCAATGCTGCCGGAGTAAGAAGAACATATCACATGTTGCGCTGGTTCTATTCGAACTAATTATTCTCCCTACTAAGGTTGACAATGGTCGTCACGCACCCATCGCCGAGACGAACGTTGACAATTTTGACCGTGTCATGAACATCAATACCCGCGGCAATCTGATTTGCGTGCGCGCCCAGGTGGCAGCAATGCGCAAACAGGAACCGAAGACTTGGTCCAGTAGAAATGGTACTCGTGATATCGGGCGTGGAGTCATTATTAACCTCGCATCCGCCAACTCGTTCGTCGGCCTTCCTGGAAAGGGTTCCTACACCATTTCAAAACACGCGTTCATGGGAATTACCAAAATGGCAGGTAAGTGTTTCAGTCCCAAACTCAGCATGCAAAGAACCCATCGGAAGTGATAATTGACGCCTTGTAGCTCTTGATCACTCTCCAGAAGGCATCCGAGTCAATGCCGTGTGCCCGACCTGGGTACGGACGCCGTTGCTAGACGAGGAGCTGAGGAAGAACCCTGAGGTCCAAGGCATGATCTCTGCTATCGTACCCATAAAACGTGCAGCCGAATGTGAGGAGGTATCGGATACCATTGCATTTCTATGTAGTCCAGCTGCGAGCTACATTAATGGCGCTAGTTTGCTCATTGATGCTGCTGTGACTACCACGGTGCGCCTATTTTAATCGGGGGTTATTGATGTGACTGTTTATTATAATGTACCCCTTTTCCAATGGAATGTTGGACAGGGGCGTTGGTTTAAATGAACATAAGCAACCACTTAAGAAGAAACATTCCACGCCAATTCATTGCTATATGTGAAGTGGAATAACTATAAGAAAATTGTCCTAATTGAGGTTAATATTCACGTTTGGACGGCTTGAAAATGGCCATAAGGTACTGAGCTTCCGGGTACCTTTCACCTCGCCTGAGCGAGGAAGCCTCTCGCGTTTCATGAAAATGGAAAAGGACAAATCATTGCGCACAAGAAGCGATAACCATGGTAAACATGTTATCGATGCTATCAGTGATGGCAGCTAACACGCGCCATCGCTGTTCCGCGGTTAAACTTAGAAAGAAATCGCCCCCGAATCCATAAACGGCTTGCCGAACCGCACTTCTCGACATTTTAGGCAAGAACTTAGCCATTTAATCGGTCAAATCGTTCAAGAAAATGCTGTTGGATATCGCCAGTGCGAGCGTGATACCACCCACCTAGGCGATGCTGATGAAAGCTACTGCGAATCCGGCTTGAGAAAAGGCCTACACCAAAGGCGGCCAATACGGAATACCCGTAAATACGGGCCTCGAATCGTGTTCACGTCGATGTGTCTAGAAGCGTGCTGCTGACTAGAGCGATCGCCGAATTGACTAGATACCACGGCATGTAGTATTCCACTTGGGCCATGACGACTCCGTTCAGCATGACTGAAAAGCTAGGGGCAGGATAAACGGAAGAAGCTGGACTCCGTTTTCACCGCGGACTCGGCCTTAGCGTACTGGGAGTAGAGGAGAATAAAATAGATGGGGACCGTGACGACGACTTGTGCGCTAGCTATTGGAGCGAACAAGACGTCCATCTCCCAGGATTTTATAAGTGAAATAGGGAAGAGTTGGTTTTTGGGTGTGACAAATAGGGGAAAATGTTGCTGAAATTCGAAAATAACTTAGAGGACGTCTGTAGCAACGAACAGACGAGTTGTTTGGCCGCTGCGGCACTGAGCACTGTTCCGACCAAGTCCAGACTCCTCGTCCGCGACGAAAGACCGATACCTCGTCGAGGATCAGCTCCTGGTAAAAGAAAGAGGTAGACCGGGGCAGCAAGGCCTCCGATGCATATGTTGATGTAGAATAATCATCTCCATGTCGCAGAACTGTCAGTAAAAGCTCCTCCGATTATAGGGTATATGCCCATTCCCCCGACGCCACAGATAGCCCGCCCACCAACGAGTGTATTGAGTGACGGAGCAGCTCCGCGAATCGCAAAGCTGGCTTCGAACATGATTAGGTTTAAGACGAAGGGTACTTTGTCACGAATTGAGGTAATTGACCCCTATTTTCTTGTTAGAGCTCGTGTCGATAATGGGAGCCATAATCTCGATGGACTAGTAGGAAACATACCAGAATAGTTCGTGGCGACTGCCTTCGAAACAAATGCTACCTAGGGAAATCCAGGACAGCTTCTTTATGTGCCCTGATGTGTAAATGATGTTCTCTTGAATATTGGCGACGACGGTGCTGTCGAGCGCGAAAAGGAACAGGGCTGCCAGTAGGGAGAAAATGACAAAGGACCAACACAGAGGCTTCAACACTCGAGCCTGTACGTCTTCGAGCGGTGGTAACCCTACATTAGTTTTCGAATTCTGACAATCTAAACTTGCTTCTTCTTCCCAGAACGGAGGTGATCTGTTATATAAGAAGGGTCCTTTTCTAGAGTGGACATGATGGGATCGGATTCTTGAATACCTTCGCTATCAACGTCGAAACAATGATTCGGCGAGACTTGAGGATACGACCAAACGTGATTCTATATGATTTACTCCTTATCCAGGTACATACTCAGGTAGATGTTTTCGGGTTGCGATAGCTGAGTAGATGTGAGCACAGGCGCTCGCAGCTCAAGCACAATTCATAGGTAGGTAATGACCACACTTGGTATCGCGAGGTGTAGACACATCATGACCCACTAACTGGGCATAATATGCAGTTAGCCTAGGGATACCCATACTCAGCTCATCATTCATTTTTGAAAGTAGAGTATATGATTTTGAGCTATTGTAGCTTTCAGGTCTTATAGGTCGCCATTTCTATAACACAGCTTACATTGTAAGTTACCCCTTGCATCCAATTGAGAAATCCAACAACTTGATTGAAAAAGAGAGAAGTCCGCTGACGATATCGACAATTTCAGCGGCGTTTATGCCAAGTATCTAACGGATAGATAGCCCAATGTCCTTATGAAATAAACAGTTACACATAACATTGAATTGTAGTTGAATTAGAGTTAGAGTCGTCGGTGAGAGAAAAAGTCAATCCCTAACCCAGTCCGGTTTAAGCCATCGCGCTTCAGAGGGCGAGGACACTAGTCTAGCGGCTAGCTTAGCCCTAACAGAAATTTCCTATCCCCTAGTTGAGCCGGACAAAGCTCTACTTCCAAGCTTTGTTACCCACCAATCCACCTAACCTATCCATCCGTCCATCCATCTATTGCGGCAATGCGCTCACACCCCTACACACCGCCGCCCCCACTCCCCCCGCTACTCAGCGACCTCTCCACGTATCTACCTAACAGCGACCGTAGAGATGGTGTGAGTGGCACTGAAGTAGGCCTGTCCGACCTAGATCCCGACACGAGCCGCCTGCTGCCGGAGAAGCGGAGACAGCATCGCGTGCGCGTCCAAGGCCGGCTAGCGCCCGTGCGCAGCGTGTCTATCGCGAACTTAAGGTCGCCCCCGCTACGGGATGCATCAAATAGGGGATTCGATGAGGCGGTAGGTGGCGCATTGCCCAGGAGGCGACGGAGTGAGGATGATGACGCGGGAGGCCGGGGGGACGAGACGGGCGAGGAAGAGGTTGAAGTCGAAGAAAGGGATACGCAACTTAGGGGGTATGGGATCGGTGGAAGGGGGAATATACGTAAGAGATGAGATCCTAAGTAGCTTAACATCGCGTACCTGCTAACGTTCCAGTAGGCCGACCTACGGAGGTTATAGGGACCTCGTCAAAAACATCACGATCTATATCCTCACTCTTCTCAAGTTCGGGCTCTGGCTCTGGCTCCGGCTCGCGCTCGCCGCGTGTGGTTTCGGGTTCAAATATAGATAAGAGGTGGACTTTCTCGGGGTTGTTGAATCGTATTGAAGAGCGGAGGTGGAAGGAAAGGAATACTTAGACGATAGATATGGCGTTGGTGGGTTTGCATTTTGGGATGGCGGCTTAGATTAAAGTAAGACCTCGTACGCAAGTTCATTGCCGAGTACGACTACAGACTCCCAATGGGTGTCTTGATGTATTTCGAGGATTATATAGGTATTGGGGTTCATTTCGGAATAGATCGCTCGGAGACCAATTCACTAAGGGGAGATCCGCATGAATCTATCAATCCATAAAACTGACTTATGATTGCTACGATAAATACCGAAAAGGCAAAAACAACAAGGAAAAACATTATATAGTCCAAGGTAGTGAACGAAAACCAACCAGACAGGAAGAAACTTGATGAAGTACCCACCAGGTACTTGCGGTTAATCAATTGTGGCCCTGGATTTTCGAGGTTAACGAACAATGGCAACAAGCTTCTCTGATTATTGGGATCGAAATTCGGGGTATAGCCTCATTCATAATATCATAGAATGAGGTCAAGGGCAATGAATGACCAACCCCTAAAGCTCGGAGTCGACTTTGTAAGACGGAAGATCCACGGGAAGCATTAGTGATATTTTAATATTGTAGCGGTGAGTCACACCGAAAAGACCGTTCAGGAGTAAGTTCACTTCTTAAAATGATCTTGACTTCCAGTATTAGCTTAATGGATATATTCTCAAATAAGACTGGTGAATATAGGAGGAGAAGCATAATTTACGTATATTTTATTGACACTCTCATAACTCTAGCTTCCCCTACCCTTCACGTCCAGTGTGTTCTCCATCTAGACGGATCCTTTTCCAAAAGGTGCCATGGGAGACGTATTGCACGGCCTATAAATGAAGCTATGGGTATCATCTGTAAGCTTTTACATCTTAATCGCCTATAATATGGGCTACCAACTTTCAGATCATATAGTTGGCACCGGTCTAGTGTATAGTATGCCTGTTTTGCTTGTTAGTTTAAAGAGGTGTGCTATGATTCTGATTACTGAGAGAAAAAGCACCAATAATATCATGTTTGCTGGAAGAAAAAGAAAGGAGTATACTAGGTACGTAATGAAAGCAGGCCGTCGTATGTCTAATTGTTAAGATTTAGCAGATAAAACATTTGATCAGACCCTTCTAGTAGACATCAACCTGGGGCGATGGTAATTCTATTCTTATAACCTATTTCAATTGGGTACTAGGTGATACTTTGTAGTACCAAGAAGTGCTACCCCTATTCATAGTCTTACTACTAACTCACAGACCTTCACACGCCTTAGAACAGATCTTCTTTAGTCTTCCAATGATTAGCCTCGATGACATCTGCAGGCATGGTCCAATCCCACGGCGCCGGGTTTTTGGGAAGTAGGTCTGGGTAGTCTTGGTGTACGCTCCACAGATGCAAAGACATGGGAACGGCGAGAATCATAGGGTGCCTCTCTGCTCCAAAGTGATCGACCAAATCTTTAAACTCCCCAGGGTCGATAGCGGAATCCATACAAGCGGGAACCTTGCCGTAGTAGACTTTGGCGAGGTCTCTCGGAAGACTGATCCGCAACTCGCTAGTACTACACCACCACATTAGTATACTTACCAAGGACATCGAATGAGATGACATACAAGGATTTTCGAATGTCACGGATTTGGTGCAGAGTGATGGGGTCTTTCTTCGGGAGGCGAGTAGACGCGATGACGGCATCCAAGTACAACCTGATGAACTTCTCGCGGTGCCATACAAGATCTTCCTTCAACAGCTTCAGCTGGAATCTATGGACCTCATAATGACGCGGTCGGTATTTGTTCAGGTTCGGCCATTCGATCCTGGGAATGGGTAGATCATGTTCGCGTATGTACTGCTCGGCGTGGGCGAAGGTGAGTCGGGCCTTATCCTTGTGCCACTGATGGCGGAAGACTGAGACGACGGTCTTCAGTGGAAGGCTCGCGAGCGCGGCGACGGCTGTTTCATGCTGAAGGAGGGTTGTATGTCCGTCGATTCCAGGTGATTGCTCACGAGGTTCTCGAGCTGGCCTTTTGCCCTCCTTCACAGACGGATCACGACTCATGGTTAGAATATTGATGACATGAGAATGAAAATTGTTGAATGAGTGATGTCCATTCTAAGTTTACGTGATTTATCAGTACCATTTTCAAACTGAAACTTCCTAATTCTTTGATGAGCTAGATATGTAGCTTCTTAACCACTAATAGCATGGAGTTGGAAGTTGTGAGTTGAGAGCTCGATGCCGAGTGGAAGTTGCATATAGTGAATATAAAGTATGGATAGACGCACATATCATTATATCCATACACTCACTTCGATATGTATCAATCGAGATTATGGGGGGTAAATCTGGGGAAAGCTCGAAGAAAAAAAAGTGACATCCTTTGTAACCTTTTCAACATCACAACCTCGACGACAAGATGTCGACGGAGAAACCCAGCCCGCTACGATCCATCATAGCGGGCGCCACGGCCGGCGCAGTCGAGATCGCGATCACATACCCGGCCGAGTTCGCTAAGACGAGGACACAGCTCAACCGCAAGTTAGCCGACGGCCAGAAGCTCCCGTGGCCGCCCTTCGGCAAGCAGTGGTACGCCGGCTGCACCACCCTGATCATCGGCAACTCCGCCAAAGCCGCGATCCGCTTCGTCTCCTTCGAGCAGTATAAGCGCCTCCTCGCCGACGAGAATGGCAAGGTTTCGGGCCCCAGGAACGTCATCGCCGGTTTCGGCGCCGGTGTCACGGAGTCGCTGCTCGCTGTCACGCCGACCGAGTCTATTAAGACGACGTTGATCGACGATCGCAAATCGCCGAACCCTCGAATGCGTGGTTTCTTACACGCCGTCCCGATTATTGCGAGAGAGCGGGGAATTCGAGGGTTCTTCCAAGGTCTCGTGCCCACGGCCGCTAGACAGTCGGCCAACAGCGCCGTGCGATTCGGCTCGTATACTAGTCTGAAGCAGCTCGCCGAATCGTATACCGCTCCCGGCGAGAAGCTCGGAACGGTTGCTACGTTCGGTATAGGAAGCGTCGCAGGTGCTATTACCGTAGCCGTGACCCAGCCTCTCGACACGATCAAGACGAGGATGCAGAGCATCGAAGCAAAGCAGGTCTACGGCAACAGTTTCCGATGCGCGACCTTGATATTCAAGCACGAAGGCATCTTGACGTTCTGGAGCGGAGCCTTACCTAGGTTAGCGCGACTAGTCATGAGCGGCGGCATTGTCTTCTCCATGTACGAGAAGAGCATAGAACTTATGCGGACGTTGGACCCGGAAAACAAGTACATATAGACATCGGTGCGCGAAAAGTTTATTAGACAGATACCCAGCAATCAGGGGACAGGACCTGGAATGGCGTTCCAACATTCGTTTGAATGAGGATGGGATGTGCGACTACCTTCGAACTATTGCCGGAGGGGTGATAGGTAACTACACTAGTCCACCTCTCGGGTTTTGACCCGTGAATTCGATCGTGAGGCTACTACTCAGCCTCCGTAGTATAGCCCCATAGCGGCTGTGATGGGCACGGACAGGAGTCACCTTGGCGGACGGTGTTTCCAGACATCGGTTGATGTTGGATCGGATTTACACATTGGCTCCAAAAGCCTACACTAGTAGTAGAGGCCAAAAGTCTACGATAATCATGTACGACAATGACACCGAATGACACCATCCCGTTCTTGAACTAAGATTGCATGATGTTCGTGATCCACGGTACCGAGAGTCTGCAAGCGTGATTTTGGCAATCTAGAAAATTTCCGATTCTTATTGTAATCTTACAACTCCCTTCAACCTTAACCAGAGTCTTTCCAGGTATGATCGACTCGGCGCTTCTTCGAGCTCCTTTACTAGATCGGTAAAATATGTTGGGTGACTCTTAGGCTTCAGCAGAGATCCTCTGATGGGGTACTAGATTCAACATTAACACTCGCATCTCGTATTATGACCATGTCCGTACCTTGGTCTTATATCGGTCGTTGATTAGCGAGTAGAGTGCGTTGGCTTGTTTTAGTTGGTCCTGTTCAGGTAGGTTTGACGGTTGTTCGAATCGCTTTCGAAGCACTTCTTGGATTTGAATCTGGGGTCGTAGGGTATCTTTGGGCCACTGGGAAAGCGCCCGCAGAATGTGGCGATGCGCGCTCTGTAATTGTGTAAGCGAATGCTTGCGATGGTGGTCAATCTGAATGAGGGGAGGTAATAACCATACCACTTTTGCCTGAGCCATAACTATCTATTCTCTGTGGGGTCCCAAAGCATCAATTCAAGGCCTGGCGCATTCAATTGAGAATGCTATACCGTCAATGTCTATCTGCGCATCACCATCTTGAGGACGTTGAGCTGTAGAAAATTAATGATTATCGATGACGTGAACCAATCAACTTCAAAGCCGCTTGCAAATCGTAATCGATAACGGGAAGGTACATCGGAAACGTACATCTCGAACTTAGATCGTCGGCGATAGGATAGTGCCGATTTTAGGCCTCCAATGAAGCGACTTATCGAAATTGCCGAATTGCGCTGTCCGAAGTTTATTGAAAAGGTGGCTCGTGCGCCAACTTGGTTTTGCCATTGCTCTCAGGGCTGTCAGGCGCTATTGGTCAGCTGAACCTTCCCGCTTCTTCGGTGTTCGATGTACCTAAAACGTCCCTGCCTACGAGGTAAGAACCCACTAAATTGGTTTTATGGTGAATTTACCTAAGATCCTTTTGGCAGTCGCATCATCGTGCACCTGCACCCTTTACGCACTAATCCCGCCCTTATGCCCCCCGTCTTGCGTCTGCGTGTCGCATGTCTCTCCCTTTTACAACCATCATCATCATCATCAACCGACTTTTTCCATCCATCGATCCTCACGCCATCTCTTCCCTAGTCTCTCTTCTTCGATACCCACTCTCCTTAACAGGCTAGGAAATTCATTCCTGTCCCTATTTTTTCTTCTTTTTTATCTTCGAACGAAATACTTCCTGCGACGACGACATTTTCCTTTACGAGCCCATACACACCACATCCGACTTCCGATTCCTCCTTATCATCTGTTTCATTTTGGTTTCTTACTCTGAACGATGTCTGGACGTTACGAGCGGGTTAATACCCAGGACGACGAGCCAGATACTCCAACCGCTCCTACTTTATTGCGACGGCCGCAATCTATACCAAACTCGCCTCCGCCCTCGTTTCATTCGCGAAGTTCCTCGTTCGAACGAAGGAGGCAGAATGTGGATCCTACCTTAGCTGACGCGTTCGATACTGACGGCGACGAAAGCGATGACGAACCCGACGACAGGCAGCGACTAGTACGACAGAGTTCATTTCCGGTTTCTAATAATTCTGCCAGCCGTAATTCGAATGGAGGGGACGCGAGATCATCCGCTCCCAGTGGACCCCCTGGACAACCACAATTTTCGCCCAGCGGAGCCAATTCTCAACAAGCTGGGTCTAGGGTGTACGGCGGCGGAATTCAATCCGATGGAGTCTTTTCCAATATGATGGCTCGGCCGGAGAGGGGGGAGAAAGTTGTGGAAGAGGCACCTCCCGTACGTCGCGACCGCATTACGTTGTCAAATTTACTACGGACATGGAACGTTACTAACTGATTTTCAGACATACGAACAAGCAGCAGCAGATGCCGCGCCGCCCTACTGGGAAACTACAATTCTAGCACCGGGTCTCGGCGGTCCCGACGATGTGTACATAGATGGAATGCCCGTCGGCTCGATATTCAGTTTCATCTGGAACGGCATGATCAGCATGTCGTTCCAGCTCGTGGGCTTCCTTCTTACGTACCTATTGCACTCCACTCACGCCGCAAAGAACGGTTCTCGCGCCGGACTCGGCATCACGCTTATCCAATATGGTTTTTACATGAAAGGATCTTCTGCCAACTCCGGGGGCATGGGCGGTGCACCTACGGACGGGTACGCGCAGCCTCCGGACCCGAACAGCCACGACTTCGACCCCAATGCTGTGAGCCAAAGCAACGGAGACGGTTCAAGCTTAAGCGATATCGCTAGCAGCGAATGGGTAGCGTATTTACTCATGATCGTGGGCTGGTTCATCTTAATTCGGGCGGTTAGCGATTACATCAAGGCCAGGAAGCACGAGCAGCTAGTCCTCCAGAGCCCAGATCGAGGACTGGGTATACCAATTATTGCGGAGGGCGAGAGAGCGGAAACGGTTGTTTAATACCATTTCATAGTGAAGTTCCTGTCTATCAAAACCGGTGGTTATTGCTAAGTCAATACAACGCATACGATTATCACATCACTTTCACCTGGATCGGAGAGTGATTTTGGGCGTAAGGAAGGTCCTCTTGAACCCAGGCGTATTAGGTGTTAGGGCATGGTGATCTATTTGTGAAAGGGTACCTATATTAGTCTCGCGGATCATGGATTCAAGCGAGGCATGCCAAGCGATTGAGCTAGATAAATGTGATATTATTGTACTCATCTTCATTACCTCGTCGATCTTCCTACAGTAGAGAACTTGAAGATAATCATGCATGGGTTGGGTTGCCCTTTGCGTTCGACTTGGACAGGCCGACCTCGGTCTCTGCCCGCTAGTTCTACGATTTATATCAAGCTAGGGATTGTAGATCTATACCGCTTAGTACATATACGTAAAGGATTTCAAAAGCCCCTCATGTTAATACCTGTACGGAAATATAGATCATAGAACATATTACATGTCCAAAATCATACACCTAGTAGCCAGGTACTTCGCACAGACCAGTGATTGGTGCCGGTGATATAGTTTATCGATACGGATTATAGATGCAGCAAGCGCAACTCATGCCCCGCATTGCGTAGATGTAAGGTTGAATAAGATATGACGACCAAGACGTCATATCATGATCAACAATAAGCTCAGGAAAGTCCAATGTAATTACACAAAGCAGATCGGAAACAATATTCTAACGAATTGATTCGCTGTCCTGTTACGTCTTGTAATCGAGTGACCTACTTCGGTGAATCTTCTATTCACAACCTGCTGATTAGATTCCTATACAGTCCACCCAGCGAACCATCATCAGGTCATCAGGACCAACACCAACCCAACGTAGCTTCCGAAGTAACCAAAGCAATCAATCGCCTCTGGGCCCGATCCCTTCGCCAGCCGCCCGGCTACCCTCGAACCCTAGCCAACCGGAACCCCATCAGGCGCGACCGCTAACCTCGCCGCCATGGCCTGGCGCAGCTCGGGCGCCTCCAACGCGGAGCTAGTCGAGAACCTGTGGCGCAACAAGCTGATCACGCAACCGCTCGTCAAAGCGGCCTTCCTCAAGGTCGACCGCGCGCACTACGCGCCGTCGAGCCCGTACGAGGACTCGCCGCAGCCCATCGGCCACCGGGCCACCATCAGCGCGCCGCACATGCACGCCAACGCCGTCGAATCTCTGCTTCCCTTCCTGCTCCCTAAGATCCGATCGGGACCCCAGAGCGCCGAGGGCGTGGCTTCGGTCGAAGGGCAAAAGGGACGGCCTAGACGCGTCTTGGATATTGGGAGCGGGAGCGGGTACCTGACGCACGTGCTCGCGGAGCTGGTGGGCGAGGACGGGGTCGTGGTGGGCCTGGAACATATTAAGGAGTTGAAGGAGCTGGGCGAACGCAATATGGCGAAGAGTCCGGAGGGACGCGCGTTGCTTGAGAGCGGGCGCGCGAGGTTCCGTGTTGGCGATGGTCGGAAGGGGTGGAGTGAGCCGAAGCCTACGGCGCAGCAGCCGGGTGTCGGGGGTCCGGCGGTGGAGACGGATGTTAAGGACGAGGAGGGCGGGTGGGATGCTATTCATGTGGGTGCCGCGGCGGAGGAATTGCATGAGGAGCTGGTGCGGCAGATGAGGAGCCCCGGACGCATGTTTATACCTGTCGAAGATGAAAATGCCTTGGAACAGTATATTTGGACGGTGGATAAGGACGAGCACGGGGTCGTCAAGAAGGAGAGGTTGTATGGGGTCAGGTATGTGCCGCTTACCGATGCTCCATCTAGAACGTGAGGGCGAGGTGAGAGAGTATGAGTACGAGAGCCAAATAGCTTTGAGGATAAGGGTGAGAGGGTATGAATATGAGAGTAAAATGGCTTGAGGGTATAGGAAGTGGGACTTATGGTTTCTACTATCGTTAAGCTGGTGGTCTTGAAGTTCATTGGAACTGAGCTGGGAGACGAGTCTACAATGAATTGCATCGAGGTACGTGTATGGCTCTATTCTCATTGTTGGGAATCAAACTAATCGCAAGATCTAGTCTCGTTTTATGAGTGCGGATTGGAAGCTATCGGCTTTATTTTAGTAGTGTTAGTTCAATGCAACTATCGTCACCCAAATCAGGTAGTCTATTGATTCTCTTCGAGTTTTGTTAGTAGTTAATTCGCTAGTTGATATGCATTGTCTATGACCATGTTCTGCCCCAACCTTGAGTGATGGCTAGAGTGATGGCATCCAGTCCTAGCATGTGATTGCTGGAAAGGGTAAATTCCATATCGGTTTGCCACTGTTAAATACGAACTTGAACGCCACAAATGGAAGATGTTCATTGTCCTCTAGTTAGTATTTACAGCGTACAATACAACGCTCCCAATATACATTCTCTCATTGATTGTGGTTATCTGTAAGGAGAGTCTGCTCTGATGGCGGCCGCCAGCTCGGGTTCCCATTTATCTCCGTTTGCCAAAAGCTTCTCCTTGTTGTATAACAGCTCCTCTCTCGTCTCGGTGGAGTATTCGGCGTTGGGAGATTCCACGATGGCGTCTACGGGACATGATTCTTGGCAGAAGCCGCAGTAGATGCACTTTGTCATGTCGATATCGTAGCGGGTTGTTCGTCTCGATCCATCGGCTCGCTCTTCTGCTTCGATGGTGATGGCCTGAGCCGGGCAGATCTACATCGAGTGTTAGTGGAGCGCCCAAGTGAAAGTAATGTGATAGAACATACTGCTTCGCACAACTTGCAGGCGATACATCGTTCTTCGCCCGATGGGTAACGTCTCAAGGCATGTTCGCCACGGAATCGAGGGGAGATAGGTCCCTATCAGAGAATCAGTCGCCGAATGCCACGAGCTCCATTTGTCCACCGTTAATATAGAACGTATTGCGCATGTTTGATCGGAATGTCAGGACGGGATTTCGATATCACGGACCTTCTCAAAAGGATAGAAAATTGTGTACCTAATAACGTAGCGCCACATCAGCACGGAGGTCGTCAATCATGTATCTAGAGAGCGAACTCACGGTGGTCTGAAGTAGTTCTCCAGCGCGACGTACATTCCTCTGAACATCTCGGTCAAGAGGAAGTATGATCCGATCCTATCCCACGTCTTCTCTTCTTCCTCGTCCCATCGTTTCGGGCTAGGAATTCGGAAGTTCTTTGGCGGGACACCAGCTGGCGTGGCGTAGGTCCGTTGCGCGACTATTCTAGCGACGGCAGAGGCCGCGACGGGTTGTCGTCGCACGAGCTGGCGAGACAGCATGGCGGATGTCGATGTGGTGAGCCCTTTCATAGCGCGGCGCAATTGGGGCGACGGAAAGGGTAGAGGGGAGAGTCAATGATCTAGATTAGGGTGTGTCGAAGGCGAAATATAGAGCAGCTTGAGGTCATGATGGAGTTTCGGGATTTTAGGTGGAGCTAGATACGACTAGATATTACAAAAGCGTTACCATGATTGGTCGCTGCTTAAGCCCCCGTTTTTGCGGTGCCACATTAGATCGTAGCCACAAATTTAGGTCGTTGAGGTCATTAAATCGAAATTGACAGTCGGCCCGCAGCTGGCAATTGAAGACGGGTAATCACGTGCAGCTGCCACAAAGTGCCACAAAACTGCCACAATCAAATCGCCGCTAGCTCCGCGGGTGTGCGGTCCAAGCTCGGAGCGACATGACGAGAAATTTATCGTCTTTAAACTTCCTCCGTGCACTCGAAGCTGTGAATCCACCGCACCGCAAACTGATACTCAACCAACACGACGACAACGTCCCCGCTTCTCGCCCTCCGGATAATCGCCAATTGAGTCCCAGTCCAGATCGCAAAAGGAAAAAATGTTTCGCGCAGGATTACTCCGCGTCGCCGCAACGGCATCTCGCGCCGCCGCTCGACCCGTTGCCCGAAGAGCCATCATGCCCGCCAGAGCTGTCTTGACCCCCGCGCCTAGACTTGCCACCTTCCAGGCTACGCGGATGTACTCTGCTGGTGGCGGTTTGAAGCGAGAGGAAGTTGAGGGTCGCATTGGTCACATTCTAGAGACTTTCGACAAGGTGAGTTGGTCTAGATTATTTTTGAATTCCTATCCGAGCGGGGAGCCTTCGGGGGAGAGGAGGAGTGGGGAGTCGACTTCGGATATTTGCTGTGAGGACGCAATGTCGCTGCAACTTATGCCGTTGGTCTGGGGAAGAATATGGGATGCTTTCATGCGGATAGGACTTTCTTACAAGGGATGGATATGCTAACTGTATAAACAGGTCAACGACCCGGCTAATGTAAGAAGCGATAGCAATGCGCTGGATTTCTTTGGCAAACTAACCCTCGCTAGATCACTCCCACAGCCCACTTTGCAAATGACCTCGGGTTGGACAGCTTAGATACGGTGGAAGTCGTTATGGCGATAGAAGAGGAATTCAGCATTGAGATTCCGGACAAGGACGCGGATGCTATTCACAGTGGTACGATATTCCTACCGGAAAATGTCGGTTCAACTAGGATACTAACTTGAAATCTGAATAGTTAACCAGGCAGTCGACTACATCTTGAGCCAGCCAAACGCTAACTAGGCACTTGATCTTGTACATTAACAGTTACACCTCTCCTATGGCGATGCCCATTACTTAGCAGTTGGATCCCGCAGCAGTGGCTATGTATGCCTACATCTTTCAAGGCCACAATGACGGGATTGGAGACGACTAGGCTGCCGGGGTCGAATCCTGATGAGAACAAGATATCAATGAAGGTGAACACGGCGTGGTTCGGATCGAAACTCGAGTTCTCGCCGTTGTATTAGTGTATAGATCTTTTCTCTCTGCCCACAGGTGTTCTCCTCCATCTCACATCTTACTGTATGCTGAGGCTGATGCCACGGATTTATCTTGAATAAATGGTGAGGTTTCGCAAAACATGGCAAGTATCACTGACTGTATGACTAGTAGATATGAGACCTAATTGTGTTGAGGCTGGCTGACCCATGCCGCTAAGCCAATGAGACCTTAGCCAATGAGACAGCCACTTGGGGCTGATCCCCTGTTAACAATTTCCACAGTCTGTCCCTCCTAGAAAACCACCCAACATCCTAATATTGCTTTTTTCCTTTGCCAATTTGATCTAAACAGTCCGAGTTACGCTGGCAAGTGTCATTATGATCCAATGACGTTAGGTATAAGGTAGGTAGGTATATCTAAGATATACCTGCCTACTGAACTTCGCTTTTCACCGGGGCTAGTACCCGTCCTTTATGTGTAGCTAAGATGAACAATTCGACTACGACAGACGACAATAAGAATGTGGGAAACACGGATGGACAATGCTACACTTGCGGGCGTCGTTGCGACGATGATCTCCTTCCTCGCGCTGATCGTTTCTTCTGTTCAACTACTATATCAGTATTATACGAATGTATCCCTAAACGCCCTCGGTGCGAGGAATTGTAACGAAATAGTGAAGGGCCCTTGGGCTAAGTTTACTCGCAGACGATGGCGCTGGTCGGAATTGCGATCTGAAACTATCTTCGAGTCACCCTTTCTATTCATGAACTCAGCTTCTAATCATGACCGAGAGCCTCTTCCATTACAGGATATTTGGTATATAGACGGGAGCCAAAAAAGCTACGAAGAAACTCGAACTCCGCTACCAGAGGACCTCAGTCCCGCTTACGAGACGGCCCCTACACTCATTCACCAGGGCGTCAATATCGAGGCTACGTGGGTATTGTTACTACGAACATTGCAATCCACGGAGCAGGAGAGCACAAGATGGAACGAGACAAGACGCAGCTTTGGCAACTACGAGAAACCACTACCTTTGGAGACTAGACCATTGGCTGTCGGCGTTCAGGTCCAATAGCCGCATCTCAGAGAGTTACTGGAGACGACTTTATACAGACATCACCGACACCGGAGACAACGGCAACAGCTACTGTTGAGATCTTCAGTCACAGTTTCGGATCTAATCTGATTAGTATATACCGCTCTAGCATCGACTACCGCCACTTCCATTGCGCCAAGTAGTACTTTAGGAGTTGCCAATAGCGGTAGCAGCTTGCAAACAAGACTCAGATTACTATGCTCGCTGACTCATGCCATAGATCCTAATGACTCTGAACCAGCCAGGGCCAGAACTAACAAATATTTACATTGTTAACAGGCACTGCTAAGTCATCATTTTATCGTGCGAAAAGTAAGGTTAGGAGGCAAACAGTACTCTTTAAATCATCTATACAGCCCTACAGGTTTGACAACACGTTGCGCCGGTATATATAGGGGTTGATGTACAAGGTGTAGATAGGCAACCTGAAGTCCTTTCAACTCCGTGATCATTCAAGTACTAGAATAAGCAGCATCAAACCCCTACATCCTCCACGCACCTATCAACTTACTGCGATCGGATCAGGTATTTTCACGCTCCTAGACAATACCTCTACCTGTAAGTGTATATACTCCATCCATAACCTAGTTGTGTTGACAGTCTAAGCTGAGTCCTTTCTCTGGAAGAAGCGGGTATTTCGATCTCGGATAACCTCAGACCTACACCAGCATGTGTTTAGTAGAGGTAATCATGTGTGAACCACATTTACTAGTCTGCGGGATAGCGATCCATCGCTGTGAAAACCTTCGCAGCAGAATACGTGAAGAAGTCAGCGAGATCTACGTTCCGAGACGCCTTTTTGTACCGAACCACATTGGATGCGGCGGCATTCTTGTTGATCCCGAGCCCACTCTCGCTGCTGATTGTGCTCTGGATCTTCCTGGCCACACAAATTGATGGATCGTAATTTAGTTTAATCGTGTGTTGGGAGGGGCTTTCGCGTTAGGGGGGATTAGACGATTAAGTTGTCGATATGTAGATGACTTCAGCGTTTCCCTATCTAGGGCCACATACCGGATACTTATCATGTCAATAGGATGAGAAAACTACGCTGCTGTTACCAGGAATGGATTTATATTGAACACAGTAGTAGAATTATCTATTAGCCACTTCTTGCAAATGCTGTGATTCGGATTACAGAAGTACCAGAGGAAACACTCAAGCAGATTGATAGTACATCAAAGGTTTAGTTATCTCCATTAAATGTGATATATGACTAACCCATTCTGAGCTTCATCATGTACAATAATTCAAGGTCGTTGCCATTGTCACTGTCATTTATGGTAGCAGGTACTTACCTACTACCTAGTGAAGACATTCACGTTATAAGCTGTGCGTTAGGGCGGGTATGTTGGTAGTTGATGAAAATAGGGAGACGCTTGGGAAGCAACTCACTAGCTCACCCTACCTAGGTACCTACTTTCACAAGAAATAGGCGGCGACCTTAGTGAGATAGGCAAGTGTTCTAGCGTAATAGGCGGGGGCTTCAGTGGAAAACACGCAGGCGAGAGCACTGTTCCCTCTCTATCCCGTTCGCCGCCCACCCCACGATAGAATACTTTAGGTAAACACATTCACTTTCTTCCATTCTTTTCTTCTTTCCCCTTTCAACGAAAAAAGAATAAATCGTTCCCATCAACTTAGACCTTAACATCTACTCACCTTATCATCATCATCCGATGGATCCCTTCATAACATGAATACTTTACCCAGGACTACCCCGAATGTGTGGTAAGTGAATATTCCTACGAGAGCACTTTGTGACCAGTACTTTCTTTGCCAAAAGCTAGACCGTACACCCCATAGCTAACAACCACGACACTCAGACATTCTGGTCAACCCCATACACCATATTTGGAATCACGCTGTGATTCACATTCCCTTCCCCTTATCAGAAGAACCAATTCAGACTGGACGGTATGGTTTGGGCATGTCCAGACCGAGATTCTTTTCTTTGGTTTAGATTGGAATCACGCTATGATTCACAAGTTATCGAGGAGATTCCTCGGGCTTACACGAGCATCCCGTGACAAGAAATCAGGCCCAGGGACCGTGCTGTCCCAAGAGGTCATGGGATTTCAAAGTCCCTCTCGCCAAGTCGCAAGACTTAGGTGACGGGTTTGATGGGATCATGGATATCAATCAACACCCGCTGGGTGAGTGCCTGGGTAAACTACCATTACCACCACATTTTCTACACAGCGACTGACATTGTGTGACAGGAGGCCTATCCTGGCTTATTACGGGAGGATCCTCTCCCGCCCGGAAAATGGGAAGAGCTAGAGTGTCATTCGACATGACGGGACGCATCTGAAGACGGATCTCTTCCAATTATTCGTCCCACACATCCAGCGTCTTGGACTCGCTCTTGAGATGGGTGACCCCAAGTTAGCTTGTTGCTAGTCATCGTCGGCGAAATTCAGCCACGGTGCGTTTACCCACCCACCCCAGAGCCCACCACCAAGAAGGCCTATAATGTTGAGACGTTGGCTATCCGAACACGCAACATCGCACTCTGCCGTTGGCACAGTCATGATACGGACCCATTAGAAGGTACCAGAAGAATATATGTGTTCGGGTAAACCCCCAGAGTCGGGGTATACACATAAAGAATGCTGTAACTTTGTCTACACTGTTCAGCGGCTAACCGGCAACAATCAATTCCCCTCGGGAAAGGGCCCCGATATGCTGGACCTCAATTCGATATGGTTTTCAGCGAACCGGGCTTCCAATAGCCAAGTCTCCCGCAGATTAGACCTAGCCACTTCCAACCCACCCTACTATCAAGTAGAGTCGGGGTATCATCTCTCAGCCAAACACCTGATCACATTCAATGATTGGTACCAACGACAGTGGAAGGAATAATAGCTGGAGGATTAAGAATTGGTGGGGGAATACCTAACTGAACCAACTATCTCTGGTGATCATCCCAGTGATGAGCTGGGCCATTGTCGGAGGCCTGAATTTTACAACTTGTTTGATAGTATCGTATCCATTCATCACATAGGTTGCTGTTGTCACTGTCTTCACTTCATTAACATCACAATAATACAATAATACAACCTATTAACCCCGTACGAAATATTTGCCTAAGTAATGCTACCCATATACATAACTATAATCGTTCAGTGGGTAAACTGTAGTGTTATCAATTGTATGACGTATTTACCTTCTCATAAGCTATAAACCGCCGTGCTATAGTTAATTAACAAAGCAGGTCCTAGATCTAGACAGACAAGTGCTTTGGCGGACAATATTTGTCTCTTTCCAGAACAACCATGGTGATTTCCAGATCGGTCCCGTATAACAGCGGTTCAAGGCAAGTATAAGCCGTATAATAAGCGCAAGGTTGCGTTAATTTCGCTTATACGAGTTTATTCCTGCCGTACTTGCTTCAGGTACGCTTATATATAAAGTACCTCTGAGTATAGTATACGGGTGTTTGTGGTATATTGTGACTTTAGAGAGACTATACGGCTGTTCTGGAACTCTATTCGGGCGTAGTATAGACGTACTAATAGCCAATGACTTCGTAGTTACCTCTATGTACGTATAATATAGAGAATACTCCCATGTATCTGTATGTAGTGACTCACTGCCAACCTCACTGAAAGTTTTCGAGTTGCGTTTATTATACTCCTATAGCCGTCATCGATTTCGTAAATGCCGCAAATATCCTGAACTGAGAACGCCTATATAAAAATCTTCTGAGGGCCGCCAGATTTCACATTTCTCCTCTTCACCAACTTTCAGCGGAACATGGTTCCGTCTGTATGGAGAATCCGATCACCCTTCTATTTATGATTTCACTCTGAAATAACCCCATATTGTTTGGCAGATATCAGATTCCCTCTTCGTCGAACCTCCCACGGGGGTGAGCAGCCTGTTTTATTTACATAATTCAAGATGTGAGACCGCTCGTGAGTGGCCCGGAGGCTTCTCGCTGAGCCTGGGATAGCATATAGAGCATAGTGCTCGAGTCATTCGAATCTTCGTCGTTATTATTGCCTACACCATCAATACCCCTTGTACAATCTTCGTTCTCCCAATACCCATCCACCCGTTCATTCCCCCACTCACTTTCACAGCTAGTTAGTGATGTCAGATACACCTCATCTCCCGCGACTACCCAGCGCTGGGTGGTGGTCTCGGACACTGAACTACGCGTCGAAGATGCAATTGAATCGAACGACTACCGGATCTTCTTAAGCTGTCGCCCTTTTCGGACGAGGGTGACGACTATGATTGGTACGTGAATTTCTTTTCTTTCGGTTAGAACCTGTAATCCAGTCTCCTTTTCCTTTGTGTGCTGCAGCTACCTGCGTACATGACAACTTCCCCTTTCGTTTAATCATCTCATGATGGCCCTCTGGTGTAGAGACTTCATTCTTCAATAAACATCGGTTGTTCTGTTTGTACTTCTTGGAATCACGGCACTTCCTTTGACTGGAATAGGCACAATATTCCTCTAACTTACGCTCAAGCTCCCAAACTAACAATGCCGTAGTAGTGTATGACCACTCTGACCACATACCTACCTAGTCGCTTGGGTACATCCATTAACGGCACAGCAAACCAAGCATTCGATGGCCGCGTCCTACACACAGGGTGCTCGTGCCAATTATAGTCCGACTATTCCTACTGATCATCCTGGTGTAAGTTGATTGTCCAAGAATACCTTTCTCTTGTTCTAACTTCATAGCCCGGTCCGAATGTGTTTACCATACTTATGGACTTCGCAATTTCCAACTCGCGATTCAAGTTCGTGTCGAACTTGCCAGTACAGCAGGCCAGCCCACGGTCGCCACAACGTAGAGCTTCCTCTGCCAATTATCCCGCTAGTTCTCGGATTCTCAGCATGACGAGATCCCGTCGCGAGCATACACTTCTGTGGCTCTAGCGACGTTGCCTCTTGAGGAGTTTGCTACCAGCAAGCAGAACCTAGGACTCGCTAACAACGATGGAGGTCGTGGGCAATGCAACCACGGCATACTGGACGTGGCTTTGACGACGAAGCAGGAAGAGTGTCACAAGGCTCTGGACGCTTAGAAGGACAAGCCCGACAAAGGCTCGGAGATGATCCCGTCTTGACTTGACCATGCTATTTTCACCACCTCCGAGGTTCACTCAGAGGGTATCAACACTTACGCTGCCTTAGCCTGGCCGACCAGGAACCAGGGCCAAAGACCCGGATTTTGACCTGAGCTTACTCACAGGAGAACCACACCTCGTTGAAGGAGACTTAGAATCTGGCGATGGGCAGAACGTCCACACCACTGTCACCTTTGTCGTTTCACGATGTTATTGCGACCTCATACCGAGACACCGTCTCGTCGTCTTGGGGAATGGCAACAAGACACATCGTCGCCTTTATTTGGGTGTATGTGGAAGACGAGACTCCCTTAATACTGCCCTTGGGCTTGTCCCTTGTGAGATTGACGCCAACAGAATCCCTCAAATGGGATTTGGAGCGTGTTTATGAGATTGCCGCCCTTTCAACGGGTGCGGCACCAAACATGACGTTTTTCCTAGAGCTTGGTCCTCCTTCCGAACTGGTCATACCCTTCGGTCGGTTGGTTGCCTCTCTGCAGCCACGCCGCCCTGAAGGAGCGGCCCCGTGGGCACATCGACTTGTCGGCAGCAGAGCTGCCAATGCCACCAGACTCTTGACATCGGTCTCCTCTACTCTCTGGAGGAATGATCACTTTGCTTCGAGGTGTATTCATGAATGATGCACCCCAGGGCCTATTTGGGGTTGTTCGGTGTTTTCGCGACTATTGACAATCAATAAGTCTCCCCCCCAAGACTTGAAGAACTTCATTGTGGAGAAGAGTGGAGTATATTCCCAGAAAGGGATTGCGACATCGCGTACACAGCGCATGTCAAGGATGATAGGGAGAGTTAGGCAGCTTCTGCAATATCATGTTGGTTTCTGGATAGGTGGCGATATTCAATGACGTCGTATAATTGAGGTTGTGTATAATAGGGGTTTGGTTGATAACTGCCAGATAATTGGTTATCTCACTCTTTTATCAACTTTTGAAGTATTGGTGGTATTCATAACAGTCCAGTCCTCTCTCGTCTGCGTGTCTTAGCTGCCAGCTTCTAATTCCAATAGTTGGGCTAGGTACCTATAATATGAAGATATCTCTGATTGGGCCGTACGAGCTGCTACTTACTTGTCCAAGCATGCTGCATGCTACCCTGGCCCAACACCTGTAACTCTAGACCTGAGCCAATGTCGGTGGCCCTTCATTATCAGACTAGTAGATCCCTCGATGCATGTTGAACGAGCCGAGCCGCGAGTGGATGGCTCCATCCCAGGTCGTCGGGATACACAACAGTTGATGCAACCGTAGATTAAATCATAGAAATTGCCACCAAAGCCATACTTTTCTTATCCTACTGCGGATGTGAATATATCTTCGGAGTTACTAGAACGCATACAGTACCGACGTCAATATTTTCCGTTACGGCTTAGGTGATCTAGGTATCTTCTCCTTACGTGCCCCCTTACGTAGGTATGAACTCGGTCGCTCGCTACATCTCCTATTATTTCATCTAGCAATTACCTATATGGTCCAATTTTAAGAAAGCTACCGATTCCGGGCTTTATCCTCGCATTTTCGCTATGTTAGGGATGTTCATTCTAGGGGGGGGCAATCCATCTCTTCTATGAGCCCTCCTCGGCTTGAATTGAATATAAATAACTATTTAATTCATCTAGACTTGAGCGTATGTATTTCAAAGGGCGAGATTCACCCTAGGAATAGTCTGGTAATTAATTTGACGCTTGATTAGGCACGCCGTAGTCGGGTTCGGGCCCGGAGTGCTCCACCCCGGGCCGGCTCACCACCACAGCGGCACACAGCGTCTTTCTACATAATGCGGGCAAGCATAATTCCTTCAAAAAAAAGATACTAGTTAACAACCTGCTTTCAACTACGCGGCTCCGAGTCTGAGTTAATTGATTGGAGGTCAGTCTGTTGATTACTACGAGGATGGTGACCGGGCGACGAGGGACAGCAAGCACTTGATGATGCACCTTAACCCCCGACGCCGAATATTGCATCGGCATTCTGCTCAATAAGGAATCAGATATGCCCGACATATTATATCTTCGTAAAGCCGCATTATTAAGTTGTGGGCGGCTTAGTATAACGATAACAACTGTACCTACCTAGTATCGCCTTGATTCTAAAATACGGCTTGAGGAGGGTGGGAAAGATGCGCAAATCTTTCAAAGGCTACAAGCCTTCTAGAACTCGCCAAACTACATCACCGACTCTTTGGGTCTAGGCTTCCAAGACCCGATGACTCTGTTACCTACCTAGTCACAGTATCCTCAAGACAGCTGATCAAACCATTAGGCTGAAAGTGGCCTGCCTCTTGGAGACCGTGAACCTCGTGTTAACCACTCCACCTTGCCACCTTTTGACTCACATATCACTCCCTCGACTGAGACGGGGACGCGGATATTCAGGCCGTGTACGAAAGCCTCCGATGGATATCCACCGCAAAGCCGCCCTCAGCGGGATCATCCGAGAGGGTGCGGCCTGCCCTACCTAGACCTCGGTAAGTATTTTTTAGAAGGCAGTCTGGGATACCTCACCTATGACGAAGCGCGAGGGCATCACGCGCACTGAATGCGGCTCCCCAAAATGATACGGTGACGGTGGCGGTGCTGCGCCTCGCAGCGTTAAGGGGGTTGGGAAGTCGAAGTTCCTGAAATTCTTGGGTTTGTATAGGTACAGTGCCGCCGATTTACGAAATCGTTTTCGAGGAAGGGGGTTTGGTTTAACTTGTACCGCGGAGGCCTCGTAGGGAGCGGGCGTGTTGGGCGTATTTAAATTGTTTTGAGGGTCTGTTGTTGGTTTGTTGCGAAGTGTATTAACAGGGTTCCCGTTCCTGATGTTCGCGTGGGAACTCGACGCGAGAAAGGGCGTCTAAAGTGAGTTATCACGGACATCTGACGGCTTGACATGATGTATAGATAATTTATAGAAAGAATAGGCTTTTACAACCCCTGAATCTCACTTCCATATGATAACCTACCTACCTAGGTATCTGCCTACCTAGGTACAGTCCACCCAGAACTTCCAATTAATCTGCCTAATACGCCCATCTCCCAGCCCTAGCCAGTCCTCAACCTCAACGCCCAAGTCAGACATCTTCAAACTTCGTAGAACTATGTAGGACTGTCCAGTAGGGCATCTGTCAAACTGGCCTACATGCACTACCACACATAACAACCTTCTACCACATGCCAAGTCCTTCCCAAGCAAGCCGCGTACCTGCTTTGCGTAAGCACTACACGCTGAGCCAGGAACGCGCGGGCAGATCCGCAGGCGCTGAAGCTGCCTGTTGACGTTGATACAAGATCGACCTACGATGGTTAGAGTCATCACCATCCATCTTCCCCATGCGTCACTGTCTTCTAGGCAAGGTTTAATATATGTAGGTACCCACTAGGGTTATGGTACTTAGGCGGCAAGTATCCGTCTGGAGTAAGGAGCATGTCGCGGATGCCTGGCACCCCATCCTCCCCACCAACCCTCTAATTAGGTACTCCAGATTCACCGAACCAAGCCGTTCGCCATTCCGGTGACGAGCAAGTTGACGAATAGGAACCGAAGCCTGACCGAGATAGACCTTGGGTAGGTAACACCTGAACCAGAGAGCACTATCTGCTATACATAAGATGTTGTTGACTCATAACCTGCCCACCCCCTCTTCTCCTCGATACGCCTTCTTCGCCCGACTAGAACCTGTCTACAATTTGGAATTCCGGCCCCCAATCGGATCCATACTCGGGTCACCTAACTCAGACTCGCCGAGAAGACGCCTCGGGCGTCGTCCATCCACTCGTTCGGTAACTCGGCGTCGTTGGTAACGCGCAATTGCGACGGTCCCGAGTCATTCCAAGTTGATCACCTCCCTTCCTGATGCCTGAGGCGTCTATCTGAACAACTATTCGTGTGACATTGACGCCAAGAATCCCGAATACCCCTGGACACCGAGAAGGCAAAGGTGAGTGCTCAAGAGGAGTGCTGAAGGGACGATACTCACTAGCACGTACTACCTGCAGGATCTGAATCATTCAATTTAGTAGTTACCTAGGCAAGTAAGGATTTGGTAAATGTGATTGAATTTACACGAGGCCCCGTATACCACGGTCGGATACTGTATATCTCGCAGCCCTCTCACCTCTAACCAGCTACCTCAGGCGTGTATCTCAAAGAAAGACCGATATAGATGGGATATATGGATGTATGATGGATGGAGCAGTGTGTTATTCCGTTCTAGTCCAAAAATTGAAAATTTTCTTTCTTTTTTCGTGTATATGACCGCCTATATGTTCACCTCCTTATCCCGTCCCGTTATCCCGTCAAAAAGGTGACTATAAAATCCGATTACATGTAGTCTCAGATGTGAGTAGATGCGTCCGAACAGATATCAGATGAGTGAGATGTAAAAGTAGATGTAAAAAAAAATAAGTAAAAAATGAATGCCGGAAAAAAAACCCCCCCAGGATATCTCCAAGAAAGTTAAGTAATAGAACCAACTCCCTTCTCCAACAGGTGAGCTGTCAAGGTCGAGGGTTGGTTCAAGAGTTATGAACAAGAAATTAACAAGAAATTACATGTTGCAGTGTAGATGACGATGACGATGATTTTACCCAACCAACTCCGCCCCCCCTAAACCGCATCTCCTGTAAAAAGATAGCATCTTGATAAAAAAGAACCCAGCCACCTCGCCGGGTTGTCACTTTGTTTTGCCAACCTGGATGCCGTGTGTGTTTGTGTGAAAATGTTTAAACCAACGAAGTAGCAAGGAGTCCGCCCCCTTCTAATGCCCATGCGTGCCTACTATGCAACGGTCTTCGCTTTCGTACTTCAATGCTGCCTCTTCCCCTGCAAGGTGGGAATTCGTATAGCGACTCTCGGTGTATAATACTTCGTGCCTAACAGCCGACTTTCTCGGCGCTTCGTGATTTCGTGACTTCGTGACATTAGACCGCGACATCTCAAAACGTCTATATTTCGAGCGCGCGCATGTTCCTTCGGGGTGTTGGTCTCTCCTAGACTCGGGTATCTTCCTCTAGCGATAATATTATCTTCCGGCACGACGACATTGCCATTATTATCCTCGGTCGCTTCCGCCCGGTCGATCAAGTCGTTCACCGGCCGCCGACCCCTTCGACAACTCTGGCGGCGCCGTCATCCTTCTTTCCGGGACCCGCGACGACGCCGGCGTAACTCGAACCCCAGACGCCCATGGCGCTGCCGACGCCGGACATCCGCTTCCGCGCTCTTATAGTACTGTCTCGCTCGCCGTCCTCGTCCATGCTGAAGACGAATTCGCCGTCCTCCTCTCCTATCGGGGTGGTATATCGGGCGCTGGAGCTAATAGAGCCACTGCTGACGTGGCGCTCGCCCCCCCGGCCGTTGGACGGTCGGGAGGCGTGCGAATTGGGATGGAGATGAGGTGATTCGCCCCCGTTGCTATCGATGCGTGTACGTTGCAGTTGCTGGGTCAAGGCGCTGAGACCTTCGATGCTACTGGACCGGCTCGTGTTATGTGGTCGCACGACGCTAGCGCTGAGGCTAGATTGGCGAAGAGGGCTTCCAACGTGTCCGAAGGCACCTGCGCTAGCTGCAGCGGCGTGCTTCTTCGCCTCGTGTTCCTCGTGCTGTCGCTGGAAGAGCGGGCCCCACCGGCTTGGGCTCGAGGCCATGGGACTGCCGAATTTGGAGTTGACTTCCCCATTGGGCGTGCCCGTGCCACTCATGCCAACGATGCTAGGCGAGTTGCCGTTTCCCCTGTGACTGTGACCGTTCGATTCCTCGTCGGCCGCTCGCGACCCGCGCCGGGCTTTCTCGGCCGGAGTCAGCAGGTCTTTTAGATTGTCCGGCAGGTAATCCTCCTCCAAGAAAGAGAAGTCCGATTCCCAGTCCCGATCGACGATAGCGCCCGTTATGGCTCGAGGCGCGCTGCTGCTGAGCATCTTAGGCTTAGCATAGCGGCTCGAATGCATCTGGCGTCTACCGAAATACTCGTCCGAGGGTTGGGTGGTGGGCGAAGAGCCGGGTGCCCCCGAAGATAGATGTTCGTTGCTGCCGAAGGCGGAGTGGTGCAGAAGCTTGAGGGTTTCCGACGTTCTCGATTCCTTGGCCGCGTTCAATGACGGCGAAGGTGACTCGAGCCCAAATTGCGAGGGCACGGACGACGGCCACGGCCCTCCGGGATATCGAGCAGCATTAGAAATTCCGTTCGAGTCGAATGAAGCGGGAAGAGGTGCGTCTAGAACCGATAAACCCTTCGCCGCAACCGGGGAGAGACCCAGGCCTAGGCGTGTCGGATCCTCTTCTCGAGGCGAACCGTACTGGGAACTCGTATGGGAATAGGTTGTGTCGATAGTAGGAACGTTCTCTAAGCTTGGTCGGCGATCAATGGATTGGTAGGTGTCGCTCGGGGACATCGGGTAGCCGTTATACGTTCCGCCGTAGGAGGAGTTGGCGTCGGCACGCATGAAGGAATTCGTCAGGGCGCTGTTCGAATTGTTGTAGCTGGTCGGACTGACTCGGCTCCCGAGGTGGATGGGCTGGCCGATGGTGATACCATTCTTGCCGTAGTTGATTCGCCTGCCGTCGGCTAGAACGTGGACGTTGGCGCATTTAGGCCCGAATTTGCAATTGCCCTGTTTTTGTTTCACCAGATCTTTAGTCGCGATCCTCGTGCTACGGCGTACCGTATCATAACATCGAATCTTGGTCTCTTACCTTGGCAAAGTACTTGCACACCGTTTCCGACGCGGTGCCGAGGTCGTGACTGAAGGGACAAGCAGAACCAGCCTGGCAAGCGCCCTGTCGGAAGAATTTGCATGGTACGTGCGACGTATCTGTGATTGGGGGGAATTGAGGTTAGAGAGCGGCCGGAAGAGGAGGTTGGAAGGTGATTGGAAGGTAATTGGACATGTTACGTGATCTTGTGCTCTTTAAGGTGCAGATGGAGGCGTAAAAATGAGACTTACTCGGCGGGCTTCGGGGGCCGTCGAAGCGACCGTGCGACGGAACTATCGGACTCATCGTACTCGTCTGGGAGGGAATGTTTAAGCTACCGGATCGAATATGACGATACTCGGACATTTTATGCGGTAGCAATGGTGGCGGCGATCGGGATGGGATTTAAAATGTGACGACGACGAGAAGGAGAGGAGGGAGAAAGAGGTTGCAGCAATAGCGGGAGTAATAGGAATAGTACGCTAGCAGTGCTAAGGATGCTAATAATGCTAAGAGTGCTCCAGGGTTAGGAGTGCTAAGAGTGCTAGCAGATAATAGCAACAATCGGCGAAGGTGGTAGCGAGACGTGGGAGGATTTAGGAGGGGCGCGCCGACGACAACCTGGTCAACCTGGTCGCAATGAGCATTGACGCCCCCTTATCGTTTAAGCCGTTTAAGGTCGATTAATCGATTAGTCGAGCAAGTCGTGGTATTCGTCCACCGTCGTACTCTTGGTACTCTGCCACTCTGCCACTCTTCCACTCTACCAATCTTCCAATCTTCCAATCTTCCACTCTTCCTCAAAACGAGGGTCGGGTCGAATTCGAAGCTAATAGGCAAAGATACCTAATAACGAACTTGTTATTATAAGAGCACGTAACTTATATAGTTGCGTTGGTTATTTTTGGTCTCTTGTCTCTTGTCTCTTGCAACTTAAAGGTTTCGAGTTAAGGAAATGGTTGGTTCAGAGAGGCCCATCGGATAAGAGAAAAAATCGGATAGGATGATGTTAGAGAAGGGGATAAAAAAAGACAAAAAAAGAAAGAAAAAAAAAGTCTTGTCTAACCCTGCCCTACTACACGTATGCCCGCTGTAATGTATGCAACTTGCTGCTGGGTACGCTAGGTACGCTAGATATGCTAGGTACCACTCGATGGTGTAAGGTACAGGAACAGGAACAAGATATAAAATAGGTTCAATATAGGCAGGACGGGGGGATGTCGAACTTGGACGACGATGATTTGAGAATTCCGACGCACCGGATATATGTGTTGCGTATATGCGTGGTGTGTCTGAAGGTGACTGGAGGAAACAGGAAGTGAGTTGTGTTGTTGAAATCTCAAGACGAGCAAATGGAAACGGAGCGGGAAGAGAGGGGAGACGAGGGTTAGCGGCGGCAGAGATTCGGTCAAATCAAATAGCTGCAGAACATTTCGAACGCGGCGAGAGGGGGGGATATCCGAATTTGGTATTTCAGGTTTGGCGGGGGGTCGTTTGGGGGGGGTAACGATTGGAAATACACTGGGAACCGAACTACGGTATAGGTACTATGTACCTAGTAGGAGGTAATGATAGCGGCTAGGTAGTGGTAGTGCAGCACGGTGCGGTGCGGTGCGGTGATGCTTGTAAGTGGTAACGGTAGTGAGTGGTACAAGTTTGTGGCGGGAATGGGAATGAGAATGGGAATGGGCATGGGGAATGGGGGATGGAGTAGGAGTGGGTTATGGATTATGGATATGGGTATGGGTATGGGTTATGGCTGTGGGTTATGGTGGGTTATGTATCGTACCAAGCTAGGTGTAGCTAGCAGTTACCAGAGCTTGGTAGCTCTCATTACTGGGGTACGGTAAGAGAGAAAAGATGGGTACAGAAATAAGCTAAAAGTGTAGGTGGGAGTCTGAGGAAAGAAAAAGATTGGGTCTCAAGCACAACCACCTCAAGGAGACCTCGGGACTTGGGGAAGATGATAGATGAATGAGAAGAGGTAGAAGGGGGGGGGGGGGGTTGCAATCACTTACAAGGATCTGATTGGGATGACAAACCGATCGCAGTTCGCAGCGCGGGTCAAACCCAGGTCAGGACACAGCCCAGGAGGTAACGCAATGGAAGAGGATGGTAGATGGATAAGAGGGGTTCGAGTTTCGAGGGGTCGTAACTTTTTTATGATTATGAATATAATTGTGGGGATCTGGTTGTAAGACGACGGACGAAATACCGATACTGGTACTGGTGCTGGACCGGTGCTGGACTGGTGCTGGACTGGTGCTGGTACTGGTGATCGTCAAGATAGGCGGGAGTAACGATAGTTCTTATATCAACAATTGAGATCGGGTTTGTAATTGTAAATACCGTGCTCGAGTGGAGCAAGAATCGACAAAGGTATAATAGCGAGCTATAATAGACTCAACCTCGACGATAACTTGGACGGTAATATTGTTTTGTTTCGTTTTCCTGATATTCTTTCAGGGAATCAGGAGTTTTGTCGGTCACAAGAGTAATTCGATAATTCGGGGAATTTGTGACGACGGGGATTGTAACGATGTTTGTGACTCGGGGATTTGATGGTGGAATCAATGGCGGAATCGATGTCACGCCTAACTTGCTGCTTGGTGAAAGGATGAAGGATTATATGGTTCCGTTACCCTTATTCTGACCTTCTCCAAGTCGGCATGGGCATGGATTGGAAAAGTTGTCGACAATGTCTAATGAGATTCAAGCGGTGCCAATGAGATGTCGTCCACCTTGTAAGCTGATTGTCCGGGGTTCCAGCACTCTCGTGGAATGTAACTAAACCCTCGAGAAAAAACCGGATCAGGCAAGGTGTTCCAGGAACCCGCAGATGCGTCTGTCTGATATGTCTTATGTCTTATTATATAGTGGATGACTCCTGTCAGTTGTGACAATGCCCCTCATGTGTTCCCTCGATTTCTTCGCCCGTTGCGCGCGCCCTGTCGATATGAACGGGTTGCGACGGAACCGGGGCAATATGCTTAGGCAGTCGAGGTAGCAATTAGTAAAGAAGCTTGGTAGCTGCCAGATATGTACCTTGGCCAGGTAGGTAACGTCCTACCTAGGTACCCTTAAAAGATAAGAGTCATGCAGCCTGCTGCAAGGCACCTTGGATCCCTTCACCTCGTCGGTAGGCGGAGGGCGGTAGGTGGTCGACTACAACCGCTACCTTGTAAGGAAGCTCTAGCCCAGCCCTTGGAATTGGACAATTGGAATAGGTACTTTGTTCTTGTTTCTTCAATCTTGGATGCTTGTGTGCTTGTGTGCTTGTGTAATACTGTGCTGTGTACCCCGGGTGTACTATGTAGGGACGGAGGATTGACTCCAGGGAGGCCTTGCAATGTCAGACAGTCCAGGACTCGAGTGGTTTGGGGCTAGGCCTGCAGGGGGGCGACGTCGCGTGTGGGGGTCTCATTGGAATCCTCGACGCTTAAGAGTACGGGAGTCCTCTATTGCAAGGTGCAAGGAACTCGAAGCGCCGTCTGGGTGCGAGAGAAGGGAACAGAACAGTAGGTGAGATGAGCGTATGAGGGATAGAGAACTACTAAATCGTTCATCCGATGCCTACCAGTCTCGTGACTTTTCTATTATAGGTGGAGGGATTGCGACATGAGCTGATCCACCGGTAATGAAACGGTAAGTTGGATCGTCACCTCGTCTCACGATACTGATGTGCGAATGTGTGTATGTATGCAGTTAGGGGAGGAGTTGCCTTCACCGTTCATCCAACCAAACCGTCAGAGCGGGTTGTGATGGCGCCTTTGGGCCGTAAAATTCTCACACAATTGTTTGGTATCTATGGGATCTCTCCAAGGCGGGGACGCCGTCTTAGAAAGCAGCTTGCCGACTTAGTGGTGAGCTTTTAGAAAATATGTAGGCATGTAATAGGCATGTAGTAGGCTGTAGTAGGCATATAGTAGGCTGTAGTATGTAGGAGTGGGCGTCCAAACCGATGGTCGGAGTGCTTAGGCCGTCCACTTGCGGGCAGTAGATGATGGGTAAGGTGAGAAACCCGCAAGAGCTGATGATGGATCCTCTTTGCCTTGAAACCCAACTCGTGGCACCCAATCAATGAGAGGGTCCGCGGCTAGGCTTAAGATTACCACGTTCGAGGCCAGCGAAAAGAAGCCAGCAAATAACAAGCCGCGGGGTTGATTCCTCTCGTAATCTAAAATGTACACCTTGTCTGGATTTGGGTCAGGTCACCGTCACCCATAGATTTTGGCCCTGGGGGAATCGGATCGGTGAAGATAGACTAATAAAATAAGGTCGATATAGAACGGGAGCACGGACGATTCAATCTAGTTAGTCTTTGGATAAGTCGGATCGCCAAGAAAGATGGATCGACTCTAAAGCTGCTCGAGAGAGTTGAGGATTGGTCTAAAAGATGACGCGACAGGCCCGTCTCTCTCGTCCCTAAACCTCTTCCAGTGTCAGATGCATTAACTCGGTCATAATATATCATGGTAGAAAGCTCCCTTTCGACCGGAAACGCCGCTAACAGATGTGATTGCTCACCCTTTTTTTCTTCGATTATATTGAAGTTTTCGCCCTCGACGTTGTCTGATCTCGTATAGTTCGTGAGGTGGGTATCGCAATGTCGGGTGTGTTGGTTGACAATGCCGTGTCGCCGTGTCGACTGATTGAGGCTAAGGGGGATACAAGGTGTAACCTGTAAATGAAATCAAAAATGGTAAGACGGGTGCTGCCCTCTCTCGTGCGCGTCCCGAAGCGTCCGTGATCAATGATCAGCCACTTGCCTTTGACGGACACTAGAGTTAGGTGATATGTCATATATCTATTATGGTGACCATTCTTATTTTCGTTCGTGCTATTCTCCACCGGAGCGTGGATTATAGTCCGGCTTACGTCTATGTCTTCGTAAAACTATGGAGCTATCGCATTTGAAAATTGAAGTTGATCAGTACGCTTATCCGCGGCGAAAGAGAAAAACCGGTAAGCTGGTCGATGGATTTTTAACAGGACTGTGATATCTAACAGATGGGAAATTAGTGCGATCCCTGGGATGCACGTCGACGTTGTAGGCAAGAGAGACGGGACCCTAAAACGTCCCAAGGAGTCGGATCCGAAGAGCTAGGTATGCGGTTTGGCCTTCGTTTCGTCTGTTGCCAGAAGCTTATTCTTGGGGGCTGCTCTAAATTGACTAGGTATTTATGTTTACGAGGTGTCATATGGCCACGGTTAAAGTGAGCACTAGTAGACAATATTGACCGACATTGTTAAGAGGCAGCTTGCTATGCTAAACGAAGCAAGCATGACGTACCCTCCTGTTGAGCCTCTCGGTGCGTCGGTGGTACAGAATAAGGGTACGTGCCGCACAAGCCGTCTGCGTCTCTAATTCGACATGTATGGCGACATGTATACTAGCACGGGTTCTGACATGAACGATGCTCACCTACTCTACCATGTCTCGAATGTCATGATGTTCGCGATGATCTCTTATCTTCGACCGCTCCTTGCGTCGGGACAGGCGACATTCGCGCGCTGTGGCGACTAGATTACAGCTATAATTCCCATATTTCTGTCATTCTTCGCGCAGGTGAGACCGGGAGAAGAACGCACGTACATATACGTACGCAGGCATCCACACACACACAACATCGCATAACGCGTTTTGCGCCTCCACCTACGCCCCATCGCGCTCGAGGTTGGAGGGGCTGGGTGGTGGATATCCAGCCGATAACCGAAGAGGAGACCCTAATGGAGCCCTCATATCTCTAGACTTCTAAAAGGATAAGCAAGTACCCGACGCACGTCGAAGAATTCGGTCAAGTCATCAGAGACCAGGTCGGAATGAATGGTCCTCGTCGAAGACGAAGCCAACCATCGATAGTGCGGTCTAATGACATGAGCCAGAGGGGCCTAAAGGACCCAGAGGCGTTGAAGAGCTGGGGAAGCGTTTCAGCTCTCTCACTCGTCGCTCGTACATAACTTGGCTGCATCGGATGTGCTGCCACGAGGTCGCCTTCTACCCGCACTAGCGAGGCGATATGATACGACCGTATATGAAGAAGCTCCATTAGCATCGATCTGGTAGAGGCTGATCTACAAACCGGAACATCCGACCAGATA